TACTAGTTTTCATTTTAAAAGATTTTTTGATTACGACTTTTCGGTTTGCTGCAGCAATTATGGGGAAAAAAATTAATAGCCGAACAAAATCGGGGTCGTAGCGATGTGTGTGCGAAATGACATATGTGACAACTTCAATATCGATTTACGACGATCACCCGACGAGAATGTGGGCAATGTACCTATGTACCTACGTATGACTCTCGGTGTGACAAATTGGGATTTTTCCTTTATTTACCGAAGTGGTGCCCTAGATTATGGAATTATACCGATTTTTGCCGTGATATTCTACTGCTATACTGTGCAGTGTTACCTTATAAATTATTGCTGTCATTGAGAATTAACTGCCTGTGCTCTCTGAGTAACATACAGCCCAACTTACTTACTGTTAATCTAGATTTCTTTAGGTAAAATATATTAAAAATCGGCCAAGTATTTATTGTGTTTATCTACTACGAGTAAAAACGAGAAATCAAAAATTTACACATGTGAATATTAGTTTAAACTACCAGGTCCCATAAAGAACCAAGAAGCACTTAGCAGTTACTCACACTCATAAAAGCATACCGAATAACAAAGAATAAAATGTAATATTTTTTCAAATAAACTTTATTCTAAGCATTCTTTTAAATAGTTATATTTTTTCTATCGTTGATTCGACATACTTATTCAACTAAGAAGAATGGCTAAGAAACTTCTAAACATATCTTTAACTTGAATAATTAAGTTAGATTTGTATCACGAATTTATAAGAGTCAACTTATTAAATACTAGCTGTGCCCGTGGTTTCTCCCGCATGAAATTTATAGCCTATGTATTATTCTGATGTATAAGCTATATTACAATATAGTTTCATCAAAATTCGTTCAGTAGTTTTTGCGTGAAAGAGTAATAATTATCCATTCATCTATCCATCCATACTCACAAACTTTCGTGTTTATAATATTAGTGAGATAAGATATAATTGGTTGAATAACAAATAAATCAGTACTAGTGATTAGAATAGAGCAGTTTTTACAAGTAATACATAAATATAATATGAAGAAATGTTATTAAAAATCATGGTTTGCGATTCATTATTGCATGTACCCTAGTATATATTTTTTATATATTATTAAATTGCACCGCCCTACTATCTCTGATCACCGAGATGACTGATAGAGAATGCCATCAGGCATTAAGTCCATCTTGTATACAATTTTGTATGCAAAAGAATAAATAAATAAATAAATATACTGAAATTTCTAATTTTATTAATAGTCGAGACTTAATACGAATTACTACACCAAGTTTTAATTGTGTAGACTATACCAAGTTTTTTTTTATGGCTAATAATAAAATGACGCACCTGTCTGCGAAAACCGTTAACGCTGGCGGGGCACTAGTGGAGGATGATCAGATTGAACATGAGGTCAATTTAATCAAAATTTATCATAATGACTTCCAAGGGGTACCGTGTGGAGGTCAATTTGATGGTACATTGCTAGCAATGGACTGAACTGTCATGTCATTACTAACACTCCATCTCCCCGCTATGGTCTACTCCACGTTTACCTGAACTGACCTGAACCTGAACCTACGAGTGGGTCATCCCGCTCGAAGATTTATTTCCTCGTAAATTTTTCTGTTGGGACACCGGTGAAGATTGAAATCGGGTCACTTAGTTCATCGTGACAAATTGACCAGGAATTAGACACAATGAGGTCAATCTTATTGCTAGCTATGTACCTTGAGTTGCTAAAAATAAGACCAACAGTGGCTATTATGTTATCTGTACTAACAATCTTCTAGCCGCTTCTCATTTCATGTGTCATACCACAACCACCATACAAAATTGATAGACAAACCGTCAACAACACTTTCTGTATAATTTTATATTTTTAACTAACGCCCCGTTGATTGAAATACCGGTAACAAACCAAATTTAACGCCAATACGAGGAAATAGAAATAGACATAATCTTTATTCAAATAAACTCATTACGAACACTTTTGAATAGTCGTATTTTGATTCTACCACTCATTCGGAATGCAGATTCATCACAAGAAGAATGAGCAAGAAATTCGTGTATTGCTCTTTTGAATAGATGTTTTTTTATATAAATAATTACATAATAACCAGTAAGAGTCATGCGATAATCAACATACAAATCGATACGCACTCATTCTTAGTACAATCAGATAATATTGTCAACGCTATGGATTTTAAGTTATTATTAATAAAAACATTATTATCGTTAACGAACTCTTCAATTTTATAGTAAGCTTTTTTACAAAGGATAACCTTTTCCCATTATTAATCAATAAAGACACGACTTCATTGTAATTCATTAAACATGTCAAAAGAAATAAAATCACTATAATTCTTGACAACGATAATGAAGTCAATTCTTGTTTTTATTTAAACAATTTTATGTATAAATGGATGTAGAGGAAGCTTGTTGAAATATATTATAAATGTTTGGTTGGTATTCCGGTGGCAGTGACATTCATTAATGAGTCGTCTTACTACCGAATTACTTAACCGTGAGTCACGCGCGCGGTTGTAAAATCGTAATATTGTGAAATATTAATCAATTTGTTTTGTAAAAATAGTATAAATTGATTAATATTACAATAATGCGGTTTCGCAGTCTTACAAAATTAATGCATAACATATCCATTCTGACCCTCCCCTTCTCCCTGTATACACCGATGCACAGGGTAGGTTAGTTTCTATAAGCCATTACAAATATTTGATGTCGAAAATATATTATGGTAAAGGACAATATTTATTATTCTAAGGTTCCAAATTTCCAAGTTTCTCATAGAATCAGATTTTCCACCTCTTGTCGTATGGTTTAAATAGCTAGGGGTAATTAACTATTAGCTTAATTACTAGAGAAAGACAATTTACGTCTTAAGCATTCACTAAATAATGATATTCCTAAATTCTGACGACAGGATATAGCTATTTATAGATTTATATATGTATATAATAAAAGATTTTTTAATAAGTCTGGACTATTATCAATGTGAGAAATTGTTTCAAACTGAATTTTAATTACATAAAGCCTCAGTAGTACTTAATATGTGTATGTCTATTGTATGTATTAATATATTTTATATTTATTACTATTTATAGATATTTATTTATTATATATATACTTTGTAATATAACGCCATAAGTGTTGCATGATATTGTTAAGTTATTTCATTAAAGTCAGCCGAGCACCTAACATATCAATTATGTGTAATGATCTCCTCTGAACCACACGATACAGACTTGCATGTCTAGTGTGTGGTTCGCAGTAATGTGTATTGAATGTAAAAGTGTATTGGCCAATAAAAGTTATTAAAAAAAAAAAAGTTATTATTATATAAATACTCCATAGTTAATGTAAAAAAGATAGAGTCGTGTTCCATGTAATTTGCTTCCCTGAATTAGTCTCAAAAGTAGTCCGACCGACATAAATGTATGTAAATTTATATATCTAACTTCTTCCCCGATGATAGAAACACCTATAACAAACCAAATTAATCCGAAATCCGGATTCCATTGTCCATCCCATATTCGATTTAAATACACCGAGAAAAATATGGGCATATCAAGTGTTACGTTGACCAAGACATCGACAGTTGACAATGCCTCTGTCTGGATGAAGGAGACTGTTAGCAATGTGTAACTAAAAATCCTATTGCTAGCATTATATATATATATATTAAAAACTGAATATACCTGATTGTCCGCTCCAGAGGCACTGGATATCGTTGCATTGTGGACCCAGTGCTTCTGGACGTGGACACAGATATGTGAATTATGTGTATCTCTGTATGTTATAAGTTACTAACATAGTTTTATAAGTTTTTACTGACACAATATGGATGTAATCCGAATTAAAATTAAATAAAAATAAAAAAAAAAAAAATTATACTATGTCAGTTTGCCCTCTACGCTGGATCCTCTCCCTTCATCGTGATAAATTCCTAGTGAATTTGCCAGTGGTGGTTTCCAGGAACCGCGAGGTGGTTAACCTTATCAGATTGGTACATTGCATGCAATAGTCGACATTACCAACTATCTCCTTCCCCTTAAATTAATAGGAATTAAATAAAGACTATGCTATGGAATCTTGCTGGAATACATCAGTGTAAACCGCATTCAAATCAGGTAAGATGTATCTGAGATAATATCCATAAAAACAGGCTATTTATATTAACGTTTTGGATATTCATGCTTTAAATTTTTCTTTTTAATAACCTATACATATATAGTACCGAGATCTACCTGACACAGGCGTCGCTATACTTGCTAGGTAATACCAACACTGTATTATTGAAATCAAATTGATATTGAAAGATTTTTTATTTTAATAAAAATAAAAATCATGTTAGGTAATACCGGGAGAAACAGCGGGCACAGTTAGTAAAAAATATAAAGGAAAGACAAAAAAGAAATAAAAATAAAATAGGCAAACAGACAAACATTATTAAAACAATTTTCGTCAAGTCAATCTCAGTACCTAGTAAATAAAATGTTTACATTTAAAAAAAAATATTTATGGTTCAGATTACTATATTATAATATCTATCCTAAGTTTTTTTTATAGAATAGTGGGCATACGAGACTGAATTAGACCTGATGATAAGTGATTACTGCCCCGTACATTGAAATTACAAGTGAGAGACACACGACTAAAGACCTTAAAGAGAAATATGCTTCTTGATTTTCAATATCGGCTGATGAGTGTTATAAACTGTGTGGCGTCGCCTTAAGACAAACGTGGATGGGGGTTAGTTGCCCGCCCGTGAAACGGTAAGCTCAGGTGGCGCTACGACGTGCGCCGTGCGCCCCAGTTACGGACAGTGGAGCAAGTAGCACGCGCGACTCGTGCGCCCATCGCATATCTCCGTTACTATATCGCCTTATCAATTTTACTTAAACACAATAATATTTACTGTGATTTATACTCGAATTTATAAGTGAAATGTTATATAGATATTAATTAAAAATTTAAAAAAATGTCGTGTTACAAAGAATTAACAATTATGCTAAGTCTAATTAAATTTTTTTACGTGCTTGCACACGAAGAGAGTGGTGAGATTGCAATGAACTTAAACGCATCTGAAGCAGCATTGAGTTATTTAGCAGAGTTCGTCTGTAGAGATTTACAAATTTATCAATACGGGGTAAGATAATATATTTTATAATTATACTAATATAGTATTAAGAGGAATTTAATTTATTTATGTTTGTAAACATTCTTTGACCTATAGACGCCTATCATCTTAATGTTTGCTGTATTTCGTACGAACAATGCTGCGGTAAACAATCACATATATACAGCCTATAACTATAATAACACTCGCTTATAATAATTAAAAAAAAATAAAAAGGTAGAGTCATAGTGTTTAGACGTAAAATTATAATAAACGAATTTATTTATCAGATCCATTAAATTCCTTAACAATATTTTCCATTAGTTCTTTCCTAATTATTTTAAACAGAAATATTTAGATAGAAATAGAAATTTAGTGCATCTACCGCAGTGGCCAACAGTTGACAATATATTCTGATTACTCCGTGGAGTTTATATATTTTTACTTTATTATTATAATAATAAATTGTATTTATGTATGTGTATTCCCCGCGATTAATATATATAGTTGATGGAATGTGCAAATATCACAATAAATGGATAGCTAATCCAAAACAATAATTTAAAAATCTTAAGATTATTTTTTTTTATCTTACTTTTATTTTTAATTTAGGTATACCACTTGTATATAATATACTGTTATTTCTGATAATCATTCATGTTAGTTTCTTTTTCTGTTGGCGTAGACCCTACACAAATTTATTTATTCTACAAAAAATCAATTGCACATAACTCCACAAGAAACCTAGTTAACGCTAGGTTTTCTCTTAGGTTAGGTAGGTTTTCTCGAAGGTATTTTCTCTTCTCTCGCATTAAAACTACCATCAGAGTTTATACTTAAATATTATATATAAAATAAATAGTAGTCTAGTCCATTTGGGAGCATATTAATTCTATTTAATTTATTATTAATAGAAAACTGTTCATTTACTTTTATTTAAAAATCGTTAATCCGGACTAATTGCTAACGTAGACGCAAATTCTAGAAAGCTAACATAGATAACATGGCATGTAGACATCTGTGGAATTATTTTGTAACGTAAACATCCGTTGAGAAAAGATACAGTAAATCAATTAATATAAAGAATAGATAATACAATTATAGACAATAACTCGAATGTAATTCGTTCACAGTAGTTGTGATTACGTCGATCTGTTAGACAACTGATCAAATAGGAAGGGAATGAATGTTTACAATATCTAGGTCGACACTGTCTGCTGAACATTCGAAAATTTTCAGTGAACCTGTATTTATTGTGAGACCTGGTAGTATAAAATCTAGTAATTATAATGTGATTGAATAATTATACAGTGGCATTATAGTGACAGCTTCAGTTAAAAATATATTTAAAGGCAGATAAGTATATTTTTAATTCAATTAAATGGTATAACAAACAAGCTGAGAGCCCACCTGATAGTAAATGTCGTCAATATAATGAAACAGCACTATAGACTTCAATTCATAATGTAAGGTCAGTGGTACCACTCGTATATTGTCATTCCGAAGTACTAAAATGTCATGCCTTACCCTGTAATTTTACTGTCTTACCTCACTCTTCCACCAGAATATAACTTTAGCGGCTGAAATAGTACAAAGTATCCGCAGTAAAAATTTAGAGGTAAGATAAAATTAGATCAGATCACCTACAATGCTAGTAAAGACCGCTATGCTTCATAGGAATATCAAGTATAACGGTCTAGCCCGTAGCTTCGGAATACATTTCCATTTAAGATAGTTCGACTTTATTCGACCTAAATGTGTCTGTAATATTTTACAATACATTATTAACTTTGTTATCACAGTAAATTGCAAAAATATTAATATTGTTGCACTTACACGGATGTAGAAGGTATATAAACAACACACAGATGAATAAGCCGCTTACCTATAAGCATGTCAATAGCAATAATGATTGTCTTGTCTTATGTGATAGAAAGAGGATTTTACTTGAAGAAAAGTTTTTTTTTAAAGTTGAATTTGGAATTGCATTTCCGCCCACAATTTACAATGGTATACAATGACTGGGCAAAATTAATGGTTGATATGACAAGGATGAAGTCAGAAATTAAGACCACGTGGAAATCGACTTGACAGCACTGAAAACAATTGTTTCTTGTCTTCCCCGAGTAGAACAGTTAACAGATTATTGTCATAGTCAATTTCTGTAAAAATTATAAATAGAAGTAGACGAAACAAGTGCAAATCAAGTATGTGAATACTCGGTAGAGTCAGCTTACACCGGCTTGTATATAAGAAATTGCTTATAGCAATAAGACCACCTTGTGTAATGCACTTTCTAACGTAATTTTTTTATGTGTTCCCTGTGCAATATTGTATAGACGACTTGACTTGAAATGACATTACTGAACTTAAGCTTTCCCCATGGTCCGTAATAAAAAAACTGATTACAGCATTAATTAAGTCCGAACAATATACCTACTTTAATTAGGTTTTCACTAAGTGTAGCTAGGAGGTATTTGTTTATATGAGTCGCCACTCGTTATCCTTTCCTCTCGTCACTTTTTGATTCTTCAGAACTCTGAATACGACAAAAAAATATTCTGTATTAAAATTGTAAGTACTTAGTAGTGCGAACTACTGAGATTATTCATTTGCTATATTGACCAATTTCTCGAAACCTTATTACAGTTTAAAGATTGTAAAAATTATTTCAGTATTAATGTTGACAAACAGGAGCAAAAACGGCAATGATTCAATCTTTCTCATTGGGCACACGTCTCTCGCACGTTGTAAACAAAGGTTAACATCTACAGCAAAGATAGTCGACTTATTCCTTTAGAGGTAATTTCGCTTCTAACTACTGATTCAGAAGAACTAAAATCGTATTCTGGTCGCGCCGGAAGTTTTCTACGTGGTGTTTTGACGCAGTTAGCGGTGGACTGAATGTCACAAATTATTGTAATTCTCTAGGTATTAGACTTCACAATGTAGCTTTGGTACATTAATGTATAGGAATTTTAAAATTTACCTAGACAGAACGTATGTTTCTTGCATGATTCCTAAAATAACCTGAATGGTAAATACTCAATTAAACTGTTTGTTATCTAGGCTCAAAATGTGATTGATATATCTGGCATTAGACATAAGCCTAGGATTGTGTATATAACTATTATGTATCTATGATTAGAGAGCTGAGTAGATATATAAATAATGCGAGAATCCCTGGTTTATGTTATTTCATAATGTACCTACCTAATATTATTTAAATCCACCACAATAATAACTTGGTTTCTATACCATTACTAAGTAAATAAACGAAGCTTTTTTTTAATTGTACCTGGTTTTATATCTGAAATATTGAAATCCTAATAAAATTTACTGCCATGTACTTTTTAAACGTTTATTTATTTTTATTTAAAATTATAGTAATTATATTTTATTATTTTAGTTATTTAACAATTTAAATTAAATTATTTTGAATTATGACTTCATTGCACTGAAGGCCACTGAAACTGAAGTTTGGTTAGTAGTATAAAACGCATTCGAAATAAGGTATTTTACAAGATTCAGTTACAATTATTCACAAAACTTTCACATTAAAATTAGCCGTAGGTCTCGAGACTAGAAAGTATGTTTAATTAAGAAAATATAAACATATTACGTAAAACAAATCTTTAAATTAGGATGATTCTTTAGAAACCATAATATAGAAGGCATCAGATAGGTATCATAATACAGAACTAGAGAACAAAATCTATCCAAACCAATTTAGTAATTAATTCCAATTAAATACGTAAGTAGGCAGACGTACATATTTTTTTTTCCTATAAAAAGATTTACATTTATAACCGACACGAGAATAAATCGAGCTCTACGGATTACAAAAAAAAATCATCATCTAAATCTATTCACTATTTACCAAAGTATTTATGAAAGTTCACAAAAAAATGTAATTTATTAATATTTATTTCATTTCCAACCTTACATATATTTTTACAGTTTTACATCTATTTTTAATTGTTACAGTCGAAATCCTTCACCGTGTCTTCGTGTAAAGAAAATATGTTGGGTATGTATAATTTATACATATAAATATTCATTTATTGATGTGGAAGATATGTATATAAGAAAAACTATTATTAGATGATTTTATCAATACAACAAAACATCAAAGAATTATTGTCATAGTTTTTATTTGTTCATGAGTTCCTGCGCGCTCATCACAAATAGGATAATCGATTTGTATGCCATATTCACAAAAACTATACGCAAACTTCACTTAAAATTTAATATTAATCGATTAATTAGTGAAAAGAACATATATAATTATTAAAAAAAAATGTGTAATCCTACTAGTATTATAAAGACGAAATTTTTGGATGGGTTACATCCGTGTATTACATCCATCTATCCATAATCAAAAACTTTTATTCGGGTAACGCCGCGAGATAAAGCTAGTAATAAATAGTGTCAACAACGCATCACACTGATATAATAGTCCGAAGACGCTAGAAGAATTTCCTTTCTGAACTGCTATACTTTCTTTATTTCACAGATTACAACTCAGACCCAACTGTAGCACCACCAAAGGTGCAAGTAAATTGTCAGTTCCAGTATAATGTGAGATATCGTCTGTCACCTGCAGTCGGAACTAGTTGGCGATTAGTAGTTTTATTACCAGACGATAGAGACAATAATTTTGTAAGTACATTTTCATTTAATTAGAACTCTAAATCTCATGATAATAAGAAGAACTTATCTGATTTTATCACGTAAAAAATACTACAGTCCCAAGCTATTTACAATAAAAAAAAGCTGACGTAACGTGGTCTTCTGAGACACACAATTTAGGGCCTTGATATGTGGAAGTAAAAATGAAATTTCTCTACCATCATTTTATCTATTATGATTAACCCAATTGTACCAGCCCAATCTACTCGCGTAAAACTCTACGATATCGCATTATTTGAATAAAATAATATCAACAAACAAATTAATTACGTGTTCGTAATCAACGTACAATTACGAACGTCATATGTGTCGTACACCCATTGAAAAATGTCGCTGTACAATCACTGATATGTAAATAATCTATATTATTGACGTCATAATGTTGTAGAGGCAAATATTTTGCGAGTTATTACAGATTTCACTTCCACTCTGTTATCGCAAGTGTTAAAAACCCGCATTAACTTAACCGGGATATGCGCATTGTAATGTGCTCATAGTCAGTGGCAGCGCCGCAGCTTTGCTCGTATGAATTAATTATTAAAGCGTACGTAGTTTTATTTGTATTTTTCTTTCATTTAAAGCTTACTAATTCCGATACTATGATTACTTTTACATTTTCCCTTCGTTCCATTAATTCATCCGTTACTGAGTACCATTTGAGAAGAATGTTATCGCAAATGGCAAATTAATAAATGTGTGTGATAAATGCAAAATAAATAAGCATAAAATCAAATTACTCGATTTATTTTAGAAAGATTGATGATATTTCGCCAATTACGGCTCCCTTTAAAATTTATTTTAGAATGCAAATATTAATTTTCAATATTTTCTTATGGTCTACATAATAAAAAATAAACTACATCATTCTTTTATATTATTTTTTTACATTCTGATTTGCTATACACAACTCGTAAAGAAGTCGTTAGAACGAGTTGTTGTACTTGAAACGTAATGTATAGTAACATACATATTTATTGTAGATACCTACATAGTTTACACAAGAAACATGAAATATTATATCTACTTAATTTATTACTAATAAATGAAAATATAAATAATAACACAATAAAATGATCAAAACTGAAATACGTTTGTACAATACTACAATCGGCTTTATAAATATATATATTAGGAGATAGTGTGATCAATATAATGAGTTGATGGCTGAGTGTCAATTTTACTTTAGCGTATAAAAATATCAAATTATTGTAAACAACAAATCATGTCACTACTTTATCTTGTTGGCCGCGATTTCATAGAATAGAAGTATTTAATATTACATGTTAATTAAAATTTATAGAGTTATTATTAATCACTAGTTAAATTAATATACTTTTTATTGAAATAAACGACGATCATAACCTATGTATTACTATGTAATACTTACAGATTTTGTATCATTACGTACTATAATCACTAGATATCTAAAATCATATTATAACCCCACTTTTTGTTTTGCTGTAGTCGGGTAATAAAGTCTTTGTTATGAGGAATGTAATTTTGAACTACTGCACTGATTTGAGAAAAAAATCACTGTTTTAACGTTACTTTATTGCAGGGTGACGACTTAATCTAACACATATAACGTTAATATACCTATAGGTAAAACTCACAAAGTCTCACTTGGGCGAAGTCCAATAATAATCAACCAAGTTTGATTGACTCTACCACTTTGTAATATTAAGATATTTACATAACTAATCTAAGTATTTCATACTATTACCGAAAGATTACACAGGTATATTTAATGATACCTTTAAACTTGTCTGAACTTGAACTGCAATATGAATAATATTTTCCCGAAGATTCGTTCCAGTGAATACTAAGTGATGAATCACAGTTTCCGTGTCACCGCCCCTAAATTCCAATGATATATATTATAGTCACAACAACATTCGATATATTCGATGTATGTAATATAAAGGTGGCAATCATTCATTGGTGGCATACGGCCCGCCTACTAGTACGTAAGTGGTGCCCGCAAGCCGTACAGTACGAGTAGAAGAGTTCCAAAAGCGTCTACTCTATTTGTCCATTAATCTTTTGTATTTATTTAATTTAATATTTCTATATTGGGATGTATGCATAAGCTATAACATTTATGTCGAAAGCATATGTTATAATCAGCTGCCGTTTACGAAAGAGATTGTGGTGTCACATTTCATGTCCAGCTCTTATATTACACTTCCTCAATTTTTATAACAATGTGTGTAATGTAGTATATATTAAAAGATACGATAATCTATATATCCTCAATATTTTTTATTTCAATGTGTGTAATGTAGATATATATTTAAATTAGATACTAAATAATCTAAATAATACGTATAAATGATAAAACTTTATATTTTTTATTTCAATTAATAAGGGCAGAATGCTAATATATTTTTTAAATTACATAAAAAATAATTAAATTAAAATACATGAAAATACACACACACATTATACCGTTTTGATAATATAACCCTAATGATGTTCGAACTTATAATTTCAATTAATTATGTTCGAATTTTAACCATTGAGCGACCACCAGTAATAATAATAACACCCAAGACATATAATTATAAATACAATTAGAAGTTTATCATTTATCCATAATACCTCAAGAACACCCTTTTCCCATTCATGCCTTAATACATTCGCATTCATTCCATCGTTAATACAACACTATTAATTTCATTTTCAGATAAATTACGATCTTAGAATGAGCAATGAACAATTTGGTGAAGTTAGTACTTCACCCCCAGGGAACTATACCATTTGGGTGACTGCTTTGAACAGCAACGGTAGCCATTCCGCATGGAGACGTATTCAACGTATCGGCATTTGGAACGAAACCGGAAATATATATAAGGAAGAATATAAGATAAACGTTACTCTGTCACATGTACACGAGAATGATAGCACTGTAAAAGCATTGTTTAGTTGGAAATCAAATGATGGTGAGTTAATATATAAGTTTAAGGATAATCTATATATATATATATAACTCAAAGGTGACTGACATAGTGATCTAACAACGCACAGCCCAAACCACTAGACGGATCGGGCTGAAATTTGGCATGCAGGTCATGCCTACGTCATAACATCTGTTATGTCGTAGGCATCCGTTAAGAAAGGATTTTGATTAATTCTACGCCCAAGGGGATAATATAGGGGATGAAAGTTTGTATGAATGTTTGTTAATTTTAAACCGATAGGGCTGAGACTTGCATTGCATGCACATACCTCCTATGACGTAGGCATCCCCTAAGAAAGGATTTTGATAAATTCCACCCCCTAGGGGATAAATTAACGCGAGTGAAGCCGCGGGCAAAAGCTAGTAATCTATATTTTTTGTATAGTTAAAGTATAAGATTCGTTTACTTGAATACTGATGTATCGACTGATGATATTTATTTATATTAAGGTAAGCGATAACCGCTGCCTATATTTAAGAACAGCACTACGGATATCAGGTTATCATGTGACGCTCGTGATACTACTAAGTTACGAGACCTAAGTTGTCATGCCTCTTATCCAAATATTCAGTAATTTCAGTGCATTACAAAACCTGACTGAAAGTCAGGTTTTAACATTAACCTGAGTTAACTTCTATACTAATAATATGCAAATATTATAAAGATGAAATATTTTTTATTGTTTATATGTTTGTAATATATGGACTTAAAACTACTTGACTGATTTTAAATACTCTTTCACTATTTGAAAAGTATGAAGCTCACATAGTTGTGTTCTCTCGAGCGAAGTCGGGGCGGATCGTTAGCTATTTATCAAGAAATATAAAAACCCATTTTTTTTCAGACAGCGATGTATGCTTTGATGTCATGAGCTCCTGTAATGGAAATACTATAAGTGACAAAATATGGGTATGTAGCATTAAATACTTTTATTTTAAAATACATTATCGTAAGATTGACACGAGTATTTTTTTTAAATAGAGAAGAAGTCTGAATAATATTTTGTACAAATCTGGAATGGCAAATAATGTAACAAGGCTACCTAATGAACAGTTGGGGATAGTTACCATAAATTTTGACCTGAATAAGTGGCTTTGAGTAGAATAAAGTTTTATTAAAAAAATTGATAATCGTCACCTGAAGACTTAAAATAAATTATGTATGTAGGTTTAAAAATATTTTAATATAATTAATTTTAATAAAATAAATTAATTAACGAAGATTACGTTGTTACATATGTTCCTACGCAAAACAAATATTCAAGTCCAAAACATTTTAATTATAGAGAATAGTCGAATTGACAATGTATATCTTTTTTAAATTTGATTAGGTTATAACAAAACAGACTGCTCGCACACTTCCCTAACAACTAAATGGAGATTTTATTTTCCCCGAGTAAAAGGGTATTTTAAATATCTTGTTCTAAAACAATTATTTCAGCCCAACCAAGACCGTTCTTGGTCTGTAGAGGAGCTGCCTCTAAATGCAGATTGTCAAATGCAAGTATCAGGAAAACATGGGACTACCCGCTTCACATACAAAACCCTCTCGTGTGAAAACTTCTCTTCCTGTATTGGTAAGCGATTATTATTTATTTGTTAATAGTTAATTATAAGATTTATGAAATGTTAGTCAGGTAGTTTAGGTAGCGGCTTTATTTGTTAAGATGCGGACATGATCGATATGATTCTTAGCTATTATTTATGCAGATCTGTTCAGGCGTTTCAATGGCGTTATAATAATAATAATCCAAGACAATTCACACCCATTTAGTCCCAAGCTAAGCTAAGATTGTGTTATGAGTACTAGACAACTTTGACGCCAAAATCGCCTAGTTAGGAGTGTACCTGTATACCAACTTACCACACAGACACCCCTGGTTCGATTCCCACCATTGACTTTTCCCCTCCGATCGATCCCCCGTCCAATTCAAACGGAAAACGATATTACGACGGCCTGAGCCGAGGTTCGAACCCCTAGTGGTGCCCTCAGACTAAAGTCGTATCCGTCAGGCAGGAGCTGGCCTTCAGCCACTCCATAAGTCCTTCCGCGGGTTTGGAGTGCCATCTGCACTCATCCCCTAACGTCCGGTGAAGCTGTAAAGGCCAGCTGAGGCCAACAGCATTAGAGTAGTCCGTAACTAGACAACTGGCATAAATACTTTATATTTTGTAAATATAAAGTTAATATATGTATATTGTTGGTGTTTTATATGTATAAAACACCAAGACCAATAGAAACAATCATACTAATGAATGTTTGTACTGTACGAGGATAAGAACCCGCGACCATCAGAAATGAAACAGTGTACTAAATCGCTAGACTACCGAGGCCGTCCTAGCTCTTTTTATTAACTGTAGTAGGGATCGTAGATACATAATGGAAGGTACTTTGTAGGGATTCTTCGTTTCGTGGGTTAATTATAAATTGTAATTCAATATTTAACTTGTTCAGATTTATCAATGGCCAGGAACGTGACGATAGACGCGGAAACGTCAGCGAGCGCGGGCTGGGACGTAGTGGTGAGGTGGGCGGTGCCAGCGCGTCTACCGGCGCGGTACAACGTCACATTACGTAGCGAACACGTGCGACGTACTATTATTGTCCCCAGTGTGAGTATTGCTGACTTAACCCACTACAGTATAAGGTCGATCACAGTTCGCGGTCCGATGGTATCAGGATGGTAAAATATTATATGAATACTATCCGTAGCAGTCTAGGTCCAGTCGAATCCCATTCCAGTCGCAATCAGAATCGCTTACGATAACTACATGCTGGGGGAAGGGATAGGGGAGACTGATGATCGATCACAGTTCCTCCACGTCTGTCGTCCGAAACTTTCATGGTGGGAGTATTTTTTTAGGAATGATAATAGAATGGTGCACCCGCCTGCGCTAACGGTTTACGCTGGCGGGGCACGAATGGAGGATGATAAGATGAGCATGAACTCAGATCAGTTAGCCCATCGTGAATTATTCAACAAGAATTTATCACGCTAGTTTCCAGGTGGAGCCACGTGGAGATCAACCTGATATAGTATCTACATTGCTAGCAATAAGATAATCAATCCACATTACTAACAATCCTGTTTCCCGTTGATCGGAGTATTACCACACTTCTATAACTATAATGCTAGTGCTAGTGCTACACTATGATAACTATGTGCTGGGGAGGAATATTGTTAGTAATGGGGACTAGTACCCTTATTGCTATCAATATATAATGTCAGTTTGATATCTACGTGGTGTATACGTGGTAATACCACGGATGGGTGCCATATGATTTGATATAGTAATGTAGAAGCCATCGGCTAGTTGACTAAAGATTATTCATATTAAGTATGTGGATTTTCTAATAACTTTGAGAAGGAAGACTTTAGTAGAAATTGAAATATCATCCGTAGCAAATTCTTGCCATGTTTATGTATATGTGTTTATTCTATAATTATAAATAACGTGTAATAGCAACATTCATTTTAAGATACTTGATTGAAAATAACTTTCCGGAAATATGGGCAGTGCCCACAGCTGTCAGGTTTCGAATCATAATAACATACATTTCAACATTAAGTTGTTACTAATTTAAACACGAGTTATTCAAATGTTTATATCACAATTACTCAACAACCGCAAATTTTAAAGAAAGTTGTAAATTGTTTAGAAATATACACAAATGAGGTTGCATATCGAATAATAATTAATCATAATTCTTGTGGTATTGAGTAAATTTAGCAATTTCAATGGGTATTTCATGTAAATGTTTAGAAATCTTATTTTACTGCAATATTTAGAATAGCAATGACGTTTAAACATTTAGTCGTTTATCGTTATTAGGGTTTCATAATTAAATTGAATGTAAATTAATTATTCTGATGGTAAACTTTGTAGGCGGATGATCTAGTCCTTTCATTTCAGCCATGAGTTCAAGTTTAGGCGAAAAATACTTTTATCAGTGTACATTTCTGACTCTCCGGTAATGAAAGCACTAATAATAAACGAAATTAAGCCGAGAGACGGCTGGAGTCTTGTCACGTTGGTTTCAATTGCATTTAGCGAAATGTGCGGGAATGTCAACACGATGTTGGCAATTGACAATGCCTCTGACGATTCCATCTGGGATAAAAGTAGTGTAAGGGTATATTAAATATTAATATATTTTTCTTTCAGAATGCAACGAAAGCAGTATTCAATGGCATTGAAGACGAAGGTTTCTACCACGTATCAATTGTGTCGATTGTTGGGAAGAAGGGTATACATACAAGCAGACGAGCCGTCTTCCCTGGTAAATAAATATTCTCTTATATATTTAGTATAATAATAACAATATATCTCAGGACAATTCACACAGCGCCATCTAGTCCCAAACTAAGCAAAGCTTGTGGATACTAGACCATTGATATATATACATATATAGACACAAGTTTTTCTTTAATACTTTAATATACATAGAAAACACCCTACATTAACATTATTAGTTCTACCACAGATAATATAATTGTTCTACTAACGTATATTACATAGAATTTTAAGTACTTCTCTAGTTAGTAACTAGTTTAGTACCCATAACTCAAGCTTTGTTTAGTTCGGATACTTAATGTCGCTATCTGAATTGTCCTCAGTTACTATTTTATTTAAAGTTTATAAATTTAAAATGTATTATTTACTACTACCTTTCGGATAAGTTTTTTAATGGATGTTAATGGTATGGTGCTCACGTCTGTAGATGTAATAAACATTCTCAGCTAACTCTGAACAACTAAATATAAACAAATATCTCTCTTTGGTGAACAGTGCGAATAGGCATAAATACCAAGAGCCTTATAATGACGGGTGCATGGACTGCGGTGCTAGTGCTGGCCGCTGTTCTGGTGACCTCGCTGGTTTGCTGGAGGCGGCGCCGCGCTTCCAATCTCAAACGACTTTATTTTCCCGTAAGTTACATTTAGTAGTTAAATTTTTTAGACGACCTCGGTGGTCTAGCTGTTTATCACACCGCTTTACTGCCGTTGGTCGCTGCCGGTTTGACTCCTCGCATAGTACAAACATTAGTGTTCATGAGTATGATTGTTAGTATCTCACTGGGTGTTTTCTATTTTTTCTCCTTCTTTTCTTCCTTTTTTTATATGTGTATTATTTTATGTAAGGATCCAGAAGACAAACCCTCAAAATCTGGTTGCGAAGCTCTCGAAACTGAGTGCGGCTCTGAGGACAGTTGGGAAGTGCGACCAGAGAAACTTTTGCTGCACGAGGTCGTGGGGGAAGGTGCATTCGGGGTGGTGCGTAGGGGCACCCTAGCTCCCGCAGCCAAGGAGGTAGCTGTGAAAATGCTAAAAGGTTTCTAACGCTAATACGCTTTTACCAATTATAAGTAAATTAAAAACCCTCTAACGAGAAAATCTAGGGTATAATTATTCATTTATTTAAAATTGGTCCATTCATTTTAAAACTACAATACAATAACCACTTTACAAGTTCATAGCAAAACAAGCTGACGGAATACTGTATAATCATTGTCTATATACCATAGAGGCGATGGTTACAAGTTTCTATGTGGGCTGTATACATACAATCTATATAGGCTGTAGGTATATAAGTCAAATCTGAATATAGTGTGGACGATTCGATTAGGAAAAAAGGTTATATATAAACTAAACAGTAATTATTTTATTTAAAAAGCGGTAGGTATATTTAAAAATTGCATAAATTAGACAAAAGATAAAAAATTATATAGTTTTTATCTTTTGTAAAATTTTTACAATACTTTCAAACTTTTTCTATGTAGAAAAAATAATTAACATAAAACTTTAACAACAAGTGACAAATTACAAAAAAGAGTTTCGGACTTATACCTCTTTTTGTATGGGGCTGTAAAATGTTGATATCACACCTCAGTACTTATTATTAAAGGTATACTGATGTATTTAATTTCAATATTATTTCAGATTTTCCATCTATAGAGGAAATAAGAGCGTTCCGGACAGAAATGGAATTAATGAAGAGCGTGGGTGCCCACCCGCACGTGGTCAGCTTGGTGGGGTGCTGTAGCGGCAGGCGCCCACTCATCGTCGCTGAGTACTGCAGCCGTGGAGACCTTCTCAGCTATTTAAGGTATGTGTTAATTATAGAACTATTAAAATCCAATAATCTATGTAACTCTAAATAAATTTAAAACACCTTTGCTCATATAACTCGTATGACTTAATTAAATTAATATCTATTTATTAATTTGTAAGTAATTAAGAAAATATTCTCAATAGTAAGTTTATTTGAGAGCCTGTCCTTGTACATACCTTAATAGTGCCTGTAAATAATTGCCCAGTATTTTTTTAATAGGAGTTTCACTTCAAAATGTACCTTTTTCAGATGTTTATGGGATGTAATGGTGTCTAAAAGGAACGTAAAATACTATAACAACAATTTGGAAAGCTCCGACTATCGGAACGACTTATTCAAATGCAAGTTTCAAAGGAAACACTCGAAATTAGTTGTCAACAAATTGTATGATCTCCAGGGTATGTGCGACACGGAACTAACGTCAAAGGAACTACTGTCATTCTGTCGACAGATAGCTATGGGAATGGAATTTCTGGCTTCGAATAGGGTAGTCCATAGAGACCTAGCTGCTAGAAATATACTCGTGTCAAGTGACAGAACGCTGAAGATTGCAGACTTTGGATTATCTAGGGACGTTTATGAAGAGAACCAGTACAAGCAAAAAGGGAATGGTAAAATGCCCGTTAAGTGGATGGCGTTGGAATCGTTGACGCGAAGAATATATACTACACAAAGTGATGTGTAAGTGTTCACTATTCGTAAAAACGCCTTTACGCGTTTTGGCCTTTTCTTACGAACTATTTTCTTTATTTAAGAGAAAGTGACAAAACACTGTAATAATTAATATACGTTGGTTCTTAGTTTTTATGACTAAGAAATTAGATTTATAAAAAGGTATTTATATAATGACGGTTTATTTTTATATATTGCTGTGAATACACTGATAGTGTAGCGATAAAGCCTATAAACATGTTAAGCGCTATGAATCTAGTATACCGTTAATTGACACATCTATGAATGTCACGAAGGATTAATAACTGACCGGATCTCATACATCATATTATCCTTCATTGATGCCATGCTAGCGTATACAGTTAGCGTTAGGTATTATCAATTAAAAAGACCCATCTATGATTTGTTCCTTTAGCACGCATATTTTTTTTACTTTTTTTTAACTAAGATCCACCCCAGACCATTTCTATAACATAAATCTCATTGATACTTCGTAACAAATGTAGATAAATATAAGAAAGTAATGATATATAACTAACTCTATTTGCCGAGAAATGTGCATAAAAATGTTAGAGTTCAAATAATGATTTTAAACGACGCTCGCAAAATTTATAATTTTGAAAAAAAAAACATTTAAATACATTGTACTGTTCAAGCAATCAATCCTGAATATATGCATTGAACTGATACAGGTGGTCGTTCGGCGTGGTGGTGTGGGAAATAGTGACGGTGGGTGCGACGCCGTACCCGCGGGTGGCGGCGGCGAAACTCCTGCGGTTACTACGAGCCGGGTACAGGATGCCAAGGCCTAATAATTGCAGCAAACAACTGTAAGTTTCTTTTATGTAACTGGCAAACAAACTAACGGCCCACTAAGTGACAACCATTGCTATACATAGACACCTCATCACTCCCTGGTAATAAGCTTTGTAGAGATGAGATTTCATAAAAATACCATGTGTATGCATTGTATTTTTATGAAATAAACAATACAGATAGCAATACAAAAATATGGTCTTATGTGGAAAAAATATTCAATCTATTTAAAAACTCTTTCACCTATAGAAAGTTAATCATCAGGGAGTGATGAGGGCTGCATTTTATTTAAAAAAATGGTTCCCTAAATGTATAGATATATGTAATAATTGCACCAAGCGACGCAGGAAGAGGTTCTAGGTCTGTTTAGGCGTCCTTAATATTTAATGGATTTGTATTATTTTGTTTAATTCCGCTACAATGAGCATGTGTGAGATGACAAATAGTCAGTGCGGAAACTTGACTACCGTTACGACCTTCTCAAATGGTGATCAAATTCCAACCATTATTGAGTCTACACCCATATTGCGACAGATGTTTCCCCTTTGAACGAGACTAATGTTGACTGTTCGGGAACCAAACTACGCAAATATAACACTTAATTCGATTAAACAATATTAATGTCATTCCCGATCTTGTTTTATTTGCAGGTATGAAATCATGTTATCGTGTTGGCATGCAGCGCCACGAGCTCGCCCGACGTTCGCCGAGCTACACGCGCGACTCGACGAGCTACTCAGCAGCGACTGTGCACATGAGTATCTATCTCTCGAACTCGATGACGAACATGTTGGCGTGCACATCCCGACCAACAATACATCGCATAAAAATGTTAAAATGATTATCAGGTAACATATCATTGTAATATTTCATTGTTAATATCAAATAAGCACGTGTTTCTGACGTAGGTAATAGACCGCAAGCTAGAATTTGGTCAAGACCAATTTACTCCCGGGTCAAAACTTCTAATTTAACCGTTTTTTAACTGATTTTTCTGTCTATTTCTATATTTCTATCCGCTGACATATTAATACACCACGCTACAGCCAGCTGATTATGTTTTGTCTTCAATGTATAGGTTTAACTATGATTTAATAGCAAGTTGGACCGGGGGAAATGACTACACTTTTTTTTTAAGATGTGAGGATGCTACCCTCGGAACCGCAGTTGAGTTTCACTAAGCTAACATAGCATTAAACATAGGTTTCTTAACCACCTTAAGAGTTTCCGACCGGGAGGAAATAATTAATGAAAAAAGCCTCTGGCTCGAGTACTGAGTACTCAAGTAGGCAACGGATGTATAGACTATTTCAGTTATTTATAGACATAATAATTTAAGGAATGACAATGCCATAATGTCATTGTCAAAATGTAACACAGATTAGATAAGTATAAATATATAATTTCCAGTAGACTATTTCAGTTATTTATAGACATAATAATTTATTATTCAGAGAAAGATACGAGCGCCCATTCCGCGCTCCGCACTCCAACCACTACTCCTCGCCCCCTGCGTCGCTTGCCAAACAACATTTACAACCACAACCAGCCTGACAGTACACTGACATTTATAGTTACTGGATCTGATAAATTTGTGTTACATAATTAATGTTCGTAAGTCTACACAAGATGCTATGGCAACACGATCACAATGAGATCAAGTTATGGGCATATTACATTATTAGTTGTTTTGTAATAAAGCTTAAATAAATTGTGAAACTATACGATAAATTTATAACATCTTGTTAAAGTTTTACAATATTTTGTCTAGCTTACGAATTTCTCGCGATTATGATTGCGTTATTTGTTTATACTATACTTATGAGTTCAAAATTGATAGTAGTTATAAAAGGATGTATTTTTGTACTTAGATAAAAAATATTTAGAGCAATACAAGTCTCAAAACGAAGTCTAGGCCTAAGCCCTTCTTATTGGCCACGTATGAGGAGTACCTTGGGTGTCAAATAGTGATGTAATAGCTGTGTTGTCTCTTGACGATGCTTATATATACATATATATGACCATCAGCTTTTTTGCTATCCAATTGTGGAATGAAGAGGTTTTCTCGAGAAACTACAGCATAGGGTTTTTCGAGAAGGGTATAATACCCTATTTGATAAACCTCATGAATACCCTTCTCGAAAACCCACATGCTGTAGGAACCCTAATAGGATTCTTATGGTTCGTGCATGTGACCCCCTGGTGTTTCAGGCGTCCTACGGTAACCGTTTACCAAAAAAGTGTCGTTTGCTTATTTTCCACCTGCATAGTATAAAAAAAGCCAGGTACATAAAAACATATACATATCAAACACTATATTTTATATGTGAATATGTCACAAGAAATGTTTAGACTAAAATACACAAATGTAACACTATAAGTTACTTATATTAACTATTATTATACAATATATTAGTACAACTGTACTAAAATTTTGTACTACAAAAAGAATCGTAAACAAAAATAAAATTTTCACTTCTTACTTCCTTATTATATTTAGTTATTCGTTTTTAAATTGTTTTAACTATAAACTTATTAGATGAATAAAGACAATAAGATTATGTCCGGTAAACCTATAACGGCCAGTTGCGGCCAACATCATTAAAATAGGTTGAAAAAAACATCAAATTCCAACCTATTCAATGTTTTGAATCTGATTTTGTTTTTTTTTAATATACATATTTAAATTCGCGACTTCAAAATTATTGTTAAACGTTAACCCGAGTGCAAAGCGCACTGAAAGCGCTATATAATTATGTATTGGGCATCGTAACTTGTATACAAGTACATGAGCATAAGTAAAATTGTGCTACGATATGGATGGAATAATGTCTTTGGACCATGGGAGTTCCTTGGATTAACCTGGAATACGATAGCTACGTATTTATATATATATAAGATTATCTATTCTGTATAACAGTATTTTATGTAAAAAAACTTAAGGCTGCATAGATTAAATACGTTTTCTTCCATTGTCCATGTACGCATTGTAAAATGTATACTAAAGACAATTATATGTAATAAGTTTAGTAGTCTATGGTGTACACCTAAAATACCTTAGAGTTACTTAACCAAAGCGAATTGGTATCTATGCCCGCGAAGTTGGCAGTTAAATGTGATAATAAGTTAGAATTTATAGTGTAAAGTAAATAACAATAATAGTCTGTAATATTATTGTTTTGTAAACAATAGATGTTGAAAACATTTATTGTGGAATTTGTATTTTTATACAATATGTAAATATATTAATTAAGGAGTAATCTTTGTCGTAATATTATTTCCAGGCCGAATGCACCTTATCCTTAAAAACCAAAAACCTTAGCAGGGGCTTTCAGGAGTGGGATGGAGATGTTGGTGTTACCTAAACCCATTATTCTAAAAGGTAGATGCTATATGGGCTACATAGCTACATTTATATTGCACTTCCCGAGTCATTTATAAATATTTTCTCTGTACTCGTTTAAATATATAAATACGAAACGACTAAGATGACGATCGTAATGGAAATAGGAGAAATAAATACAATTAAATTATAATATGATCACATTATATTATCTTCATACTTATATTGTACACTGAAACTTAATGCTAAATACAAAAATATTCATATGCATCACTTCAATTTAACAATCAAATGTTACCATCAAATACTTGCCATTTTAAACTATCGTGTATTCATACCTTTATAATTTATCAGAGACAATTCCTATACGATAAAGAAAACAATACATAAGCCATAAAGCTATGAACACACGATATTAAAAAATCCTTTCACGTTCATTCGTGATGTTATATTCAGTACATTATGTTAGGACGTACTCGTATGAGCAAACAATAGCAATAATCATAATAGAGTGCTTACGCTATGATATGACTGAATAAACCACCGCGTAATATACTAAAATCAATATCACACTAAAAATCGAGTTCTTACAGACTTACTGTTATTCATGCCCTGTGGAATAATCTTTAGTAATTCAATATTACAATGGTTAGTGCCAGACAATAACATGGCAAGATCGTTTACATTCAAAATTCTATTATTAACACCAGTTTTATTTCACGATTAAACAATAAAAAATTAAATAAATTACATGCAAAATTATCATGCAGTTTAGGCCTGACCTCCATGACGACAATGGTAACATGGCAAAATTTTACCATAATGAGACATAGGAAATTTTATATTTATTTACACGTATCGGTCATAAACACAGACAGTCCATCTGACAGACACTTTATAAAAAAAAATATTGCGCAATAATATAACAAGGAAAAAAATATATGATATTTACATAGTATCATATATTTTTTCCCTCGTTATATATCTTATAAAATCAAATAAACATTATAAGAACTACAGACTTATTACCACTCTCTTCTAAATGACAGAAAATTTCGTGTTAATTTCATTAAACAAAAAACTTAATACAATGGTCGCAATGAATGAGTAACAAAAGAATTAAACAAAATATTTCACACATATTAAATTCAATTATAGTACCGAATATGAATAATAATAGTCTCCATACGTTTCCAATATTAATATAGTCTCAAACCAATATAAGGAATGGCAAGATTATAAGTATAAACGACAATTCAGTAAAACCAAACATATTTCATAAACAAACCGATTCATTTCGATATCACTATCCTAATACTAACTAACACTTATAGTGAAATATATCTATACATAAAATAATATAAGTAAGTGATTTCTTTATAACCATATATATTTTACAGAGATACATAGATACAAACTTTAATCAATACAATACCGATAGAAATTTAATACAAATAGAAATTCGCGATATTGAATACATCACCATTTAAAATATTCTTAAACAATTATAAAGAGGAATAAGTAGTAACTTAATAACAGAACACTAATGATATTTAAAAATATATTAATTGGCTTAATAATAACAATAATCGAGTATTTTTCCCAATCTCCGGTTCAAACCTAACCTATATTCATACAAAAGTGCGAATTTTATCATAGTAGTGAATATAAAACTTATGTCTAATTATATAGGAATATTACAGGTAATGTTGTGGTATTTATTTGCAAGGAGATCATATTCTGTACACACCCACACCATAAAACCACAGACGAGCTTTGGCTGATAATACTTTAGTGTATCATAATTATATTTATAGATGTTTTATAAATCAACCTATATTACAATGACAATTATCAACTATCATAAAATGGTCTTATGAAATATATTTTATACATGATCATAAGTACTGATATAACCACGGTATGGTTTCAGATATTTGCTCTATAGAATGCTATCCATTTTATAGATAATCCCCAAACGAACCCTCAAAAATTCAAAACGTCACGACTGATTATATCTTGTGTTTAAGATTTGGCGTATATAAGTATTAATTATACAGACATACATTACAAGTTATAAGGTATCAATACGGTTACACTGCCAATCAATTAATTTTAACTTTAATACCATTAGGCATTTATTTTCATGCACAAATTAATTAAGCATCAACTGAAATATGTCCTGTTTTAACACTGACTTCCAGTTAACTATATTTTACACTGCTGAAAGTTAAGTGAGTTCTGTTTTTATAATTTATATATAATGTCGGATATAACTGCAATCTTTGCATATTTTAGATTTAAAACCTCTGTTATAGACGTGACCTGAAATAGGGTTTGCGTTTTAAATTGAAAAACGATATTTTTATTATATACCTTAACGGCCATATCACAAAAAATAATGTTTTTAAAAAATAAAGCGTCTAGTACATTTAACGTTGTCTTACATTTTAGTTCGATATTTCAATAATTTCTTTTTTAAACTCTTATGAAGATTATATATAAAATAGTAATGTAGGTCAGTCGAGTGGTGTCAAAGACACGAAAAATTAGATAGCATCTGAGCATTTCCAGCTTATTTGATACAGTGTTGGATATAACGGTACCGATACCGCCAGTGGTCGACGACTACAGCAGGCCTACTTGAGATATCGGACGATTATTTGTTATACGTTTTCACTTATGTGTATGGGTTTTGGTATCAGCAGCAAATTACCGAAACAATTACATCAGGAACATGTGACGACATGACCTAGTATCCCATATCGGCTATTAAAACCCTACAACGTGTTGCATATTGTGGAACCACACTCACGTATGAAGTCTTCGGTCAGCCAGAGCTAGTTGGAAATCAGTCGATAGGCGGCGGCTGAGCTGGAATGTCTACTGGTGGCGCTGTTAAGTAGCCAGCTGTGTGAGACGCACCTGTTATGTTTTAATACATGTATTAACATCACAAATTTTATATAAATATAGGTAATTAATAATATTTAGGGCGGCGCGCGCGGTCTTTCTCGTTCTCTTTGTTTACATTTACATGCACATCCTCTCCTGCGTGATAGCCTACTCGAGCGCAAAAGAGCGTACGTGTAAAAGCAGCAATTGAGTAGTGGCATACGTGTAAAGGTAGCTATTAAGTAGTGGTAGCATCGTACGTGTACAGGCATCTTCATCTACAAGAGGGCACGTGTAAAGGCAGCTTTTATCTATAAGATCGTACATGTATTGTAAAGGCAGCTATTGAGTAGTGGTACCAGCGTACGCGTACAGACCGGTTTTGTCTACAAGAGCGCTCGTGTAACGGCAGCTGTTGAGTATTGGTAGCACCGTATTTGTATGGCACTTACCGGTGAGGGCGTGATGCTGGGGCGCGGATATGAAGAGGTCGTGTCGCTGGGCGGCGTACTGGTCCCAGACGCGGCTCCGCTGCAGCGCCGCACGCACGCGGTCGCCGTGCGCGGGCGAGCGCGCCATGGCCTTCAGCGCCGCCACCAGCCGCGCCGCCGCGCGCGCCTCCAGCCGCGCCTCCAGCGCCGCCAGCAGTTCGCCCACCAGCTCGCACTCCAGCGCCTGCCCACACCGCCCCACAATTAACACTCGCTTCAACGGGGACGAGATTCTTTAATTTCTTCGTCAAATAAAAAAAACCGGCTCGAAGGACCAATGTTCAGGTCGTACTCAAACTATAAAAAGATTCTGATAATTAAACCCATTTCGTTCCCGTTCAACCGGGAAATGTAATTACGACTGCCTGAACCGAGGTTCGAGTCTCTTGCGATGACCTCAGATTAAAATCGTATCCTGTTATTTTACTTTAGTTTACTTAGGTTTTGGATAACAATGACATCATACACCGGACTATATATCAAAGAATTAGAATTTACCTAATGTCAAAACGTTGTTTTCTAACGGCTGTACATTACAAACCTGTAAAACTAGTCGATCCGTATTAACATTGCTGTTAAATATAGAGGCGAGCGCTTCACACGCGCTGCTGACGATCTCTCGACACGTCTTAATCGCCGTCTTCAGTCCGGGCATTAGGTCAATTTGTGTCAACGCCATCACGCACGCCTAACAACGCGACAAATCAAGTTAAAAAAAATACAGTTCTCTTCTTCATAGTCCATTACGACAGATTTTTACATATGATAGAAATGTAGCCGATCAAAATCTGTATATGGAAGACATATATTTATATCAATATATCAGAACAATTATAATATAGTTTTATCGGTTTATATACGAGTTTGTAAACGCCAATCTCAGAAAAGGCCTAATTGATTTAGGTGCAGTGTTGACTAATATTTTGACTTAGCGACACACTGTATCTCACCATTCAACCGAAACATAGCTTCAAAAAAAGCTGCTTTGCGGTTGGCAGAATTAAATGAGACCCACTCATAAGACTTTACAATGGATGTTAAGAATCAATGAGTGGAAAATCACTCCATAAATTAATTACATTATGAGTCCATTATTGCCAAAGGTAGGTTCGCGACAGGGTTATACCATTTCGCTATTTTTGGCCTTAGGTATGAACGATATAATATTACGTACATATACAGAGACATAAACTCATCTAAATTTATACGAGATTTTGATCTACAAAAATTCGTCAGAATATTACGATGTATCCCATATATTGAGCTAATAATAAAAATTGAAGGTCGGCTCCGCTTCGCCGCTCATTAGCTAGTAGGGCGTGGTACCTGTGAGTCCGCGAGCGCGGCGAGCACTGGCACGGCGTGGAGCGGACAGGCGGCGAGCAGGCGAGCGAGGCGCGGCAGCTCGCCCAGCTGCGCACACGTCTCGCCTAATTGCGGCCGCGTCCGTAACAGCACCTCTAGCGCTTTAGCGCACACGTCACCACGGCTTCCCTACATCATTGCCATTACATTTTATTTTACTACTAGTAGACCCGGCCACGCGTTGCTGTGGCTGACAGTTTGCTTATATATAGAAATAATTTACAACAAAATAATATTACGAGTATAAATTGATATGTAAGCTATCTTTCGAGTTGGATCAAATAGCACACAATGTACAAATCAAATTTGCAATCGGTTCAGTAGTTTAGGAGTCCATCGCGGACAATCAATGTGACACGTAATTTTTATATATAAAGATAGGAATATACAAATGCATATAAAAGTAAATAATATTAATAATGAATTTTAACAGTCATAATCCAGGACGATTCCCTTACCGCCTCTAGTCCCAAACTAAACTGACCTTGTACTATTGAGCATCATCATCATCTGCTAAAATATGCTAATATGTTTTTCTCTTCCATTCATCCCTCTTCACAGTCATCTCGTTATTTACTCCTTTTCTTACCATATCATCTTTCACACAGTCCATCCGTCTCTTTTCTTCCTTATAACCACAACATTCATATGTAACACCTTCCTTAAAATATTATCTTCATTGCACTATTGATACCAAGCAAGTTATAAAAATATTGAATTACTATTTTCTTGTTGTTCATATAGGTATATAATATACATCGTAAACACCCACATTATACACTGTCAATCACAATCCAAATGATTCCATTGTGCGAGAATCGAACTTGCAACCATTAGAAGTAAGCGGTGTGCTAATCCACTAGACCGCCGATGCTATCAATAAAATTTCAATAAATCATTGAAAAAATCACAAACCTCGGACGAATCCTTATTGAGCGATGCGAAAGTTTCAGTAAGTAGCTCCTGCAGGAAACGCTTGGGGCTGCGTAGGTTCCATTGCGGGTTCTGTAGATAGAGTTTGAGGTAGACGCCGGCCACCACCACCTCGCCGGGCGGCGCCCACGTCTCCTCCCCACCGGACATTCGCTCCAGAGTCTCGCGGTCCTCGAATGTTATATTTGGATCGCGAAGCTGATCCGATTGGTGCCTAAAATACACGTGAAATTTTATTAATTTAAAACTGGAATTTTACAATAGAATGAATGAGTTGATCGCTAGAACGAGTACGACGTCAACGTTTTCAACGTTTTCCTGAGTGATTTGCATATTATAATAACCGTTTTAACGAAATTAAATTCGTAACTGGAAGAAACCCTACTATTTCGATTCTCCGGAACTACATACATATGAGATAAACTAGGTTGAGGTACCTGTCCCTTAGTTGTGCAACGTGCGAGGCGACCCTGCGTCGCGAGTCGTCGGTCCACACGAGCTCGGGGTGTTCGTGCTGCGTGTCGAACATGTGCAGCGCGTGCGCCGCACCAGCCTCGCGCATCGCCTCCGCGAACACACCCGGCACGTACCGGCACAACATCAAACGGACCTGATAGACAGACCAATTTACACATTACACTGTACACGTTCACGTTAAGGACGTGTATACGGTCATCGATGGTCTGGCGATTTAGCACACCGCTTTACTAACGACGGTCGCAAGTTCAATTCTTCCCACGGTGCAAACATTCGTATGAGTATGATTGTTTGTATCGGTATGGATGTTTTCTATGTATATGAACATACATATTTACAAAAAAATCTGTGTATTTATATAAGTTGTCTAGTATACATAACATGAGCTCTGCATACCGTGGGACTAGATGGCGCTGTGGTAATTGTCCAGGGTTATTTATTTATTATTATTTGTCTTAAACTTTTTTAGTTTTGGGATATTCCTCTTGAAAAGTATTTTTTTATGTAATTCGAATGGCAAACTAGCTCATGAAGTACCTGATGGTAAGTGGCCACCTAACCCATATGGCATCAATGATATTTTACTGTATTCATATACTAATACAGGCACGCTCTAAACAGAATAGCAAAGATGGTTTACGAAGGGAGTGAACCTCTAAGTTTTAGACCGTTTTGTCTCCATTAATACTTCTAAATTATATTATAAACAGCCATAGTAATAGTTTATTATTTCAGACAATAAAGATGATTATTATTATTGTATATGCGTGGCCATTCCGAAGGTTTGAGATGACATGCATCTTATGTAATTTCACTGTCTAATCTCACGCTACAATCGAAATACATCCCACAAAGGAAGCTGTTTGATTGCTGAAATAGGTAAGACCAAACTTTCCACGCAGACGACAAAACATACAAATACATAAAAAAAGAACACAGATCATTTAAAACAATATATTTTACCTTGGGCCCGTGTAGTTTGTCGGCCATCATCCGCGCTAACAACTCCACAGAAGCCTCTCTCGTCTCCGGAATCTTACTATTACAGAACAAGTCCAAAAGATATATCACAGCACCTGTATAAAAAAATGTACATTTTTTTACAAAAAAGTATGTAATACAACAGTAATTAAATTTAAAGAACAGCTAAGAAATAAAATTCAATGGGGAACTAATATTGTTCCCTATAGTATACCAACTCATTATTGTATATACATTACATCTAATTGAAGCTTAATTTAATTAGAAGCAGTTAGATAATTATTTATGTGTACCAGATTAAAAATTTTGTACCAATGTGCTAAATTGCTATACAACCAAGATTTTATACACGAGGCGAAATTTCAGCCCGAGCCGGAGGCGAGTGCGTAATAGAGCTATGTTATATACGCACGGACATATTTCAACACACTTGCGAGGAAACAGAAGAAAAAATCATGATATTATTGTTCATTTTTAATTATTTAAACAGTGAAAGTACAATTATTCAACCGATACGTACATTCAGTCGTCTTACTTTTTTAAATCAGAGCGCTGCCTACGGGCAGACGCCTTGCGGTGGTCAGTACGAAATTTTATAAGAAAAAAGGAAATATTGCGGTTATGGAATGTAAAATCAATATTAGCGTTTACTTACGTCTATTTTATGAGCTACTTTATATATGGAAAACCGGTGAATTTAGATCCACTTTACGAGCAAGTGTGTTGAAAATATTATAAATACTCTTTTATAGACACGGATCAGTTTTCTTAATGAAACTCAAAATCAAAATTGACGAGCATTTCCTTGACAAGTGCGAGCGGTGGCGGGCCCGCGGTGTGTGATGCTACGAAGACAATATAAAAATACGCTTACCTTTGGCAAGCGCCTCCTACGAGCGCGGGCGGCGGCGGCGGGCGCGCGGTGTGTGGTGCTACGGAGACAATATAAACATACGCTGACCTTTGGCGAGCGCCTCCTTGACGAGCGCGGTGTTGGCGAGCAGCGCGGCGAGCACGTCGAGCGCGGGCGGCGGCGGCGGGCGCGCGGCCAGCAGCGCCACCAGGTGTCCGAGCACGGCCGACGACGCCACGTCCTCCACGCAGGCGCGGTTCCCGGCCGCAGCACGCGCCGCGCCCAGCGCCGCCGCCTGCAGGGCGGGCTGCGCGCGCGCGGACATCAGACCGAAGATCAGACCGAACTGGCCGATGCACTGGATCTCCACGCCTGAGCACGAGCACGCTCTTTAGTTTCGCGTACAACGTGAGACTAAACTCTGGGCTACCACAGCGTACCCAGGTGTTAAACAAATATAACAGTAATTCACCAGTGGATTGTTGAACTAAAAAGGTCTTATGCACACTGGAATTTATTTAGATATTTAGGATGAAGGAACTACATTTTTGTAGTCTTAACATTTCGTAGTCTCTCAGGCATGTGTCAGTTGAAGACGCAAAGTGAACATGAAAGCACACAGTTATTTTTTTTTAAGTAACCCGCACTAACCCACCTACGCGAGGATTATTACCCTCGTAGTTGATACCAGAGCAGAAGGGTTCATCCCGAGGTCCGTACCCTCACCCGCCTGGAGGGACGCCTAAAGACCAATGTCAGTCAGTTGAAATGAGAGGTTTGACAACATAACGATTAAATTTCCTTACTTCAAGGTATATACCACAAAGTAAATAAATTTGTTAGACTCTTACCAGGATGCTTTATTATGACGTTAGCGATGGCAGTAAGCGCTAAAGTGAGGTTCGCTACTCGTTCAGTCGTCATGTCAGCCTTTGTCTCTGTCTGTACGTACTTCAACAAGTCCAAGATGAACTGCTGAGCATTCTATAACAATATTTTGTATATTACATAAACGAATGGCAAATATGCTAAAAGAACACCTAATAGAAATAACAACAAACAATATATACATAAACGTCATTGTTATACATATCATATTTGTGTGTACCGTCACAATAATAAAATGCACGTCTCGTAATTTGTGTGGTCATTAATTTTTTATGTACGTACCGTATATATTATATTTTCATACGCATTTATTGAAAAGATGTTTCTTTGTTAGTTGTTTAGCTCAACGCCTTACATCCGATGGTCGCAAGTTCAATTCCTCGCAAGTTACTAAATAATGTATACTCACGAGTATGATTGTTTCTATCGGTCTAGATGTTTCCATGTATATTATGTATGTATTAAAAAACTCTTTATATCAGTGGTCTAGTATCCATAACACAAGCTCTGCTTAGCTTGGGACTAGTTACCACTATGTGAATTGTCCTGAGATATTATTATTATAAAACAAAGCAGTAACCTCGATAGGGAAGTCAGGTTGGTCGTTGTATATGTCGATGTAGACGCCACCGACGGAGACAAGCCCCTGGTGAGCGCTGTACACGAACGGCTGCACGAGCGGCGCCTCCTCCTCCATCAGGCACCGGGTGTCCCGTAACACGTCGCGAAGTTCCGCCCGCGTACTATTATCCCATACTAGGTACGGATTGCGCCAATTCGATGTCAAAGTTTTTAGGAGCTGCGGAAGGTACAATTACTATTCGATTAGTATAACCTCCAAAGCTTATGTAACTGCAATAATTTTATACATATATGGAAGTCGAGAAAGACACAAAATCACTGCCCTGTGGGACGCCACATTTTACAAAATACTATTTGTACAAGATTATGGGAATATTATAAATATCCACACTATTATTAAAAAGAACTTTACAGTAACATAAGTATACCTCGGATATTCAGGCACTTTTATTAAACAAGTAGTATAACGATTAAGACATTACTGAAATTTCCTATGAAAATGTTAGTAATTACAGACCTACTAGACTTTGGGAGAAGCTACGGTAAATTTCACATAACAATAATACTCACAATTATTTAGTTTATATAAGGTACAAACCTCGTGTGTATCCTCTTGAGATAATTTTGAGCAGAGATATGGTGTGAGCAGCGTATGAAGAGCATCAGTAATGCGTTCATCGGTGGGCGCATGCTCTGGTTCAGAGTGAGGCCCGTACAGCTCTGAAAGCGCACGAACGCACTCTTTCGCTAGCTGGTTTGCTACCTCCTGCATCACATATATAAAAAAGGTAAATCACCAGCAACAATATTCATCTAAATTAACAAGAGAATCCTTAATACCATGTAACCATTATATGCAATTCATTCGAGAATACAAATGTCTGTAGTATGCGAAGGTCCAATCCGGAATCATAGGAATATAAGTCTGGGGACAGACTGCTGTACCATCGAGACCGTTATAAACCTATATATATATTTAAACTCTTTTCTTACATATTGGTTGACATACTTAAGGGTAAGTGGTACCGACAAACTTTTCACACAAAGTGTGTAGTAATGTACTTAAGCGTAAGTGATAGTGATAGACTTTTTCCACAAAGTGTGCCTCGGATAATGCACTCGGGTAAGTGGTAGCGGTTGAGTCTCACCTGCTTGTTGGCGGCGGCGTCGCTGTCGACGCCGGACTCTGCGAGCGTGTAGTCGTACTGCAGCACGAGCGGCAGCAGCGCGTGCAGGGCTCCGGCGCGGGCCAACGACGCGCGGCACGTGCCGTCCGCTGCCAATGCTGCCGTGGCTTCCGCGCCCGCGCACGCCGTCTCGCCCAGATTCTATAATACCATTATAAGATGCGATTAAGCATTATACGCATATATAAGCCCATGACAGGATCGCCATATGAGAGTAGTACTCGATAGGCACTGGCGACATTTGAGTGTACTCTTCGTTTATTGCTTTAATCAATACTTTTTACTACTTATACAAATATCCTTACGCACACATCGCTATCCAGTCTCCAACTAAGCAAATTATCTGATGAAAATAATCGAAATAGAAAACAACACATATAATAAATCTTAAGCTTTTTTATACTACGATGATGCCACCATTGTAGTACAAAAAGGTATTTGCCAAAACAAGCATGTGTGTTCATACATACATCATAAGTTACCTTTATTGACGTGTGAATAGACGTTCGCGCAGAAAAGAATGTGCATATAAAAATAAATTGAAATGTAAGTCGTGTAAAGGCAGTTATTACCATTCTAGTAATCACTTGGTCATTTCACACCACGCTATTCGGTCGTAGTTTGAACTAAGCATATTCTGATTATCTGACGAAAATACTCAAATCATGCTCTATTTAAACTGACTGTTATAATACAGTTATAAATAAATATAAATATATAAGCGTTACATACAGGTCGTCGCAGCAGCGGCACGATGTCGAGGCAGAGGTTGGGCATCTGCGCGCACACCTGGCGGCAGGCGTCGAAGCGCGCCGCCACCGCGAAGCAGCGCGCGGCGTGCGCGCACACCGCCGCGCCCAGCGCGCCCGGCAGCACCGGCACGCACCGCGACATCGCCTCGTGCAGCACCTGCGCACGGGGGGAGTTACAGTCACGGGGGAAGGGGATTGTTACAATATGGACTGTACGGTGGACACCGCCTCGTGCAGCACTAGGGGGGGAGTTAATGCGTTCTCGGGGGACATCGCCTCGTGCACCTGCGCACCGGGGGGAACTAATGCATACACGGGGGGATAGTTAGTAATATGGACTAATAATCCTATTCTGTCGAATTAACCTCCATACGTTTCCCCCAGGAAACCGTCGTGATAAATTCCTGACGAATAGCATATTTGAACAAAAACGAAGTAGACAGATAAACAATAATGCAAGGACAAATTTACTGAACTTGCTAATCTTTAAATAATCAAAATTAAAAAGACACTTGATGAGACCATCTACTCGTTCAATAACAACCAACATTAGCTAAAAACAAAACAGTATATGTCTATGCTAACGTGTTGTATCACAGTCTTTTTTATACGGAGTCTTCGTTTAGACCAGATAAAAGGAGATAAATAATTATAATAATGTGTGACCATACCTGCAGTCCACCCTCGCGGCGCAGCTCCTCCGCGTTGAGTGCGGAGCAGGCGACGGTGGCGTGTGCCAGTTCGCAGGCGGCCGGCAGCAGCTCGCCGCCGCCGCCGCCGCCGCCACCACCCGCAGAGAACAGCGCGTCCGCGGCCGCCTCCAGCCGCGCCGTGCTCAGCAGCATCGGGTACCCCGCGTACTTGTACGGCGCCAGCACTGAGGCACATGTACACACGTCTTAGAAACAATCGAGATACTTACCGACATACGAGTTTAATTATTCCGTAACCTTGCTCGTATCATAAAGCTTTCCCCATTGAAATTTCAACTTGATAATAATAATAATAGTAAAACTAAAAACCACGGAGGTTAGTTACTTCCTCCCTTTCACGATATTGCGGAAATGAGGATAGAGGGGGGAAGATTGTTAGTAATGTGACTAATGATCCCATTGTTAGCAATGTACCATGTCAGATCGACCTCCACGCGGTGCCCCCTGGAAACCATCGTGATTCCGTTAGCCCATCGTGAATTTGTCACGATGGGCTAACTGATCTGACTTCATGTTCATCTTATCATCCTCCACTGGTGCCCCGCCAGCGTAAACCGTTAGCGCAGGCGATGGCAGGCATTCCAAATCATCCTTAAAAAAAAATAAGGATAGAAGTACTTACCGTCTGAATATCTCTTGAATAATATAGTCTGTGTGCGTAATATCAACACGATATTGTTTGTGTTGGGCCCATCACCAGTCCACACATTCCTGCTGCACAGAAACTCGTAAGCTTGATTCACTGCTTCAAATCGATCCTGTCAATGCAGAATAGAAATTATATTTATTCAAGTAAATTTGATTTAAATCACATCAAAGGTTGTGTTTTTTCTAATATACATCTGCAAAAAAATCCATACTGTAGTACTAGAGAAATCCTCGGCAGGTAGTTCGTTCTACAATCGCAGAAGCTCCTCCTGATAATGAAATTGTGCCACCACCCGCCTGGACTAATGGTATACGCCGGAGAGACTGCACTTAATGATGAGTATCAGGATGAAGACAGGTTATTATCGTGACTAATTCACCAGATTAATTCCTAGAATCAGATTCAGATGCAGTCCTAAAGTATCAGATGCAGTCAACAATTAACTAAACTTGTACAAAGTCCAAGACATTTTGTCAGATATCACAAAAATTTTTACGGTTTCAACTGATAACTGTGATCACTTACGCGTCCCTCGGGGTTCTTGTCGGGGTGGTACTGCTGCGCGAGGCGGTAGTAGGCCTTCCTGACGGCCGCCTCGTCGTGCTGGCCGGCCGGCAGCCCGAGCGCCGCGTACGCCTCGCTCGCGCTCATCGACGGCGGCTTCTTCTCCACCTCGCGCCGCCACGCCTCCAACACGTCTTTTAATAGCCGCACCTAGAAATTACATCCGTTTATTTAATTCAGCCTACTAATAGCTACCTTTACCTCTTTAGCTGCCTCTTTTACGCGGAAATCGGCTTTCACGAAGGAAATAATGTAACTCTAGACAAAGACAATGAGAAAGCGCGCGCCACCAGCTCGCGCATTCCCGCGTTCTTCAATCGTGCGTGCTTTAACGCCTATTTGTAATAATGAAATATCATTACAAAATGGTGGACACTTAACTATGGTGCAAAGATTAAATAGAGTTATTGATAATTTATAAATCTTAAATTGTGTTTTGGAACAATAAAATTTGTGAAATTAAAAATAAAATTTTATAGCAAAGTGAAATGACATGAAACATACGCACTCTCACGAGCGATAGAGTGAAAACAAAAAATAGTTGAATATACTCACTCACAATTGCGCGCGTTGGCTTTCCTGCGCTAAAACTTTATAATACAATATGCATATATATTAATGAGATAACTGAGGACTTACTGGTTCAGGTATGGGCCAGTCGGGGAACGTTTGCGTATCGCAGAGGTGTCGCAGGTAGAACATGCTGCAGAAGAGCTCGTGCTGCAGCTGCGGGTAGCAGACGGCCGGCACGGCCAGGTACGGGTACCGCGCCGCCACGTGCGCGCGCAGACGAGGCGTGAACTCGCCGATGTGCGCCGCCACCTTCATTATCAGGATCCGCCTGCGAACGATCGTGACCGTTATGTGTCTACACTCGTAATATTTCTATCAACACTCGACACCTTTCATTAGTACCTCTCCAGATAACATACAAAATAAACTACAAAATACTGTGTGCATTGTGTATAAGACACACAACATTTTGTAGTTTCGGAGATTCGAACGCATTCGAATCTCTCCGGCAATTGAGGTGAAAGTACAACAAGTAGATATAAATAATCAAATACAAAACTAAATATTTATGACTACAGCGGCGATTTTTTTGCTCTCATCGTGTTATATACTCGTCCTATAACTAACCTCATCTCCGAATTCCATATGGCCTCAGGAGTATCCCACTCGCCGAGGAATATTTGTGCGAACTTCTCTGAGCCATGGTTCTCCAAGTAACACACCATCGCTTCCGGCAACAGTTGGCCCAATATAGATCTCTGCATTATGTCTGAACTCGACTAGAAATAACAAAAATTTTAGTGCGACTTGCATAGGCTTAAATATTACTTAACACATTAAATAGAATGAATCGGGAGGATCAATTGAATACAAATACAATTTACATTAATAATAATATCCTTCAAAAATTCACACAATTCAATGCCTGTATTATGAGTACTATATAACTGACATAAATAATTCATACATTTTACATAGAGAGAATACCCTGACCAATACAAACAATCATACTCATCAGTATGATAGATAGTACACTCAGGAAACGGACCCGCGACTATCGGAAGTAAAGCCGTGTGCTAAACCACTAGACCACAGAGGCCGTCAGTATATTTTAGATCTGAAGTTTGTGGCAAAGTGTTGAAAGTAGAGTTATAGCGACACAATACAATTAAGATTAAATTAACTTTATGTTAGACCACAAATTTCTTGAGTGTACATTTGAATAAGTAAGAACCGTCTCATCTATTCAAAAATATCATTCAGATATGATATTTTACGTAAAATGTAATAATTAAATGATCTAATAGCATATTAATATAAAATAACATACTAACTTGATCGACTCTAAACGCCTGCTTCATATGCGTAAGTCGCAGGAACCTTGCGATCGGCAGTAAATTGGAGCCGGTATACAAAAGCATGAAGTAGAACACGCCGGTCAAGTACAGTTTCGAAATCTCGGGATTATCTTGCATCACTTCATACAATAATGTCGCTACCTACACATAAATAGCAACATTAATATTAAAAACAAAAATAAAATAATAACAAGCTTCGGTAAGTTTCTGCTATATATAAAGCACATATTATTAATTCTAAATAAATTCCTTATTCTCAGATATCTTTAGCCTATATATTTAACAAGATATTCTATGAAAATTCTGTTCGGAAAATTGGCAATCAACACTATACTATACTAGTTTACACCAAATACCCTCCTTTTTATAGCAATCCAAAATAATCAATAAACTTATAAACATATGCATATGATATATTATTGTATAAAAATTATAATATTAAGATCAATCGCCATTTTCACTATAATAACAATGCTCTAATATAATAATCAAATTAGTGGAAGGATTTTGATACTAATACCCATTCTCTTGAAGTTATAATCACAATTTTATCGAGTATAGCATACCTTTTCAACAAGTATGGGATCGAAAGTAAGCAGCAGCTGTACGACGTGCGCTAAACACGCAGGTTCGGAGAGCATTCTTTTGATTTTCGGCAAAGGTCTTATTACTGCATCCTCTTCATCTCTATAAAAATAAATAATAATAATTATATTATACAAACATTCTATTTATGTAGCTCTATCAGTCTATTACTCATAATATAAATTTCTACATTATGGATATTTGGATATATCAGGGAGATGTATTGTGGAGAGACATTACATATCTACATTTTCTACTCCGTTAATCATGGAAAGTGTTCTAAGGAATTATTTGCTTCCCTATGGTTACTTATTCGTACCTACTCCTGTAAGTCAGTTTTAACTACCATCAAAAGTACCCCTCCCTATGAAAAGTAAATCTTAGACAGGCGGCCGGTCATGTAAGTCTAATTTGAAATCTAAAATAATACATATGAACAAATTACCCCAACCTCAAACAATTATGAGACAAGGTAAGTAAATGATGAAGATTTGATGACCATAACAATTAAATAAAACGTATAATGATGTAACCTGCTGGGATAGTATTTGGTGCAGGTGATGAGGAGGTCCAGCACGGTGGCTGCCAGCGCGCTCTCGTCCAGCACGGCCGCCCCGCGAGCCACCAGGGTCCACTTAAGCTGCGGCACACTTGCCAGTGCGCGCCACCCTTCCATACTATTTGCCCAGCATTTCGTCTTATTGTTTATTTCTCCAGACTTGTAAAGATCTTTCAGCTATAAAAAAGGAACATATCTTTTATCCATACTTATATATCATAATTCTTATAATTACAATGTTAACATTGGTTTATGACTAATAACCTAACCGATAACCTTATGTTAGAACTATTAATTAATGTTACGTTAAGAATACTGTTTTCTCTGCCTCTAAAGGTTTTCAATCCAACTTAAAGTTGATGAATCATTGATCAATTTATATATATCTATATATTTAAGATAGTTGATACTATTACCAACCAATTTCCAAACCTGTCTTAGAATCTAGTTAGACAATAAAACTCAATGGCGTACTTAAATGCAAAGCCTTGCAGCAAAATTTAATTTCGTAGTTTATGCCGTTTAGACTAGACAATGTTTATACTGTGAGATTAGTATAGTTTAATATTTTCATTTCACTACATTTTCTCATACAATATTATTACAGGGACTTACGATATTTAAAATAACTTTATATTAGAAATACTTCAACTAAATTTTTTAAATATGTTCAGTTGTTTAACGTAAACCGTATAAATTTTGACTAACGGTTAATACCCATTGACAAGAGATTTAATTATTTTGATCAATAAATTTATACTATCTGTCCGAGATGGAGCCGTTTACCTGTTGAAAGGAGACTGGCCCGACCCGCTGCAGCTTGTCGCCGAGTTCGAGGTTGTAGTACCACTCGCGGTCGCCGCCGCCGGCCGCGGGTCCGTCGATGACGTTGCTCTGCGCGGGCACGGTGGCGCGGGACGTGTGCAGGTGAGCCAGCGTCATCAGCTCCACTAGGATTCTGCATCACCAATATAAATACATTTTGTTCATCTGAGAAGGTTTAAGTTTATGTACTAAAGCTTTAATGCATAAATGCATAAATATGGTGCATATGGTGGACTTAACACGTTGAGGCATTTTCTCCCAGTCGACCGGACATGGCAAACAGTAATTTATGTGGGCAGTGCATTTACAAAATATATATAAAATTTATAATAACTATGATACAAACTAAATGAGCTAATGTGTGCATCGAACATATGCGTATCATGTAATAGTCACATGCTGTACTGATCATTCGAGAATATTTTTTTTACAATCCACACAACGCCATCTAGTTTTAAGCTAAGCAGAGCTTGTGTCATTGGTACTAGACCACCAACCAATCAACAACGTGGTAACGATTCCACACCTGCTACAATGGCAGCGAAATGAACAAAATAATATAATTTTATTAAATAATTAAACGAAATTCTGTAAAAAATAACACCTAATCTAATAACCTATATTTGTCAGCACAATAAACAATATCACCCAGTCCAGTCCAGTCAGTAACATTACGTAAAAAATAATATACTCACTTTATACCATTCCATTCTAATATCTCGCTAACATTTCTTCTATGTAAAATTAGTTTAGCTAGAAACTGTACAAGTCTATCTCTCTCCATTCTATCACATGTCTGTAAAAAAGAAATAAAATACTAATTGTTAATAACTATAAGAGCCTTTACATTACATTTTGTACAATTCTTTTTTTAGTATCATAATAATAATAAGGTAACGAGATACTTGGCATGGCCCATCAGTACTAATCACCAGCTTCAAAAGATGTGACATGAACGAAAGAATAATAATACTTTGTTGCAATCTTAGGTTATGTTACATAGTTATGTTGCACATAACAGTGTAAATACATTTATACATATCATTGTGCCATTGGTTTTAACAACCTATTATCTCGTTGGGGACAATTATTATAATTGCAAGTAAATTAATAAACTACCTATCTATGTTCATTACCGATTAGGCTGAGGAAATTTAATTGCATTGGTTTCCGTCCTTACACATAAATAAATTATGTTTTAAGATAAATATATCTCACCCTATCTAACATTTGCACAATGTATTTGGTGTCTGCGAAGGGCCCAATATCTTCATAATAACGTCCATAGACAATACTCATCGCCTGCAAACACATGCACTTCATTTCCACCTTGGGCGTCGACAGAAACCGATGGTATAGGTCGTTGAAAAACTCGTATCTGTAACAAGTTTTTATTTATACATCTGTTGCGAAACTTTTTTTTATATTAATATATTTATTTTTGGATTTACAGCCAACAATATACCACGACAAAAAAAAATTAAATTACAAATGACAACAACGAATTTATTGTTCAGTAATGTAGAACGTGTTGAGAAGCATAAAAAAATATGTATATTTTAAAAATCTAATTGATATTTAACACCGATAAATAAACATATATCAGTGCCAGCTATTTGCGTTGTAGGTTTCTTAAGCATCGGCAATGCGCACCTGACACCTCTGGTATTACAGGTGGCTACGGTAACTGTTTACCATCAGATGATATGATTATCACCATCATCATACAAAAGAAACATTGGTCCAACACATATATGTACTAAAACGATAGTTTTCCGCATATTTATGTCCCAATTTCAAGGATATAAAGGAAAACATATGGATTACAAAATGTACCATATGTAATTTCAAACTATATACTCACGATTTTCTGATCGGACTGTCGTCGTTGTCCCTTTGCTCGAGCAGTATTCTCAGATAGTAATCACCAATCTTAACCTCATTCTGAAGACACTGGTAATGGAGCTCCAGCTCGGCGTGGTTCCACGACGTGAGAGTGGAGCCAGCCGCTTCACGGTCAAGTGTGAAAGTGCGTACTTCATTCTCGAGTGCGTTGCGCAATTCTTCACGTGTCTGCAATAGTCCACAGGAAATTAATAAATACATTCTATTTAGACTTTAATTAGGAACAAAGAACCATGCTAAAGTTTTATATCTATACGTATTACTCTACTTATCACAACGCCGTATGCATTGATTTAGCGTCGGCAACGCGTACCGGACACCCCCAGTGTTTCAGGCGTCTATAGGCTACGGTAACCATTTACCATTAAATGGGCCGCATGCTCGTTGGCCAACATTGTAGTAAAAAAAAATTGATAAATCTTCCCTTTGACAACTATCTCACGTTTCTTAGACATATTTTTTTGAAATGACAACGAACTGACATTTTAACAAGTAACAATCGCGTTTTCAACAAGTAGCAATCAATTTTATGAATGAAAAACTGGTGAAATTTGTGTGTGGAGAAAAAAATTGTGGCTCTACCTCTTTACGAGAGAGTGTCGAAAAATATATAACGTACAATTACAAACAAAACAAACGAGCTCACGGTATGATTCCATATGAGGTTGGGCAACGCGTGGTCGCGGTGGAACTGGTAGTAGAACAGCGGCCAGTTGGCGGTGGACTTGAGCCGCTCCCGGCGCCGCCGCAGCACCACGGGCCGCTCGCGGGCCTCCCGCGCCGCGCCCGCGCCGCCCCCCGCACCACCCCCCGCACCGCCCGCACCGCCCGCACCGCCCGCACCGCCCCCCATACGCTGCGCCCAGTGCTGCACCGCCAGCGCTGCATAGTGCTGCTCCAGCACAAGATTTCATATTCACTTTATAATAATGTCTTGTATAATGCAATGGAGGCTCTAATGAAACCCAGATTTTAGATGTTAATAGTATTTTAATTTTATGAATGTTTTGTTTAGGTTAATTTTAATAAGACATAAGTTACAATTATGACTCGCTAATGAATGTCTATATAAGACGTAATAAAAATGATGCAAGTATACAAAAACAAAAATATATATATATATATATATAATAAAATAAATGAAGCACTTCGGACCTGAACAAAGAAATATATTTACATTCAAGGAAAAAAAGCACCGTACACTGTGACATGAGAATTTTTTATATATTGATGATTTCGCAGTTCATAAAAGTCTCAATTCTTAATATGTCGTTCACATTACAACCAAAATTAGATCCAAGTTCGTAAAGCGATGTAGAGTAGGGAGCGGTGTGTACGCACCTCGAGATGTTTCTCGACGTACTTGACCTGTCGCTCGAGCGCCTCCCAGTGCGGAGCGCGCGGTTTGCCGGCGGCGGCCTGCGCCAGCTGCAGGTTGTCGCGCTGCTGCTCGCCCTCCTCCAGCGCTCCCGCCGGCGGCGTCTCCGCCGACTCCAGGAACGCGAGCAGGCCCGACGGCTGCACATGTATTTATTATACATACACACAGCTAAAACCTACCTATACTTATTGGTTGATAGATGTCACAGCACTATTATTATAATTTAATCGTAGGGCTGAATTTGGCATTGACTTATTCCTATCAATATTTAAGCATACATTCTTCCTATCATTACTTAAAGTCAGATGGATGGTCTTTCATATATACACGACGAATATAACATAAGGTGAGGCATCAGCTCATTTACCAATACACAAAATAAAACCATAAAAAATTAAAATCAACTTTAGAAATAAGAATTGACCGACTCAGATTACTAACAAAAATTGTGTAAAGAATGAACAATAACTAAATAAACTTCTATACTTATTTAAATATCTTTTAATGAAAATTATCTTTTATACTATAACTGAATAGCTCGTCTTCTGAGGGCTGGAGGTAGACCTGTTCTACGAATCCTCCAGAAGCTATTCAACTCCGTCATCCTCGAGGATGCGCCGCAGCAAAGGGGTGTGTGCGCTTCAAGAAGGCGCGTGAATTTCCGACGAGCCAGTTTAGCGCGAGCATCACGAATCGTCGCGCGCAGGTTTGACGACGCCTCCCGAACAAGCGCGCGGGCGCCATAGACCACATTCATACGCTGCGGCAGGTAATTCAGAAGACCGAAGAATACAACCTGCCACTTTGCTTGGCGTTTGTGGACGCGCCAGCGCTGTGCTACAGTCTCTCCAGCCAAATTGACGATATATCCGTTGAAATGTTTGTAGAAAACGCCACTATGCATGCGCGCGCCTATCCAACTGCGCGCCGGCCGCCAAAGCTGTTTACCTCCGTTGGACCAGCGCGCGCGTCAACCAGCATCAATCACGATTTGCGCCCTTCACGATCGCCATCGACTCACAAGGGTGCTGCATGGACAAGACACACCATGTCGCGCAAAAATCGTTTCTACACCGAAATTGTCGATCACTACGTATACTTAGGGCAAACTATCCAGCGGGATCCAATTTCGATTCAATCGTCGAATCCACGGCACGACATATATCTTTTCGTCCAAATTTCCGCATTCACGAGTACGATGTGTGTTGCCAGTGATGACTTACGGTCAGGACGTGCTTTGTATAATATACATGGAGAGGGCTATTTATCGAAAAAATAGATCTCTATGTATGTCTATATATGTATTTGAAGTGGCATCAGTACCTGCATGGCCGTTGGGGCAGTAAAGTCCTCGAGTGGCGACCACGGACCGGAAGACGCAGCGTGGGAAGGCCTCCAGCAACCGACGATCTGGTCAAGATCGCGGGAAGGCATTGCGAAGCGCAGGACCGATCGTCGTGGAGATCTAGATCCAGCGTCTGTGTGATGATGATGATGTGAAATTATTATTATTATATATACCAGGATGCGTGCCGGGCGCGTGTCCGACGAGCCAGAGCGCGAGCAGGTGTCGCGCGAGGTGGCGGCGCTGCAGGCGCGCGGGCGCGAACAGCGCCGCCAGCAGGTGCCGCGCCAGCGCCGCCTCGGCCAGCGCCAGCGCCTGCATGCGCGCGCCCACCGCGCCGCCGCCCTCCTCCACCAGCGCGCGCGTCACCAGCCCCGCGCCCTTCACGATCGCCATCGACGGGTGCTGCACCACACACGCGCACGTTACACCGGCGTAGCGACGGTCGCGGGTTCGATTCCTCGCTCGGCACGACATGTGTATTCACGAGTACGATTGTTTGTATCGGTCTGGTGCTTTGTATAATATTCATGTATTTACGAAAAAATAAATCTCTATGTATGTCTATATATGTATTTGTATCAGTACCCATAGTACAAGCTTTAGCTAGCTTAAATTGGGTCTAGATAGCGCTGTGTGAACTGTCCTGAAATTATTATTATTATATTTACAGGTGTGCGCTTCCTGCACACCCGACTCGCAGCCACCCTACTCCTCGAGCGCGCGCGTCACCAGCTGAATGTTTCACAGAACGTTTCTAATAAAAGTGAGTCCATGTAACGCACTGAAGATTTACGACATGACATTACGAACCCGTACTGAATGTTAGCGTTTCTAATAAAAAAAATGTAGTAGAATTATTACACATACACAGTCTCATAATTGAATAATTAAAAATAATAGTTAACCTCAAACAATTTGAACAACACGCGGCCTTTGTTGGCAACCATCTCTAGTAGCTGATCGAACTGCTTGCCATCTGTGGTCTCGCTGTACGGCACGCACAGTGCGAACGTGAGAAAATCCAGCATGGCTGCTACCACTAACGCACCGCTACCCGATGTCTGCAAAAAAACACATCAATAAAAACCTAGCTGTAGTGTAAGTGTAACACTAATAATAGTGTTAACTCAACTATCGTCTCGCGCCTAGTACACACGATCCGTAACACGCAAGAGGAAACATATTCCCCGCGCAGATGCCGCGGAGTAAAGAAGTGGAGGTATGACTAACGAGCCTATAATAACTAATATACAAGGAGATATAAGAAAACTTACTTAAATCATCCACGAACGGGATTTTCATTCAATGTAAGACTTAGACACCTATATAAGTAAATCATTTTAAACAAACTGGCTTTTAAAATAAATAAATTCAATTAACTTGCCAATTCTTCTCAATTGAATCTGTATACTGAACTGGATTTTTGACTTTTATTTGTTATGTGAACTGACCACATGATCGGCCCACATGGTGAGCAATCCTTCAAGGAATGCCGTTGAGGAGAGCATGCTGGCCTTGTTGAGCTGCTCCTGGCGGAGGTCGGGCTCCTGGTGCATGGGCTGCATCAGCGCGCACACAGCATCCAGCGCCGCGTGGCTGCACGCCGCCGAGCCGCGCCGCAGGGCGCTCACCACCGCGTTACCGATCCACTCCCGGAAACTGAACACAACATTGAATGGTGCAAGAATATTAAGAAAAAAGATGGACCAGGACAACCTTACTACTCGGATAACACAGAACAGAGTTCGCTGGCGTAAATATACAGGGAGATCCGATCCTAGATATACTGGGAACATGGGTTGAAAAAAAAGAAGTCCTAAAGTAAGCAGAGCTTGTGTTATGGGTACTAGATGACTGATATAAATACTTAAATCTTATATATAAAATTCTCGATATTTCTATTTTTCATCCCCCTAAATGTTAGCAAAACATTTTATTTTAAGGCCTCGCCGTTCGCCGGGACAGCTAGTATTTTATAAGATTGGCAACCCTTCACTACATTTAGATAAAGCTGTGAAAGTAGAATGTACAGAGACATGACATCTCAGTTCTACTAGTCGTAGTGACAATACAATAACATGTTGTTCGTGATGCTATACATGTATATTCGCTTATATATAGGCTATGATTACGACTTGTTATTAGGTTACGCATATTGCAATTCCATAACACTTAAAACACATGTATTATGATCAGGGGTGGATCGTGAATTTGTGGGGCCCTGGGCTAAATCTACTTAGGGGCCTACCTAATTATATTACTCAACTAAAAAATACTCTGACCAAAAACAAGCGACCAGAAATCCCCGTTCCTTTCAATAGACGCGCACTTGCATGGGTTGATTGACCTCAGGGCTGCCAACCTTATGATAGGTTTTTTAACATTATAGATATTTTTTTTATATTCAATATCGTTTCAGTAGACTGGAGGCCCTTTGTACCCTCGGGCCCCTGGGCTGCAGCTCAAAAAGCCCTTAGGTAGATCCGGCCCTGATCATGATATTTGATAGCAGAATCGTCGATCTATTTAAACACTCCGTTTTATCTTATATTTTATCGAATTAGGTGTTATTTTGTAAAAGTAATTTTCGATATATTACTTTCTTATAACTTGCTACCATTAGCGTGTGTGAGTCTACAAATATTAAGTGCGGAAACCTGACCACCGCTACTAACTAACGGAAGCGTTATGATCTTCTCTATTAGATATCAACGTCCGACCGTTCTTGAATCTACACCCATATTGCGACATGTGTTTTGCCTCTTGAAAAAGACATCATAAGGCAACGAATTGAGCTTGGATATAGCTTAGAGATCTAGATTTAATCAGTTGTTGCACCTACAGTATAGATTATAGACATTAATATATACAATAAGACAGAAATTCACACACACACACACACACACATTATTCTTCTTCTTTATTTGTATACTTTTAACAGAGTGGTTGTAACTGGCATCTCTTCCTTGACCTACTTAGCAAAAGAACTCCTCGCAATTTGCCTCTATCAGGTACGGTTTTTAGCTGTGTACAATGGACTGCTGTGTAGCTGTTTTTTTTATTATATAGACTGAAAAAAAATACAGATTGCTCGCTTACCCGGGCAGCGCGGTGAATGCAGCAAAGCCAACTTTACTAGCGCAGAGCCTCCGTAGCGCGTGGAACTGAGCCTCTAGTTCACGTGGCGGCAACGATCCACCCGCTGCAGCGCTGCTCACGAGCGCACTCAGCGCTCCAGTTATCAGTTTCTCTTTGTTTTCCGCGAACAAGCGCTGACGATGAGATGACAATACTGTAATCACTGTAGCTGGCTAAGCTACGCTAGTGCCTACTGAATTTTTATTATTAAATAAAAAATGAACAATGAACAGACTTTTCTTAAACAGGCTTATGAATCCAAAATAAAAAGCATTTAATACTCTAACACAGGAAGGAAACAGAATTCGTTTTTCCACGAAATTCCTTTTTACATTATAGCTGTGTTGAATAAAGAATGTTTATTATATTTATTTTCATTTTATTCAATTCCATTTTTTAAATTTATTTATCTATGTACTACTCCCCTTGTACTTTAGTATCACATTTGTGCGTTGTATGAATAAAAACATTATAAAAATATAAACGTAGGCTAAGGAAACAAAATCACTTATAATAGGAAATATATAGAAAATGTAATATGTGCATAATTGTTTTATTAACCACACCCATTACAAAGTGCAGTAGATAATTGGGAATGATCATAGAAATCAAAGTAATTTAAATGAACTACAATGAACAAATTTACATGCTACATCACATATAAGGCAAGCAAGATACTGAATTATATAAATATTACAACCTTTAATTACACCTACACCTAATAAGGAATGTATTTATACAAGGAAACTCAATGATAAATAATTGGTTGGTACCAAATACATTAAATGGTGTTTAAGACAAATGACACTAAAAAATATAAACAATAAATAGAGAGTGGAATATCAATATGTATGTGACATATTTATAATTGTGAAATGATATTTTACAAGAAATCTATCACACACTTTATAATAAACTACATTAATTCTAAAAGTAAATTGGAATATAGACTAAAGTGACAGCTTTAAAGTTGATTTCCCAAAATAATTTTGTTGAGTTAATGTACTTCATTAGGTGTGTGGTATGTTGTAAATATCCCACCACATGTAGCTGTAAATTATGGAATAAAATAAAGTAAATCTATAATAGTTTACCCAAAATTTTAAAACTCAATCAGTGATAAATCTATTTCGAATTAAGATAATGGATGTATGTTCAGAAAACTAAAGACCAATTAAAATTGAAACGAAATTATCGTAATTTCAAAATGGGTTGTCCTTATGTTTTGTTTTAGGTTTGGTTTGGTTGGTATTTACAAAGTACAAAATATTTATAGAATTACGGCTATCGCTTTTTTAGTGTCCACAGTATAAGTCTAGTCTAGGTAGATAGGCACAGTATATTACATCCAAGCTTATTTATTTTAATAGTGAAATAATTTAACTGTACAAAAACAGACAGGAATTGAAATTTGTCCAATCCGATAATTTCGCTTAAATAATAATAATCCTTTATATCGTTTATTTGAGTAGTATTGGAAACCAAATTAAGCGTACATTTATTCCAATGGACCGGTGACATTAAAAATAATAAGAGTAGGGACTTACAAGATCCCACGTAAGAAACAGCCACAACAGGGGCACGGCCTATGAGGTAGACAATACAACGTAAATATGTTCGAAGGAGCAACATAAAATAAAAATGTTGGTGCTAATAAAAAAGCAAATAAAGCACATCTACAACATATTTAATATATTAATGATAATAAAATGACATTAACAGAAGCATATCAACACAAGATCATTTGCATGAACTTGTAAGCTATCGTGACAATCTTATTTTTATTTGCAATTGATTGAACATATGCTTATATAAATGTTTCAATATATAAAAAAATAATTTTATATATCTACAATATAATAATAATAAAGTATATGCATAAAATATAAATGTTAAATATATAGATTTGATTTATATATGCATTTTTTTTATTTATGTATAGAAATGTAATTTTATCTTCAAATGAATATTGATAAAAATGAAAGAAATAGCGATTAGAGGAAAATCACCTATAATACATTCTGTAAGGTTAAAATATTATGTCATCCAAGGAGTACATAAAAAAGGAGGCCACTTAGAGTAAACTCAGTTTGACTGAAGTTGTTACTTACGAGAGTTTAAACATGTCTACAATAACTATTTAGCAATAAATTAACTAATTCAATTACACATTATTATACCACAAACTTACTATTTCTACATCATTTAAGGAAATTCAAAAGCACTGCTGTATTCAAGTATTTATAAGCTATTATATTAAGTATTTCTTAATTATATAAGATGATTATGTCTGTTATATCATGCATTTGCTAGTTGTAAACATGTTCTTAAATTCATTTTCCATTCTAAATACTTCATTTCTAAATACAAATCTTAAGTTTTTATTTTTTATGACTACATTGGAAAAAAAAATAATGAATATATAGAATCTAAATATATTTAAGATTATAGAGTCTCCGTTTTGTATCTACTCGCAATGCGAAGCGGAAAATTATATAATAATCAAATAGTGAAATCTTACATCCTGGCTGACGGAGTAGATGAGACCACTGTAACCCACATTAGCGTTGAACCGCTCGATCACTTCCGCGCGGCACATACCAACAGGGTTTTGGAATAATCTAGAATTAACATCGTTTGTGCTATTATTATGTGATACAAAAATTTATCATCAGTGTACACTAGATTTAGATGTGATACGACAATATTCGAATTTGAGCAGATCAATATTGAAATGAAAATAAAAAAAAAACACTATTAATCTGATTTGTTTAAACAAAAATTGTAGGTAATAATTATGTTAAGTATCTGCAAATATAAATGTACAGATGTAGGAATAATTGTAAGCTTACTGTACAACTGACACTACCTGATTATATGGCACGTCTTAAGAGAATATCTGAGGCTAGATTATCAATGGAGAATCACCTCTCACGAGATTTTATAATGGTCAACAAAGTCTGGAAGACTGATATTAATTTAAAACAAAAAGATGAAAAGAATAAAGTAATAACCAATATAAGCCATATTTTGCTCTGTGGTTAGAAGAGTCATTTGTTATAATAAATATTACCTATCTGTGTTCAATAAATAATAATAAATACTATTGATTTTTTTGCTGTTTTTATATTATACTATGAAAGCACAAAATAGATAAGTGTATACTTATATGATAAATCAATATATTAACTAATTACACTATTATTTTTACTCACAATTTTACAATTAATATGTGCCCATCCCTAAAGTAAACTCGACGATAAAAAAAAAAGACAAAAATATAGTGGGTGCATATGCATGATAATTGTATGTACCTCACAATATAATTGTCATATTCACTGGTGCTGTATACCTTGACGAATGTATCAATAGATATAAAGACTAGGTAACATACCGTAGATGATTGGATTCAGTTTCTTCATCTACTGCCTGGTGTAATGGACCAAGCCTGTACCCTCGAGGCGTGGGCGACGAGCGCACGTGCACGTCTCGTTGACCGGCCGATCGCACACCATCTAACAGGGAGGCCAATAGCGCATCTCTGTAACGTAGGAACGTAAATATTGTATTAATTAATCATTATCTTCCTGTCTTAATCCTATTGATTTGAAAGAATGTGGTTTACGGACATAGAAATATTATATTGTTTTTAAACATCATTACCTTCCATTGATTTGGCAGGTGCAGAATGTGGTTTTCAAGAAATGTACAATTTTTCTTTTATTAATGAGAGTAATTATAAGCTGGAGCATATTTAACATCAATTGTAAACCATCAAATAATCATAAATGGTTGTGTAAGCACCACAAATCTTTTTGGCCTTTCAGTTGGATTTGCAGACCTATAGGCAATTAATTTTGTTTTGTTATTTGATTTTAGTAACACAATACCGATCTATTACCTTTCTCCAGCCATGTATGTTCTAGTTTGTCCATTGAGGTACTCTATAGAGAACTTTTGTGGATGATCCGGATCTCGTACTAAAGCAAAAACGTCGCTCAAAGGGCGCAGACAGACAACCTAAAATACACATAAACATTACAGTAGTTATTGCTTATTAAATGAATATATAAATAGGATCATAATTGTAGTCAGAGACATTAAAGTAGATTATTTGTGTGTGGTGCAACTTCAATTTTATTTTGGTATCTAATGCAGATTTAAAAATCAGATAACTTTGGGAGTCTAATATTTCAATAGAATACATTTAGGAGTCCAACATTATAAAACTGATACTTTAAAAAACACATATATTATAATTAAAATTTCATATGTTGCAATTATGTTTTTATAACAAAATCACAGTATTCACTTCTGTATGTTGTATAGACAACTCACTGAATATGTCTGTGGATCCCTTTCCAATATGCAAGTGTCTGAGAGGCAGAGGGTACGCCGCATTGGTTCCATGTGCCGCGCAGGATTTACCTTGTGGACTATAAACTCACTTAGTGACGTCTGATGTTCATCACCACTGAAATTAATGCAATACATTATTATTTTTATTATTTTTTTCATACAAGTATACTTTTTTTTATTATGCAACTACAATGACATAAGAAACCAAAAATACCAAATGAAATTTGAGTTTTTAGAGTCAATATTTTTTTATTCAGTTAATTTAATAATAATAAATTATATAGAAAAACAGGAATGTTTCAAAAGCTACTATTTATAAGTGGTAACCTACAATAATATCATGTTTCATTAATTTTGTGAATGGAGTACATTATATTTGTGGGAGAACTTTCCATAAGAGCATTAGTTATTGAAAATATTTTTATTTACAATTGATTTTTGTGTCATGTCTGCAGAATTATAATAAAAATATACTAATCTGAAACCAAGTCTTTACTTCAAATAAGATAAAAATCAATAAGTGGATTTGATTGTGCATCTGATAATACCCTATAAAAAACATTAAAAAAAGTTGATAATACAACACTGTATGTAAAATGATCCATGCAATGAACACATAAATTGATAAGTGGATGCACAAGGTCATATGAGTCAGTGGTTTGTTAAAATTATTATACAAAACAAGCATCATTTAGATCAGGTTAATGACATTTACCACATACACTTTTCTGACACATAAGTATTGGTCTTTTATTCAGGATTTATGGGATATAAGGCTTTATATGAATTATATCTTTTTATTAAAGGTATTTATTAATAATAATAATAGAGAATCCCCTCCTTGTATGATGCCATGAGATTGGTGTAGTTATTCATTAGGAGTAGATTCTAATGCTTCTTTTTATTATATGGTCTAGATCCAACTGATATAAGAAAAATTGACAGAACACCCTAAATTAACCGTTAATGTTGTCGTCTGTCGCAGCGACCGAAAGTGAAGAAGCGGTATGCGCATGCCAGCTGTATTTTTTCAAATGTGTTTCGATCTTATTTCGTTTTATATAAGGACTAAATTGGTTACAAAGAAGTCACGGTTTTGCAGGCACAGATCTGTGACAAGACTGTAATATGGTTAAAGAGGGGTGCACAGATCTGTGTCAAAATGTTCAAAGGGTTAATAAAGAATAAAAGAAAATTATAATAACTTACCTATACTTTCCAAATCTCTGATCATGATAATCATCCAGTGTTATCACAGCAGATAACACCTTAATGCTTATATTCAACATCAAATTTGCCATTTCCAGCATCTTGTTTATAATGATCTGATGGTCCATAGCATTAGAAAAGAGATGCAATCTACTGTAGCCACCAACTGCTAGCACAAATCCACCTGGTACATCTCTAACTTGGAGTATTCCTTGTATATCACAATAGGGGTAACTAGCCAACAAGGTGTGAGTGGACGGATCCAACTGATCTAATGCGCATGGACCCACTTCAAGAACTATAGGCAGCCGAGTGCCACTCCAATGGTGTTTGTAGGCCTGGTATCTCTAAAATATTAATATAAAATATAAGTAGCTCCTAAAAACTCTTTATTGTACTCTAAAATACAGTAATAATTAAAATTATAGTCAAGCTATACCTGCAGTTTTAATCATGTAAAATTTATGGCATATATGTATTTCTGATGTATAAGCTATATTATTGTAAAATTTCATTAAAATCCATTTGTTAGTTTTTGGATAAAAGAATAACAAACATCCATAATGTCAAATTTCTGTGTTTATAATATTAATAAGATGTTAGCAATAGTGGAGATGTCTCAAAAGGAGACCTCTTCCAGTGAACCTGATACAGTTATGGTTAAGAAAGAAAAGAGCTTTCAAGAATGTTTCTAAAACATAGAATAACTATTTAATAATTATATAGACTTAGTATAAATATATATTATTAAATGCAAATAAGTTTTTTGCAATACAAATATATCTTTATAACATAGTAAACATTTTTAATAATTAAAAAATAGAGTATTAATAATAATATACATATTTGTTCACTGTAATTCCACTGGGCTGGCAGGCCTGATTCATAGAAGTTTAGTAATAAATAAACACAGAAAGTTAGTATAAAATAATAAAGAAATACCAAAAAAAGCTATATGAATATTACAAGATATGAAACACATATCTTATTATATTTTTCAAAGTTATGTATATAGTAAGGACATGGTAAGGATTGTTGTTGAATAATAAGAACATTGTTGAATATTTAAACATGACAATGGATAAACACTTACAAACACATCCTTGGATTTCTCAGCAAATAAATGTCTATATTTGAAAGCCTCTGTTAAAATGAGACATTTGTGTTCTGATGAAAACTTCATATTATCCACTTTCTTGTCCTTCTTCATGACCAGTGTGAAATCATGGTTGGCAGCAGAATTTGAGTGTTTAGCTGATGCAACCGTAATTACATCAGAGTACAGCCATTTGTTGGTCACCTCCAAACGGTCGGGATTGTATGTGGTGATCCCATGTGTGCCCACAGAAAACACTCTCTTATACTTGCCTTTCCATGCATGTTTTGTGACCAAAAAGGAGGCCACATCTATGTTATCTTTCAATGGAATCATCTTGACATCGCCTAAAGCATAAAACAAGTGGCAATTAGAAAAAAAAAACAATGAAGACATATTTCTTACATATCCTATACAAGTGGGTTACTATATCAAAGATAATTTATTAAGTTTCACTGAACTGACAAAGATAAATAAGTTACATATGGTTCACTTTGTTCGATAACACTGCATACCATCAATAAACACAATGTATGAAAACAAAAGCTCGCGGGAACTTGTCCAGAATACTCCCCTTTGTAAATACCACAAATTATATAGACGATTGGTAAATACATGGAAGTTCCGAAGTAATCAGGTACGTGTAAACAAGAACCGATTTTGGAATTTATAATATAATTACAAGATATAATATTAAACAAAAACTTACAAGCTGTAGGAAGATGTTAATGCTTTTGTAATTTCAGCTAATCTCTGTTAAAAGCAACAGCCATAATTTAGAAAATAATCCAAATAATTATAGAACAACAGTTTGTAATAAGGCGAATAATCATTCAGTTGACATTTGATTGACAGATTGATTTTTTAAATACAGAGTTCAGTGAAGTTTGATGGCAATTGATTATCATTTAGAATTCATATAGAATCATAGAAGTGTTCTTATATATTAACAGTGTATTGTGTAGTTTACAATAGAATCAATTTTTATTAATTACCTCAAATATTATTCGTTTATAGTTATGTGGTTTCCTTAGAATCTATAATAGATAAAGAATTTATTATAGTAATAAAATCAAAATATAATTATGTTCATAAATAAAATAGTAATTCGGTTCACAATTTGTTAAAATTCAAAGCTTTTTGCTGATTATTTAGTTCAAAAGATATAAAAATATTATTTTTTAAATAGTATGTGTATATTGTCATTATCAAAATTTATCTATACAGCTGTCAGTTATGTCATGTTAATATGTATATGTCAAATTTTCTTTTTACCGCATTGTAGCGATCACCATATGAGTTGTGTACTCCTGTTTCATTGCAGTGTTTCGTTTTCGTAGATTCTTTAAACGTGTCACTTCAATTAGAACAATATGGTCCTCGACTTAGACTTATTTCGTGCGGATAAGGATGGTGATCCCGACAAGATCCGTGAAAACCAACGCAAGCGATACAAAGATGTAGGTTTAGTTGACACAGTTGTGGAACAAGACACTCTTTGGAGGCGATTGCGCCATGAAGCTGACAACTTGAATAAGCTAAAGAATGTCTGCAGTAAAGAGATAGGACTGAAAATGAAGAATAAGGAACCAGTTGGTTCGGAAGACCAGGATGTGCCTACCGATATTGCTGATAACCTGGCCAATTTGACCGGCGATCAGCTAAAGCCTCTTACCGTTAATCAAATAAAAAAGGTATATTTTGGACCAAAATAATATATCACTTATATTACAATATTTATCCATTATTTTCAAGCTGAACTCTAATGATCTCACAAACTACAAACAAAATATATTAACATATTAATAAATATATATATATATATAAACTCAGCATATTATTTTTTAACATTATATTGTGTTCAATTTTTAAAGATATATAATGTCTGTGATCTGTATCTTGAGAGCCACTGGCCATAATTCTTTTAAAAGTGTCGAGTGGTATGTTTGAGGTGTATACATGCATAGAAAATTAAAAATCTTATAAATAAATATTAAGTAGGGTAAGGCCATATTGTAAGCAGCCTTATTGCCAACATTTTCTATGATACCTTATATTCAGAACACAATTTCTTTTGGTTTGTAAATTATTTTCATTTATATGGATTTATACACTTTCTGTCTTTTCTTCCTCTATCTAAAGGTTGCCTGGAAGAGATAGCTTAAACGATAAAACCACCTTTTGTGCTACATACTCTAAATATTCTGGTTTCTTTTGAATTTTTTTATGGTGCAATAAAGAGTAATAAATAAGTATATATTGTTGTGATATACAAGTCCTCCTTATTTGGAGTTAATTGTAAAAAGTACCTGTTGCACTATATTTTTAGTTGTTCATAAAGCTTCAATATAATATTCAGTAAGAATATAAGATGCTTATTCTCTAACAGTCAAAGTAGTCTCATCAGTTGTTCATTTTAAACATATGTATTTTCATACATTGTTATTGATGATTGTCTTATTCCCCTTTATTTTTCTCATGCACAAATCAAATTAGTAATTTAACTAAAATAATAAATGTTTCAGGTAAGATTGCTAATAGATGAAGCTATAGGAAAAAACGAACAAGGGCTAATTACAGCTGAGAAGACTCGCTCAGCTGCTCTCCGAGAAGTGGGGAACCATCTGCACTCCTCAGTACCAGTAGATGATGATGAGGACCACAACTTAGTTGAGAGGACATTTGGGGATTGTGCTGTAAGGAACAAGTACTCACATGTGGATCTCATTTGTATGATTGATGGTATGTATGATGTCATATTGCTGTAATTGGCTAATTGAAATTATCTATCTAATATGTATATTCTAAGTTTATATTTAAGTATAATTTATATATAATTCTATTCCTGTATTATTTTGTTACTTCTTTATAATCTAATTCTCTGAATATATTTCTTTTCTTTTATTTATCTATATCAATATAAAAAATGCAACACATATGAGTCCACTGTTTATAAGTACTTAATTTGTATTTTTGATTTGTTTTATTTACTGTAAGGTTGTCTTAATATGGGTTGATGGAGAAAAGTGGTGAATTAAATATGGTATAGCATCAGTTCAGTTCAGATCAGTCAACAAATATAGTCTATATTTGTTGTTCACCATTCTTTGCTGCATCATTGTTGACTGTTGAACTGTGTTTTTATCTTGTTCTGTTGTAAGATTAACTAATAAAATCTCAATATACACTATTGTCACTCACATACACCTGTGAAGTTCTATGTATCAGAAATTAATTATGTACAGTAAAGAACCTGTTAGAGTTTCCCTTAACTAGTATGAATCAGGAAACAAAGGTTTCTCAGAGGGAGGATTATTCAAAATAACTACAAAAAATTATAAAAATCCTTGCTAACTTGGACCTAACATATTATTCTGAACCTTGATTGTACATGGAAAAAACCAATAATGTCACAATTTTATTCTTTGTTTCTATATTTATTTCAATGATTACTGTGCTGTACATGCAACAAGGAAAATATTTTGCAGTTTTTATATGTAATAATTAAACTTTATTGAGAGTTTTATGAAAATTTTAATATTCTTGAATGTCTTGGGAATGTACCATGTTTATAATCACCCACACACTTGTGTAAACATTAATGGAATAAAATAATTAATAATAACGAAGTGCGAGCTAAAAGTGACGTCTTTCGCAAATCATTCTGTGTAAGTATGTTATTTGTCCACATTTGGTAATTATTGTATCAATTGTATATATGAAGTTAATAAATTTCAATTACATAAAAACATTATATTGGTATCTTCAAAAATTTTGTAATTATCTTTACTAGTACTTTGCAGAGAGTATGTGTGCAAACTGCAATTTGATTCACAGCATATTGAATAAAAAAGTGGTAAATATCAAAGGCACACTCATAAATTGCTTTTAGCAATAAGGCTGCCTTATTGTAATGATACATGTGTCCTTTGTTATATTGTTTGCACTTCTTCTTTACTGTATGTTGCAAATAAAGTATATTCTATCTATCTAAATAATTAACTATGTTTAATACATTATAGTTTTCATGTATTGGAAATTTATAAATGGGTATACAAAAATATGAGAAACATTTTAAAGGCATTAGGAAGAAAGATAAAAGATGTTGGTAGTACTCCCTACAAATTTATGTTGAGTCCTAATCTAAAAAAAGCACTTAAGAAATATTTTTACATACTGATAAAGGTGAATATGAAAACTAGATACTCTCCTTTTTGCACTTTGCTTTGCCTTCTTGTATATATTGTATCCTTAGTAGGATTGTTGAGATGCCTCCTACCTACAAATACTTTTATTTTTGTTTATACAACTATTTATTTTAATGTAATTCTATTAAAAAGGGGTATATACCTGCACTAATGTTATACACTACAGGGGGACCAGTTGATTTGATGATATATCTATCTAAAGACTCAATACACTGTGAAAGTTTCACTTGGAATTAATCACAGTAGTTTCTAGTCAGGATCATATGGCAGTTAACCTGATTTACTCATATTATTATTAAATACCGTTACCAATATTCCATCAAAACAGAGGGAATAAATTAGCATCATTTAATGCTTTCTTCCAAAGGTATGGATGGCGATAGAGGTGCTGCAGTAGCAGGCGGACGCGGGTATTACCTTAAGGGTCCAGCTGTATTCTTGGAGCAGGCTCTAGTACAGCTTTCACTGAGGATATTGTTGAAGAAAGGGTACACACCGCTGTATACACCATTCTTCATGAGAAAAGAGGTATGAAAACAAAATAATAATAATGCTGGATAATTCACACAACATCATCTGGTACCGCGCTAAGCAGCTTGTGTTATAAGTATTACACAACTGATACAAATAATGAAATATGTTTTTGTAAATACATTAGGACAATACAACCAATGAATACAAATATTTACGTCGTGCGGAGACACTAAAACCGGAAGAAAATGGCGTGCTAAACCACCGAGCTGCTAAAATTGTTTTCTTTTTCACTTTGCTAGTAAAATAAGTCGATCTAAATATTACCTTTCTCTAGAACTCTACTGTTGAATTAATATATTAGATTATAAGCAGTTGTCATTTTAAATGTAGGTACAATTACAAACCATAATAATACTGATGCGCGGAATCGAACCCGCAAAGATTGGTAGTAAAGCAAACAGTTAGACCACTGAGGACGTCAGTACAATAAAATGAGAATATTTATTATAGTATTCTTCAACTATCATAGAATCCAATACGTTGCAAACATTTAGAAATACTTTATTTCTATGCTATAACAATATTGGTTAATATAGGACATTTTAATTGTTTTGGTATAGGTCATGCAAGAAGTAGCACAACTGGCTCAATTCGACGAGGAATTGTACAAAGTGGTTGGCAAAGGCTCTGAAAACAAGGGAGATACAGCAGTTGAAGAGAAATATTTGATTGCAACCTCTGAGCAACCAATTGCAGCATATCACAGAGATGAATGGCTCCCAGAGGCATCATTACCTATTCGGTAGTATCTTTATTATACAATACTAGAACTATTATTTAAATCTACAGTACCAGGCTTCTACTAGATTTGACTGCATAGAGAGAGAAACAATAGGTGAAGTAAAGTGTTGACGTACGTCGGCAAGGGCATCTGAAACCTACACCCGGTTACAATTCCCGGGATGATCTGCTCGGAGTTTCTCTCTCTGCTCTGCCACGCGATGGACCGTGTTCCAGGCTTCCGCACCGTGAATCCATGAAATGCTGAGAAGTTGGTCTCTCCGTATTCCAGTACCTCTACTATAACATGTTAGAACTAATATATGTTTACGTTCAACTTTGTCTGCTTATTTTAAACTCGCGTAATTTCGTATGTGTCATATTTTTGGTACATTTTCATTACAGCTCCGCTCCTATTGGTCATAGTGATGTTATATCTTATATATATAAATGGATTATCCAAGTGTAAAATAATTCTCAAAATCGATTAAGTAATTAATCGAAAAATTATTATACAGAGATGACCCCTACAACCTAATAAATTCACAAACTTTTCCACTTTATAATATGTATTAATAATGTAGATAAAAAATAGCCTATGTCCATCCACTTGATATAATCTATTTTCACGTCTACTTTCATTGAGCAGTTTACTTCTTTATTACTTTTCACTACTAAACATCAGATATCACAAACAGACACATTTTCCTATTTATATTATAATATTATTGTAAAATATGTGTACATACGAGAAGAACATTCAAATGATCTGACTATTTTAATTGGTAAATATATGTAAATCTATGAATGGTCCTAAGTACTCCTAAGACACTTGACTTTACACAGTCGTATAAGGATGTTGATATGATATGCTAATTTGAAATCCGACTTTCACAGGTATGCAGGTTTATCCACGTGTTTCCGACAAGAAGTGGGTTCTCATGGTCGAGACACCCGCGGTATCTTCAGGGTACACCAATTTGAAAAGGTACGTACATCTAATAAATTACAATTTTTATTGTTAACTTAGGAATATGTTGGAATTGAGATTAATTTGAATTTCTGAGACCAATTGTTAAAGTGAATGAAGTAAGACGAGTGTGAAAGGATAGAGGTGTTCAGTACCGGTGTTGCCCTGCCTACCTTGTTAAGCACCGGGCGTAAAAATATAAGTATAAAATGTAGTATGTTTGTACAAACTTATAATGACATACAGGTGGAACAGTTTGTGCTGACTTCTCCCCATGATGATGCTTCCTGGAAAATGATGGATGAGATGATCGGTAATGCTGAGGAGTTCTACCAGACTCTCGGCATTCCATACCGCGTCGTAAACATAGTGTCTGGAGCTCTAAACCACGCTGCATCCAAGAAGCTCGACTTGGAAGCGTGGTTTCCTGGATCTGGTGCATTCCGTGAATTGGTATCTTGCAGTAATTGTCTCGAGTACCAAGCTAGAAGACTGTTAGTGAGGTAAGATTTGGTTTTATACTAATATGTTAGTGACTTTGTTCACTTACAATGTTTATTATTATAACTATGTATGGGAATTTAATAAATTTAATTTTTGTCTTTAATGACAATTGTTTCAAATTCATTCAGGGGTAAGTGTGGCGTATTTATTACATTCCTTACATGGGCGTAACGAGCCATGGGTTCAGGGCGAGGCAGCAGTCTAAAATAACATGTAACTAGCAAACTAAACCCGCGGTCTTAACCCGATTATTTTTTTAATACATAACGATAACACCTTATAGCGCTCTGTATCTGTATGTTATTTTTTGTATCCACTGTTGAGTATGAACTTTCTTACAGATATTAGGTATCGCAGTTATATTTGCCCTGTCCAACCCCAATTTTAAATGGTCTATTCTTGATACGTCTGCTACTATAGTTCTCTTTCTGATGTCCTAGTTTGTGATTTTATCACTTAAACACTGCTGTCAATGAGTTTCTATATATTTTCATATTACGTCACAGGTACGGCCAGACTAAAAAGATGAATGCAGCTACCGAATATGTGCACATGTTGAACGCAACCATGTGTGCAACCACGCGTGTTATCTGCGCCATACTCGAGATCAATCAAACCGAGGAAGGTGTTAAGGTAATACATATTTCAATATAAAAGAAAATCCATTATTCAAACACTTTTGAATTTAAGTTTTTTTTTAATCTATCGCTAACTCAGAAAGCAGTCTCATCACAAAAAACAAGCAAGAAACTTACAGGTTGCACGTTTAAATTATCTTTGTAACTTTACATTTTTAAGTCATCTTGACTAAATGCCATAATCATCTTGACAATTTTTTTATATGACTCGCGTGATGGTTGGTAATTATAGTAGCATACCTAGAGATGCCTGAAAGCAGCTTACAAATTGTCAACCATTTATGAAGAATTCAGCCATCCATTTTAATGGTCTTTTTGTTCGTTTGTGAAAATGTGACTTTTGATATGTATACGTTCTAAGCGTCAAAATTCCCCCCATTCCTCTCCTACCGCCGCATGCAGTTAAACATGCGTAGATTTTGTATTTAATCATATTTAAATATATGTTACCAGGTTCCTGAAGTTTTGAAAACCTGGATGCCAGAGCAATACCAAGAGCTCATACCCTTCGTCAAACCGGCGCCAATCGACTTAGAAGCAGCTGCTGCAGCAAAGAAGGGCAAGAAACAAAAATAAAATAAAATAATCACACGTCATATTGTCATTCCTGCTTTGTTATTTATTATTTACACGTTTATCTTAAATTTTATATTTTATTAAATGAATGACAAGACTTCGTTTTTTTTTACTATATTCATTACAAACCTCTTTTTATCTAGCGGGTAGAAAAGATTGATGGAAAGATATAGTGAGAATACGTCCTAAGAGTGGTGTACCATCTGTAATTCGATAATGATAACGTTTTTATGTTAGTTGTATATGTATCCTACCATCTATATCCTTCCTAATATTATAAATTTGAAAGTAACTCTGTGTCTAGCTTTCACGCCTAAACTACTGAACCGATTTAAATTAAATTTGGTACACAGATAGTCTAGACCCCGAGAAAGTACATAGGCTACTTTTTAATGGAAAAAAAGGGGAGATGCAAGGTTGTCTTATGTGATTGTATACATATAAACGAGTTGTACAGGCAGCGCGTAATGCGAAACTGGGGCATGTCATGCCTCTTATCCTGTAATTTCACGTTCTAATCTGACTCTACTACTGAAACATGGCTTACAAAGCAATATGCTTAAAATAGGTAAGGCTGAGAAGACAATATTTTAGTCTACCTCTGGTAAGTAACACCTGGTGTGGTGTACAGTAATAATAAAATTGTGTTATAAAGTATATGTGACAACAGGTAAATAATAATATATTTACTTAAATCTAACCCGTCACTAAGTTATATGTAAACAAATCAAACACTATCTGCATTTTTATGTTTATTGTGACGACTTATCGCGTCGCGTACACGCGATCGATACAAACCTTAGGTAAATACAATTACATTTTCTGAGATATAAAACTTATTAACAATTACCTCTAATATGATTTATATAAATTTAAATAATGTATAATATTTTTATATTCTACTGTACATTAATGAAATAATAAATTGGAATAAAAAAATTGCATTAGGTACATAGGTATTTTATTCAAATCTCATTTGTCTATTATTTTCCATCGCTAGTCACGTAGTCCCAGACGGATTCGTTTGCGTTCGAACATGCAAAGATGCCATTCCTGTTATATTTCAATAGGTAACATATGTCATGTGTTTTCCATATTATATGCGGGCTTTTGGAGAATTGAATCTTTATATTAACTAATAGAAAATGAACCTTATCGGTTATATGATTAGGTTACAAAATACCAATAAGGTTCATTTTCTGAGCAATCAGATTTATTGTATTAAGATTCTTAAATATTTGTATTTACATGGTCAACCATACAACATTGACTTGTATGTTTATATGAAGTACCTATGTAGGCATTTGAAACGTAATTGTTTCAGATTACTTCAGACTTTAATTTTTAGATGAGGCCATTTCGTAGCACTTATACCGGTTTAATTAATACATTATGCTATAGGTACAATGGCAAAAGTAATCATAGGATTATAACTAACAATCATCAACAACACATCACCAATAATTATATACATGTTAACATTAATATTTTTGTGTTTTATTTTTATACAAACAATATATTATAGTGACAGTGAAAGAGGTGGATGATGACAATTACAAATCATCTTATTCTTATTAGTTTTCCAGCTGTTCTTCGAGAATTTATCAACTGCACTATCAATTTTGTGAACTTAGCCCTTTTTCAAATGATATCTCACATAAAATATAGAGACAAGCAAGCTTAGTTTTGTGTTATACTTTAAATATAAACTTTCCGGTTCACTGTAGAAAAGAAAGTACAGTGTGATAAAAATAAACACTCCTTAAATTTTTTTTTTTAATAAAATTAAAATTCTTTTAAATATTTGTTCCTTGAAGAATCCAATTGACATAGAATTAGATTGATAGTAAAATAGAACATTAAATATTTTATTATAAATTATTTTCACATTAAAGCCCATTCTCCTGTAAATTTTGGTGAATTTGGCAAAGATTGCCTTACAACCAATAATATATTATTATGCCTTACTCTATGGCCATAAACCACAAAGCTTTATTTAGAATCTGATAAGATTATGAATTCAGTGTTATATTTCTAATATTTTGTCACAGTGGACATTTTAAGAATAATAAATTGTGTACAGGATGCCTACATTATCAACTTAATATGAATTACAGCAATTCCACAGTATTGAAAATGTCTTATTGTCTAGCACTTACATATAAAGAAAATATTTTTGCAAGTAAATTACACCATAAACTGAGCATTTATATGTAATATATTGTCTAATATTTCATACAACACAATTGCATACAATAACATGTCTAGTAGTGAAAGGTGTGGTCTCAATTGCATTACAACCTCTAAGCATAATATTCTAACAGGTAAGACTATATATATAATGATAAATATGACTTAATTCTACATGCAGGTATAAATTTTGCACTAACATTCTAACAGTGCTGAGTAACAAATGCACATTTACATAAATAACAGCTGTTTATTTTTAATATTTTTATTTCCCTATTAATGAGAATATTCATAAATTTCCTTTATATTAAAGTTGAACAGGATAATGTTTGTATTTGTTTTATATATGAAATAAAGAGAAGAACAAAATTATACATATAACAAATTTCTAACAATAACTGTTTTAATGTGAGAATTAATAAATATTAATTATTGTAACATAGGATATTTTAAAATAAAGAAATAATTTTAATATTCCAAGCTGCATTGACCTCAAATAGCAATTAGTTATGATGATTTTAATATTGCAAGCTACCTTTGAAAATAGTGATGGAACTTATATTGATTTGTAGATAATAAATAATGTTCAGATACAATATACAATGTGTAAAAGTACATAAATAATTTCCAATATGATGAGTCACAAATCAATCTAGTCGCAAAGTTTTGACTGATTGGATGTTGCAGTAAAAATTATTACTAGCATGCTAGTTGAGCCTTCTGTCGGCACTTGTGCATCAGAGCCCGTAAAGTAAACTGTCTACGTGCCAATGTACGTACTTGCTTCAGAAATGAGTCTAGATCAATAACTTCTTTACGTAATGCCTCTCCCATGTAATAGATTGCATCCTCCAAAGTGGCTTCCTCAGCAAATGCATTCAATAGTTGCGAGTACAAGGGAGCTGTTGTAACTACTGCCTCATCTACATCAACACCTTCCTGTTCTGACAAACGTTCCACCGCTGCTTCCAACTCCTTTTCCTTTTCTTGTAAAACAGCTACATTCTTATCTAAATCGGTTCGTTCTCTCTGTAATCGCGATATAATATCTTCGAGACGGGTCTTACCTTGCTGTAGTTCCTGTTCTGTTCGTCGCAGAGTTTCCAGCTCTGCCTGTGACTGTTGTGACTGTTCCTTCAGTCTCCTTTTCAATTTATCTTGAACAGCAGACAGCAGAGATAACTTTATGTGTTCTTCAGTTATTGTGCCACCAGCAACATCAGCACCACCATAGTTACTAGCAGGTGGGTAAGGAGTGGTAGTTGAGGCTGGTGGATAAGGAATGCCATTTGTGGGCGCAGCTCCTGGATAAGGTGACCCATAACTAGGGTATGGTAAGTTTGATGTAGTCGGGTATGGCGTTGTGGTAGGGTATCCAGGCTGTGGTGTCACCTGTGGGTAGGGATACCCTGACGGCTGCGGCATAAAAGACGCCGCCGGATAAGGAGTCGTTGTATCATTTCGTGGTCTGGAATATACTGGAGGAATTTCACCAAAAGCTGTCACCATTGCCTGTATCAACTTTTGCAAGGTTGACCCATTCTGAGTCCATTCGTGCAGGTACGGTAAATAAATCTTTCCGTTATTATCCACATACATTGACACCTTGATAGACATGTCTGCAGTAGGTTTCACGAAACACAAAGGCGCGTTTAATGGATGAGTATCCATTAGCCAAATGCAGATAGGTATGTTGTAATATGCACCTTTGTAGTTTACAGGAATAGTACCGTCTAGATTCAGCAAGTCTTTCCTAGTTCCATTATTAAAAACAAAGGCTTCTAAACGATATGTCAAACTTCTATATACTTGAATCAGGTTGATTACCTCGCGAGTAGCGTAGTCTCGATATTTATACTTCGACAAGTATTGTTTTAAAACCGCCTCATCGTTTGCCATGACTACAGCAACTTTAGTTGAGATCAGAAATCTGGTTCACAAGATTATGGAAGAATCTAAATAAATCGAAAAACAATCACTACAGAAGCACTACAAATATGAAATAGAGAATTAGGATATCTCATTGACTAAAAATTTGTCATTGATTTGATAATCACTAATCTTGACAGCTCAGTGCAGATTAGTTAGATGTGACTAATAGCACAGTATTTTCTAAGTAGAGCTGTGCTTTCCATTGGACCAAAGAGTAAAGTAAATACAAAGGATATCAACGTTAAACAAGTACGATTCTGTTTTATTCTAATTAGAATATAAAATGTAATGGAATCTGAATTTATCACGTCAAACTTTGCAAGTGGCAATTTATTTGGATTTACGCTTGTTGCGACACACAATCAAATGTACTAAGCAAATAATCACTACGATTTAGATTTTTTTAATTTAAGCAGTGAATTTGAATCGTTAAGTATTCCCAGTCAGCCTAGAATAACTAAAACAGAAATTCAGTTTAATTTAAAAATTTTAATTTTTAATTTAAATTTGGTTTATGTAAAATAAAATAATTAAAAAAATAACAAATTCAAAAATGCTTTTTGAGTCACGTTTTGAATAAGATTTTTTTCCATTGTGAATACATTTAATTATATACTTTTCTTTTATTCATGACCTATCTACGCGTCTCGAACTTAATAATAATAATTATTTTTATTATATAATTAGGTCAAACACATTATAATTAGATTTAACATTCCAGATAAATAAGTACCTAAATATTTTGGGTTTACTGTACTTTACTAAATGGGTGGTATGGGTAATAAATGGTATGGGCCGCTTTAATAGGCCGGATTTCCAATTACTAATACGGATTTTAACGGTAATTTTCATCTTCTGGAAACTAAACACTTCTAAAAAATCACAGCAATAGAATTGTTGTGTGCCTAAACTTACTACTACTTAACTTACTTACTCGTAATATTTCTGTCGACATTAATAAGCCATATAGCATACTACCAATAAACTTGTGTAATAGTACAATTATTTACCAGTATACTCACTACCTAAAAACTACAATAAATAATATATTACGTAGCGCCACCTTATCACACCATATATAACGCTGCAGTAATGAGGATAACCACCGCGCTACAGTTGTATAATTCTATATTCTGTTCGTTACTATTACTGTAAAAAAATTTACTTTACAGTAATAATATTTACCTTTACAAGACATGATTACTGTAAAGTATTTTTTTTAAAAGTTGGCTAAAGACTGTGTATCTAAAGTATAATTAAAAAAAAGTCAATGTCGGGCATGACACCTACTTACCGAATTCCATTAAAAAAGTTCTTTTACCGACGATCTGTCAACGTTTACGGAACGTTTATTTTCTTTTCGTCGATGAATCCATTTTCATCCTCTTAGTTTTAACATAAATAGTGAAGTGTTTTATATAATATAATAACACAATGCCTCCTAAATTCGATCCGAATGAAATTAAAATTGGTAATGTTAACTGAATGATAAATTTACTATATTTTAACCTGAAAGTTTGGTTTATCATATTGATATTAAATTCTTATATTTACAGTGAACTTGAGATGTGTTGGTGGAGAAGTTGGTGCCACATCATCTTTGGCTCCTAAAATTGGTCCCCTTGGTCTTGTAAGTTGGATATTCTTTAACTTTGCTTAAACTGTGTTGATAACCTAAAATTATGCATGGCAGTCTACATACATCATGTGTACGGTATAATACAATTATTACTATGTACACTTAACCTCATTACACGAGACAACTGGAGTAATTATAAATATAACAAATCAATTTATTGGAAATACTTAACTGTTTAATATTTAGAAACTCGTTGTCTCGGTGTTCATCCTGGGGGGTGCCTCCCTACCAGGCGCGTCCTTCCGGTTGGCGGATGGAAGGAACCCGCGACTCAGGATCCCACCAGGTTCCCTGTCGCGGCTACTCCGAATGTCCAATAAGGAGTCGCGGACCAGGCTATGTTACTGCCATGCTGTTATTTTATAGGTGTTCTAACAACAATCTACTTCAACATCACTTTTAAAGGTAATGTATTTGCATCACTGTCACCATTTAACTCATAACATAAAATAAATAAAACTTATGCATTTAATTTTGAAAATTGGTTAATATTAACACAGAAATTCTTGACCAGACAACCTGGTAGTCGAGAATAATGAAGAAATTTAGAGAAGTATAAATTTCTAGTATTATAATACTTTTACAGTACAAAACCTATAGATATATGTAGGTCTATGTTGTCAAAAACTTAATTCAAATGGAAGTTTTATATACATAATTATATCATAACTTCATCTAGAAATCCAGTATCCTCTGTATATTCATACAACATGATTTTTCCATAATAATATGTTGATCACATAGAAATTTTATGAATAACTAATTGTATAGGATTTGTAACCCCTGATGCAAAAATTTGGTTGTTATAAGTTTCATAGTGTCTGACTATGGCATCATTATGATTATGATGCAGTTTTTAAAGTTGATGAAATTAAGACTATTTGTAATTATCATTATTGGATATCTGAGAAGAGATTTGTAGTGTCTTAAATTCTTAACATTTAACTGAAAGATGTTTTTAGTTTATTGTTGTACTGAATATGTAGGCCCAAACTATTGTATATAGTAGCTTACTCTTGTCTAGTTTTCTCTTTCTGTATGCTTCTGAATAAAGTCTATATTATTTAATACATACTATACTCCAGGTAGATATGAGCATATGCTCATGCTATGTGGTTTCCATTCTATTTAACATTTCTGGTTTTGTTATTGATGTAAAATTGTATCCTGTTTGTTAAAGATTCAAATAATTGAATAAGTAATAGACTTATTATTTATAGAATGATTATTTAAAATCATTGTAGTTTTGTTTGCCATATTAGCTATATAAAGTTTCAATTGTGTATTTGAAAATATTTTCTTTTTGTATTCAGTCCCCTAAAAAGGTTGGTGATGACATAGCCAAAGCGACCAGTGACTGGAAGGGTCTGAAGATCACAGTGCAGCTGATTGTACAAAACAGACAGGCTCAGATCTCAGTCGTACCATCAGCAGCTGCCCTCATCATTAGAGCTTTAAAGGAGCCACCTCGTGATCGTAAAAAGCAGAAAAACAGTATGTATACATAATATGTTTACTGACTATTATTCTAAACTTTACATTTATCAGAAAATGTTAAGTCAACAGTTAGAATCATTCATTTATCATACATATAGACATGCCATAATTAGTAGTTACATCATATTATAATTGAAGTAATTATTCTATAGTTATATTGAATATGGCTTACATCTGGAATGTAAGCTGATGCTTTATTGTTGATTACAAAATTAAGTTTTTTTATATAACTTATATTATATATTATATAAATCAATTAATTGATCTAAGCATTATTATTTTAGTAAGAGGTATGTTACTGACAATAGAACTGATTCTTAATCATTGTGTTTTTCTGTTTCAGTTAAGCATAATGGAAACATCACTCTTGAAGATGTTGTGAATATTGCCAAGGTCATGAGACCACGCTCCATGGCACGAGAGTTGTCTGGCTCAGTAAAAGAAATACTTGGCACAGCCCAGTCCGTTGGATGCACAGTTGAGGGCAGGCCCCCACATGACCTCATTGTGGACATCAATAATGGTGCCCTTACCATTGACGAATAAATAGATTGAGGAGGATTTAATGTTTTGTTTCCTTTATCACCAATGACATTTACTTTTTCTTAGACTAGCAGATTGTCTAGTGGTTTAGCACACCACCTTACTTGCAATAGTCTTGGCGGGTTCTATTTCTCGCACAATACATTTATAAGTATTATTGTATTGGTCTGGGTGTTTCTAGTTATGTATAAATTTGTATAGAGATATTTCTATCTAATGATAACACAAACTGCTTGTGAATTGTCTAAGCTTGGTATTAGTAGTAGTAGACGTCAATTGACTGTAATACTGAAAGTTTGTATAAAGCCAATTGAAATGTTTAATACGATTTTAGAGCCGAGGGGGGCTTAGTAAATTATTGGTAATAATAAATAGTAGTGGTCCCATTGCTAGCAATGTAGCATACTATGATTGAATAATCTATTGCCACTAGTTCTTATTCAAGTCTACTCCATGGTACATACGCCAAAATAGCCTAATTTCCTAACAAATTTTGGGCCTCTTCGTTAAGGATTAATGTTCCAATTCCATAAAAAATAAAATTGTATAGTTCGAGGAACAGAAATTTCAACGTTAGCACTATGACTTAATGTTGATTTTCATTTTATCCATAACTGAGTACTTAATGTTTCCATGAGACTATATATGTAATGATTCTGTCCTTCCCACCACACACACCTATAGTCGTATTTTTAATTAGACGAAGTCAACTGACGTTTACTGTGTTGTCAGTATTTGATGAAATAAAAATAGTGTTGTGACAAAGTGAATCATTGAAAAAACTCCTGAATTAATGGAATTGCCTCGATTGTCTAGTGAATAGTTAGTGTGCCGAACTGCCGATATCGGGTACGGGGTTTGAATTTTAGCCGTGCTTTATACATACCAACGAGTTTACGACGATTATGTTCCTATTGTATCTACCTATACTGAATACCGAGTATTTTAAACGTAAAGAAAAAATTGCGTGGAAACTTTTAAGACTGTCCTATTTACAATTCATCATGTAATTGAAACTATAGATGTATAAAATATAACAATATATAACATAATATAGTTAGGTAATAAAAATAAAAAACTGCGCTTATTACAAAATATGTTTTTATTCATCATCAGATAAAAAAATCATTGTCGCTTTCAGTGACATTAATTATAAATCTGTCTAAAAATTGATAATAATTTATCTTTGAAACAGTGTTTCGGTCCACGTTTCTCCGGAGACTTAAATTGTTCACTTTGTATTATTTTAATACATTGTAGACTGAGGTCAATTCCCAAAATGTCAGCTGTTTTCGAAATACATTTGTTTTTTTGGGAGCCTCAATAGGTAATAGTGAAGCAGCTTTCTCAAATACGTATTTGTAGACGTTTTGTATCATAAGTTTTTCGGTAACGTCTTTCTTGGAGACAAGCTTTGGCTTGACGTGCTTGGTTGAGGATCCATATTGTTTGTATGAAACAATATAGTAAATATACAATATACCCAACAATTACCACAAACACAACATGAGGAAAAACTTAACAAAACAGCGTGAGCGCAAAAAAAACATTGGTGCTCTCAGACCAGAGGTTAGAAGCCGAATTACGAACAAAATGGCGACCGACGCTCGCGACGTTGATTTGTGTTGGCACTAGTAGCCGCGCGCTTTGTAATAAGCCGTCAAAAAACTGATTGTAGTTACTAGTAACTTATATCAGAGCACTTTTATACAATTTTCTTTTGTAGTTTGAAATGATTAACTATTCACACTCATTGTTCATTCATCTAACTGAGAACTGAACGCATCACTATTACTTTAAATATGGCAACATTATTTTACAAAGTGACATTAGCTACTGTCAGCTAGCTTCGTCTAATTAAAAATACGACTATATGTACATAAAGACGAAAATTACACTAAATATTAATAAAAAAAAAGTTCTTCTAATGTAGGTAATTTACTTTTTTTGGTCTAACTTCGAATTCATAAGTAATATAGCTATAATAATACAATGCTCCAAATACATTAGAGAATGTGGCGCCGCGCCGCGCCGGTGTCGGAGAGGTTAAAGAGTATGCGTTTGTCGTGCTTTGGGCATGTAATGCGTAGGAATGAAGATAATATTTTAAGAAAATTATTATTGTTCATTTACTGAAAGTACAAATAAAAAGTAGCACCAGATATAAATATATAATATCCGTATTACTTTGTGGTCACCGTATTTATAGCTGTAAATGTTTATGTTATTCTAATAGTAAATAAATTTGATATTATATACTGTTGTATAAATATAATTTCTTGAAGTAACATAATTTTAATATCAATTATATTTGACAAAGATATAATAATATCATAGAGTTCACAAAAATTAAATAGTAGAAAAGTGTACCAACACAGCCACACTAAGTTGGTAATAGTAGATTGAGAAATTTTGTAGTAGACATCACTGTTCCCTCCAAGCAGAAATGTCAAAATGGCGTCAACGCAGGACGCTTGGTATATTTCTTTACTTGGTTTAGCAGAACATTTTCGTACATCAAATCCTCCTGACATAAAAAGTTGTATCCAGTGCCTACAAGCTGTGTTTAATTTCAAACCGCCACAAAGGGTCGAGGCCCGAACTCATTTACAACTCGGAAATATTCTCTTGACACACACCAAAAACATCGACTTGGCGAGGACGCATTTAGAGCAGAGTGTAAGTTTTTTTTGTTATTATTTATGAACTTTTATTAGTGAAAGATGTTTAGAATATCCGTGTGTTGATATCAAAGTCAGTACACTTGTCCTTTTGATTGTGTGCAATGAAAACTAAATAGTAGAATGTAAACAACAATAATGAAGTGGGTCACCGTGGTGTTTTGATTTCAGTGGTGCCTCTCTCAGACTATCAATGGTTTTGATGATGTGAAGTTTGAAGCGGCAAGCGTGTTAGCAGAACTATTTGAACAACAGGGTCAGCCAACACACTCTAAACCAATTTTAAGGAAAGCTATTGAACTGTCACAACACAGTGTTTACTGGCATTGTAGACTAATATTCCAATTAGCGGTGAGTATCGCATTTGTTCTGTGTCTTCTATATACATGAGTTTTCTACAAAGTCATAATGTGCCTTTTCTTTTAATTGTTACATTTTATAATACTTTAATAACTGTAATTTTGTTAAAATTAGAATGAATGTTAATTTTGTCAATAACAGATAATGAAATGTGAGACTTTAACTTACAGACCTTAACACACCACATGCAATTGATCTAAACAATATTTTCTATCTAAACAGATAATAATAAGTGTTTTAGTTTCTTGTGTAGATAAAATGTTTAGGACAGTTGAATGTATTCATATTTTGAAATATTCTGTGTTGTAACCACATTCTAATAGTGCCAAAACCTGCATAAAAGTATTAACAAAATAGAATTAAAATCTTTTTATTATAAATTGGAAATTAGCCTTATTTGATTTTTTTTTTAGTGTAAATGTTAAATATAAATTTCTAACAGTTTAAACTGTTTAGAATAAAATGATCTACAATTCATTTACAAACAGATTGCGACTTCTTAGGTAGAATTTATTATATATTTTTTTTATTTGGTTGTTACTAAAATTTCATAATTATTTTGATGGTTAAAAAAATGAATCACCAATTTTTTGGTTACTTGTGATTTAACCACAGTTATTTGAAAAATAATGTCTTTATTTTTAATGATTGTTCACTGCACATGAGATTATTTATTATCTTCACAAATACATAGTGCCCATTTATTATATCCATTATTATAACTTATCTATGAATGGGAGGCACCTTATTGAAACTAAATTATTGTATTGGTGTTAAAATAGATATAATTTGTTCTTTTAAGACTTATATATACATTCAAATTATTATAGTTTCAAATCTAGCAATATGTATTTTACACCAAATTCTTAGTGAAATGCAATCGAAGCCTTAATTCCACTAATAAAATAAAATTGGGCAGTTATAAAGATTACTAATACTAATACTCTATTTTAATTGCAGCAAATTCATGCCACAGAACGAGAATATGAAGTTGCCAGTAGTTTACTCGGTGTGGGAGTTGACTATGCACAGATATCAAATGCTGCTTATACCCGAGTACTATTCTTGCTCAGTAGGGTAATGGTAAGTGTATTTCTTTCTACCTTTATTATGTTCAATTTATTAACAGTTATATTAAACTCTACCTAAAATCATTATGAAGCCCCAACATCATCCGTTTCCCTGGCTGGCATGCTTGCTTTTTTGAAGCCACAACATCACAACAATTTAGGATGTCTATGGGGTCTGTACCTATGCTTCTCCTCATGTATATAGGATGTGTGTGATTGCCTTAGCCAGGGAGACTCTAGCAATGGCACCTTGAGGTATATCAAGAAAGAGAAAGGTTTATCATGGCTAGGAAATATATATAATAGATTTCATACACTTTCAAATTAACTAACTGATTTTCTATTTCATTTTCAGACCATACATTTTATAAAGTTATTGATTAGTCACTATGGATACAAAGATTTTTTAAATTAATATCATGTTCTTTACTGTTATTATTGCAGCTATTATTAATAGACAAAAAGATACAAGAAGTGCTACCATTGCTAAATCAGGCTATGCACCTGGTGGACTCATGGGCTGGCAGTCTGCACCAGAAAGAATACCTTAAAGTGTTCTTTTTAGTACTACAGGTAATAACTTACAACACTAATCTTTTATGGGTATGGCTATAAAAATTTGCAATAAGATATGGAAGGATATGCTGGAATCACCTTTAAAAAAATTAAAAACATTTGTTAATTCATATTTATTGAGCAAAGCCTATTAGACACTAAACAATTACTTGAATGACAAATGTGCATGGCAAAAATAGTTAATGCATTGATCTGTAAGATATATCTTCCATTCTCCATCTATATACTGGAAGATATATCTTCCATTCTCCATCCAAATCTAATAACTTCATGTGACAATGTATTAACATCCCAGTACTGGGAATGGGTTATAAGGATATAAGAAAGCTTTGTGTTACATAACCCGGACAACTGGGTTATGTAACAGAAAGTGGTTTAGTTTAGAATTTTAGTTTTAGCTTTGTAGTGTGTATAAAGTACCCTAAAAATGAAAAATTGCAATTGTAATATATTCCATTTTTCTCTGTTGCCACTGAGATAACTATTTAGAACCACCATGTTCTTAACATTATTTAAAGTTGTTGTGTATTCTCTTAGGTATGCCATTACCTTATGGCTGGACAGGTGAAGAGTGTTAAGCCATGCCTGAAGCAGTTACAGCAGAGCATCCAAACCATCATGGCGCCTACGTGGCCCGACGACGACGGTGAGTCTACTACACCATTTTTTTTTATAATGATTCAGTCTTTCAATTCGCATTGTGCTGCTTTTATTTTTAATTGGAATGACCAACAACTATCACCTGTAGGCATAAACATAATGGTCATTACGAAATTATGCCATTGTTAAGTACCAAAATGCCCATATAGCCGCTATAACTAGCATTTAATAATTTCATTGTCGCCTGTCACCTTTTGAACTTGCTGACCAAGCAGCTTAGCCGGAGAAACAGGTATTTTATATATTTATTTTAGTACCAATTTAGATAATATTTTAGGTAGTCCTATAATGTTAAATTTAATCCTTAAACACCTTTTGAACGTTATATGGCAATTGGCTATTTGTAACAAGGTTGGAGTAGTCACAAAGTTGGTGAAAAGAATCACAAAATCTATGACCTCTCCTAGAAGGGTAGGTGTGTTTTAATTTCGGAATAATAACATAAAATTTACACTATTTAAATGTGACCATTTGTGAAAAGGGGGTCAGAGGGGGCGGGTGGATAAAAATTGACTGAAATAATGTATGGTTGGTCCCTTAATATTTCCCCGTTGAATATGTAGGCACTTATTTGCAGCCGTGTGCGGGACTGCGCCCGGGGAGTCGTTCGTATGGCTGTCGCGGCAGCAGCTGTACGTCCTGGTGTACTTGGTGACCGTGATGCACTCAGCACAGGCCGGCTACATGGACAAGGCGCATAAGTACACAGAAAAGGCGCTCGCGCAGATTGACAAACTTACATGTGAGTATATATATATATTAGTATATTTTTAAAGATACACCCACCATAGGGTGCACCCACCTGAAAGTTTATGTTTATATTACCTAAATGTTCTCTCATTTTAAGATCATATTTCAGTTAATGTATAATGTCAGTGTACCAGCGACATACACAGCATAACCCAGAGATATTTATGAAACGGAGCGGGGGTACCCCTTTTTATTTTTGAATAGCTGATAATGGAATGGTGCTCCCGCCTGCGTTAAAGGGGGTGGTGTATCGGCACTATCCTGGCACATTGCTGTCATCAGTGCCCTGACTACAGACGCAATTTCAATATATTAGTATTATTATTATAATATTACTTCACGTGTATGTTACACTATAAGGTATTTATAATATGGGCTTAGTAGGCTGAAATCTATACATCTATACACATATAAATAAAATTGGAGTGTCTGTTTGGAATATTGAAATAACCGTTTTTTATTACATGCATATGAATATAAATAAGGTACATACAACAAAATAACATTTTTTACAATTGTTGTTTGTCTGTCTGTTTGTTCCGGCTAATCTCTGAAATAGCTGGGCCGATTTCGACGGGACTTTTTTTGGCAGGTAGCTGAAATAATAAGGAGTAAATTAGGCTACTTTTATTTTAGAAAAATAAAGTTACATTCTACGGGGACGTAGTCGCGGGTACCAGCTAGTAAATAAATGATATCGTCGTCGTCCGCAGCGAGCGGGTGCACGGAGCGGAGCGTGTGCGGTGCGGCGGGGGGTGTGGGGGGTGCGGGCGGCGTGCGGGGCGGCGCGGCGCTGGCGTGGCGGCTGCGCATGGCGCTGGTGGAGCACGCGGCGCTGTGCCGGCTGGTGGCGGGCGGGAAGGCGCACGCGCTCCACGAGATCGCGCGCGCCGCACACCTGCTGCAGGTCGCGCCCTCGCGTACGTATCGCCCGCGGACACGCATCGCTTTCGGCGATGAGGCCGCCTTATTGTAATTTTATCGCAGGACATTTCGCACACCATCTAGAGTCAAATTGAACTTTTCTATCTTAGGACAATTCACGCAGTACTATCTAGGGCCAAATTAAGCTAGCTAGAGTGATATGGATCGTACTAGACGACTGAGATGAAAATGTAGATTTTTTCGTAAATGCATACATATTATGGATAGAAATCACCCAGACCGATACAATCATAGGCATGAGTACAAAATGTTTGTTCTGTGGAAGGCTATGAATCCGCGACCTTCGGAACTAAGGAGGTTGCTAAATCGCTACACAACCGAGGCCGTGACATTCCTGTGATATATTGTTTGTCTTTTCTTTACTTTATGTTACAAATGAAGCATATTGTCTCTATTTAAAAATATAAGAATAAATAACAAATTTCCAAGTATGGCACATATATTTTTTAAATTGTTAACTTAAGTTAGCAATTAATATGTATCTAATATTAATAATACTCTAGAAAATACACTCAATGCCATCTGGTCTCATGATATAACTTCCAATAGTCGCGAGTTCGAATCCTCACACCATAGAAACATTTGTATTCTTTAGTGTGATTATTTGTATTGGTCTGGGTGTCTTCTATGTATATTTCAGTATATATTTAAAAAATATCAATGTAATTATATAGTTACATCAGTTGTAGTACCCATAACATAAGGTCTGCTTAGCTTAGGACTAGATGGCGCTGTGTGAATTGTCATGTCATTCTTGTTATTATATATATGTTATAGTTTTTTATGCCATTTATAAATAAATATTCCAAAATATGTCTAACTAATTTTAATATTTAATTGATTACTTGTTGGTTTACAAAATATATCTAACCAATTTTAATATTTAATTGATTACTTGTTGGTGTCATCATGGCAATTGTTTCTTCCAGCGTGCGTTGCGGCGGCACATACTCCGCAATTGCACTGCCTGTTGGGCCTATACGCTATGTCCATGAACTGCATGGAAGCTGCTGAGGCGCAGTTCCACACCGCAATCAATGTAAGTCTTCCAAATTAGGCGACGTTTTCAGCTATATCGACATCACGTTTCTTATAGCAGGCACCATAGCGCTTATAAATGTCCTCTAATGTACTTACAAATATTTAAGTTGAATGATTTTAATTTTAATATAAAAAGTAAGAAAAAATAATTGTGGCGAGTTTGCTACTATCACACGGTAACACTGGTGCCTAATTACTATGAAACAAAAAAAATATCATGTACGTCTTTCGAGACTTAATCCTCTACTTTTATTATATAACTGTAAATACTTCATCAATATACATGATGTAAATAGCCACGACTGGAGTCATCTCTTCACCTCCCTCTTTTTGATGGTGTTGCCGCAAGAGTTAAGACAAACACGTTAGAAAATATTTGTGGCTCCATCATAAAGTTTAATGAAGCTCATCGTCTAGTTTTTACTTGATTACGTTACTTACTTGAAAAAAGATGTTTTCTTATCGACCCTATTTGAACATAATTTTATAATTACATTGATAATTAAAATTAAAATAGATTTTTTTTAAAAAAATCACTGGCGTTTTAGCATTAAATGATAATTATTTAATACAGTATTAGAATATATAGCAGATCCTAACTTTAAAATAAAAAATGTCGAGCTTTTTATTTATTAATTTTTTCTTCTATTTCAGATGTCACAAGAAAGAGACTTATGGATGTTCGCAAAATTAAATCTGGCAATAGTTTATTTACGGGGACGACGAGACAACGAATTGGCGCAAATTATGGAGCAGGTACGTAGAATACAGAAATAAATTACATATTTTTTTACTTGATTTTAAGCACAATAGTAATAGGAATTTTATATTTGAAATTTATTATTATTTTGAGGTCTTTCTTTCAAAAGTATTACGTACTATAATTTATTTTTATATGGTATGGTCCATGGTAGAGTGTGTAATGTTCTATTTATCGATTGTTATTATTATTTTTTATGCGTAATGCACTCCTTCTCTATATAAGTGTGCGAATTTGCATATTTCTCCGTCCACTCTATTTTCGTAAAAAGGGGTACATATTTTCGCTTCGCGTATTATGTCTATATTTTTTTTCAGGTGAGGCCGGAAGCGTTACCAACGTACGCACACGGATTGCGGGCCGCTTCATATTACGTGCTAGGACTGCAGGCCTTCTTCCAGGCGCGGTATAATGAAGCCAAGTAAGACATTTTATATGCTTAGCTTTTTTTTAGTATTCATATCCGCATAACAATAACTGTTAACGATTATTGATATGAAGTAGAAAGATGTTGGGGAGAGAACAGAGCCTTGCGGGATGCCAGCTTTAATGTCCATGTTATTAGAGCAACTACCATCGACTATGGTTTTGATTGATGACAGAGACCAGACAAAAAACTGGCGACCCATTTGCATAATTTGCATTTGTATTTCGTACGAGGACAATTTCGATAGAAGACATTGATGTCAAACCCGAGCAAATGCCTTCGCTATGTCGAGGCTAACTGGCAACACCTCACCTTACATTCTCGATGGCAAGAGCCCAGCGGTGTGTTAAATATCCTAAAAGATCACCAATGGTGCGATTATGGCGATCGCTCAATAAATCGTGATCCTCTAGGTATCTAAAGAGCTGTGTATTAGTTACATGCTCCATCACTCATGAATTTATGGAGGACTAAATTGTTCAATATTTGTTTCGAAGTATTCTAACATTAGCCGCTGTTAGCCTTTACAGCTTCACCGAATTAAAATGTGAGGAATGCTAGGTCACTTTAAACCTGCTGAAGGATGGCCAACTCTTGTTTGATTAATTTAGTCTGAGGTCACGAGAGTATAAGACAACACACAACACAAAAATATACCTTCGCATGTATAATATTAATATAGATGGACTGATTTAGTTATTTGATTGTTATCAATAGGAAACAGACTGAATATACTTTCGGATGTATAATATTAATATAGATGGACTGATTTAGTTATTTGATTGTTATCCTGAAGTACCCGTATATCTTTTTATTTTATTCCTTATTCGTCCTTTCAGACGGTACTTACGGGAGACGCTGAAGATGGCGAACGCGGAGGACTTGAACCGGTTGACGTCGTGTTCGCTGGTGCTGCTCGGGCACATATTCCTGTCTATCAACAACTCGCGTGAAAGTATGAACATGGTAACGCCGGCCATGCAGCTCGCCAGCAAGATACCAGATGTACATGTTCAGTTGTGGGCTTCCGCTATACTTAAAGGTTGGTGTTATTCATAATACAAGAGATGACCTTGTAATTCTAGTGACATACACCTGTTATAATTCTTTTATCCTTAATATCTTCTGTGTCTTCAAATATGAATTTATGTGTAATAGAAGGGTGGTAGGGTTGCATATAAGGGTGGTGCTTGTTAGGCAAATGATAGGTACGACATTTGAGTGTATACTGTCTCATTTATAACCATAATAAATGCTTATATACTACTTGCTAAGTACATTCATCCTTACAGTAAGATGTTTTATTATTAACTTTCAAATTGACCCTACTCTTTGTGTCTAATTAATTACTAATATTATAATGAAGAACAAATATACTTTTTTGTATTATAAATAAAAATTTATTTATTGTTAAAATAATAGCTGTTTTCAAAACTCTGTTAAATAGTATAAACATGCATAGATTTGGGATTCGACTATGAATCTAATGACACTATTGCATGTATTGCAGAGTTACAAATATATGTTGTTGCATTATTTGAATTGTGTGGAGTGACGCAGTTTGTAGCCAACATCACGCCGTTAGTTTTATCTGAGCCCGATCAATAGTTCGCGCGAACAGAGCGATTATTATAGAAAATATTTTTAGAAATTTGTGATGCGTTATTTCCGAATGCGACTAAATTGTGTCTGCAGATTTGTACCGGCTAGCAGGAGACACGGAGCGCGAGAACGAGGCGTAAATTGTGTCTGCAGGCGCTTGTTCCAGGCGACGGCTAGCACGGAGACACGGAGCGCGAGAACGCGGCGCGCCCCCGCCCGCGCCCTACCAGATGCCGCCGCCACCTAGCCGCCGCCACCTAGTGCCGCCGCAGGCGCCGCTCACCTAGTGCCGCCGCCACTTCCAGGCGACGCCACCTAGTGCCGCCGCCACCTGCCGCAGCACGCCGCCGCCACCTCCGCCGCCACCTAGTGCCGCCGCCACCTAGTGCCGCCGCCACCTAGTGCCGCCGCCGGCCGCCGCCACCTAGCCGCCGCCACCTAGTGCCGCCGCGCCCGCCACCTAGCCGCCGCCACCTAGTGCCGCCGCGCGCCGCCACCTAGTGCCGCCGCCACCTCCGCCGCCACCTAGTGCCGCCGCCACCTAGTGCCGCCGCCACCTAGTGCCGCCGCCACCTAGTGCCGCCGCCACCTAGTGCCGCCGCCACCTAGTGCCGCCGCCACCTAGTGCCGCCGCCACCTAGTGCCGCCGCCACCTAGTGCCGCCGCCACCTAGTGCCGCCGCCACCTAGTGCCGCCGCCACTAGCTCCTCGGGAAGCCGACGCACCGCGCACGCGCCCGGACGGACCGCGTGACGGTGACGGACTCCTAGTGGTTCCACGTGACGGCTACCACATTCCAGAACGAGCGGTCGGCTGTTAAGTAGTGTCGATGTATAAATACGTGGCTGTACTGTGTATATAAGATGGATGTGATATTGTACAGTCAGTAGACGGGACGGTTTAGAATATTGTATATGCTATCTGTACTAGTGAAATAGACGGTCTCTATCTCCGCTTTGGAACGGAGCTACGTCAGACGGTTAGACAAATCTGATGCACAGGGAGTAGAGGACGGTGCAGAATATGGAACCATTGGTGTTTTATCCGAGATTGAAAACTTGGACTGACCAGTGCAAAGGTACAAGTGAATGCTCGAGAACTGTTGGCCTAATGAAAAGACATTACCAGACAAGTGATATTCACGCCAGTGACTTAACATTTGTTAGTGATAGTGTGGGTGTTGAGAGCTGTCTCATGATCTGATAATTGGAATGAGTGTATGATTCATACGATTGTAATATATTGGCTTTGACGCGGAAATGACAACTGGAGCTGTGTTAATTTTACAATTACAAACTGAGTAATTACAAAATTACAAATTCTTTGGTTTTTGTTGCTGCCAACATTTTATCAATAATTGTTAAGACAACACTGTAGATATTATTTTGCAAAAACCTTATTAATTTGTAATTTTGTATTATTTGTAAAATTAATACAAGCCTATTATCCTTTCCCATTCCTGTAATCAAGCAATTCACTCGGAATGCAGAATGGTATCTTCCATTCCCATTTATTTGGTTCTTAAATTTGATTTCATTATAATATTTATGTTGATAATATATTAATATTCATAAAATATTTATGACAATAAAAATCATATCGGGCTTAATGTGATTGTTAGTCTGCATGATTTGTAATTGTATGTTCTATATTCATTTGCACAGACAGAAATAAATGATGTCACAGTTTATCTACTTACATGCCTATTTCTCTTGAGACAGAAATTGCTGAAAAAAATTGGAAAATTTAATAGTAACTGTTGTATTTTTTTTTAATTATAGGTTCTCTGCACACTCACACATATGGAGTTAGTCATAAATTGATGTCGAAATCTAAGTTAAATACTCGTGCAACTGAATGATCAAAAAGAAGCGAGTGGAAATTTATTATGTAAAGTAAATTTTGAACTTACACTATATTGATTATGTGGCCCTGGTTTGCAGTTTGTACCCGCTGCTACCGAAGGTTTTATATATTATTTTCAATTTCCTACTTTGCTTCTTTGGGAAAGTGATTCTGTTTCATGACTCAATTACTGGCTTGCTATATTGTTTCAGACTAAATCTTATATAACATAAATAAAAAAAATATGGCATGTTGAGTTTAGATATTAATTGAGATATACATCACAAGAAGCAGGAAAATTATTGTCGATTTTAATAAGGTATTTGAATACGGTTTCTATTTTCATTTGTCTGTGCTTATTCGACATAAAAATACTTGTTACTGATCAGCGAATTTCAAAACAATGACTTATTGTTTTGAAGTTCCATGGAGTATCTAACTGTTAAAATGGCCACTTTGCTTATTAGCATTTTAAAATGATTCCTATGCAATAAAATCATATTAGGATCCTATTACCAAATACCCAGGTGGTTATATAACACCTAAGGTGTTAAGGTGTATTTAGATCTTATGGATGATAATGGAATGGTCCATCCGCCTGCGTTAACGGTTTACGCTGGCGGGGCTCCAGTGGAGGATAATAAGATTAGCATAACTTCAGGTCAGTTAGCACATCGTGGTAAACTCACCATGAATTTATCACCATTTCCAGAGATCCACATAGATGTCAACCTGACATGGCACGTTACTAACAATCCCCTTCACCCCGATGAATTTAGATGTGTGAATCGTATTCATCCCGTACATCTGAGTTCACCTTTAAACTAAAGTTCGCTACACATCAAACTGGCTTAAATTGACTAAGTTAGTTAATCAAGGCTGGGTATCACGTTCTGTGACTATTTGTGAAGTAAAACTGTTTATTGATATTTGTTATAATACTTTTTTTTATTGATATGTTATCATTTATTATTCAAAATACTTTACTTTGTTTTGTTGTGTTTATTCGTACATTTTATGTCTGTAATATATATGCATAAATAGATTGAATGCGTATTTTTGGGTTCGTAATTATTCTCAAAACAACCGATTCATTTGTAATTCATTCAAATTTAAGTAAATTGTTTTATAACATTTTAAATGTTTATAACAGTTGAATGTGTTTTTATACTAAAATGAAATTCTAACTATATTTAATTCTATCCATTAAAAATATCGACTATTTTTTATTTTCTATTTTGATATCTAAAATTACTAAGTAAAACTAATTAGCAAATTAAAGTGCATGTAAACATAATTTGATTTTACTGTGGTATTATTTAAAATATATTTTTTTAAATAACAATTTTCAGGGATAAAGTAAATTTTAAAAATCTAATTCGTAGATCTCTTAAGCAGCTTTATTTTTAAGATGCAACTGGAATGGCATTCATGCTAACGTCATTTATTTTATAGAGTTTGTAATGACCATTCCTAAAGAAACATAATTTATAATCGGTTCTTTAGTAGTAGATATATTTGTTTGTATAGTGAATGATAACATTTCAATGAAAATATTTTACGATACATTCTAATGCTATTGACAATATTAGTTGTATTTTATTAGCTGTTCCCAACAAATATCTTTGGTAAGGGAATTTAAACCTATCATTACTGTAAAGAACAATAAGAATTACACATTTTTATGTTTTCATAATTAACTCGACCCGATATTGATGATATTATGCCATCCCTAGAGGAGCAATTAAGGAATACATTTATGTTAAATTATTAACTTAATTATATACCTAATCTATAATTTATATATATCTACTGTATACAGCAGAGTTTTTCAAACTATGGGTCGCAAATACTTTCTTGAGGGTACAAAAAATACAATATACGTTTTTATAATTACTGACTTGGTCGTAGTTATAGCCTTGCCTTTAACATTAAAAATTGAACTGTTCACTTAAGAAATTTAATAAGTTTTAGGAAAGAAGCACTAGCAAATAGTTAATGAAAACAGTAAATAATTTTTCAAAGAACGTGAAAAATTGAAATTCACATTGTATATATAATTTTAATAGAGTCCGATTTCGAATCGAATGGAAATCGAATTGCAGCCCTTAACAATCAAATTGCACCCTCCTTGGGCGTAGGCCACATTGGGAAACAATGGACTCAGTCGCAGGTCGCAAGAAGTTTTACTTGCAAAGGGTAATAGAAAAGTTTGAAAAATACTGCTGTATGGTGTACAATTCCCGTTATACCCTGTAAATGATACATAGATCGGAAGAAAGCATGGACATATTGTATTGTAATCCAATAATAAGATTGGTAATAAAACTGAGGGACTCCACCGGCGCTATGGCTCGAAACATGAAAATATATTTTTGTCTGCTCATATTACAATCATTATGACTTCGCGTTAAAAGGTGATGATTTTCCAAAATTATTTTTATGTTTTGACTCTATTGCTTTGTTGGAGTATTTGTTAATTTTAACGAATATTGTATTTCCACTCATAGCTACCAATTTGTTATTTTAGTAAAAAGACATGTAGATATTGAAAATGAATACGCATAGTCTATTTAAAATCGCACAATGTTAGACACTCTATATTTTATCGAATATATTTGTATTCCAATTAAATAATGGTCGCACCAATGTTCGAATCATTAGGACGAGTAGACTGTCTAAATTAATTATGCAATAAATCAAAACATAAATCGCAGGTTCTTTTCACATTATTAATATAGTTAATCGGGTCTTAAAATCAATAATTTTATGGTGAATAAGGTTTAGAATTTACCTGTCTCGACATTTCGACTATGTTGCCTCTACCAGTGGTTTCCTTTCATAAGTTTATTTTTTTAATAGCCTAATTTGTGTCGCTGGCAAAGGGGAAGCCTTTGCCCAGCGACACAAACTCCTCACCCTCACGCCTCCAAGCTTCTATTCTGAGTTTGATCATATAATCTTACCAGCAAATTGGTCAAAATCGTCGACCTACCTACGCTTTAGTCAATCACAATATCGATGCCCATCGCTTGGTAGTATATGACGAGTTTGGCTTACCTCTCAGAATGCATTCTTCTCAGTCTTCTGACTCACTCTTCAGTTTAGCCATCTTCGTTTCCACATCAGTTATTTGAGTAATGGAGAGTAATTGTTATTCGAAAATATTCTTATTATTATGCCCGTGTTTGTACGCGAAACGCGTTTTATTACCTTAACGTTAATTCTTGTCTTGTGTGTTTCACAAAATTATTGTTCTTTATAAACTGACAAATCACTTTTTAGTTTCGCTCTCTGTTTAATATTGATTTTTTAATTGTACAATAACGAGTTATGGAGTGTACTCTTAGTATGATACGCAGTATGATGTTAACACCAGGGAATTGTTCTCAGAATACTTCAGTTCTTAGATCGCCTTTACACTTACATTTTAAATACATATGTAAGTATATGGCATAATAATGAAAGAGCACAGATGTAAAAATTATATTGCCATATTGTTAAAGCTATGTACAGGAATTTAATGAAGTCACTGTTTCAATCTTAGGCGACAATAGTTTCAAATTCATCCGGAAGTATGTTGCTTGCATCGCAGCGTTGCTGCGAATGCACCGTTACTCATCCTGGAGAGGACTTCCGAATGAAGTTGTTAAATTTCCGTACATACTTAAAAAAATTTTTTTTTGTCAAAGTCAAGAAGTATAAAGGCGGTCTCCAGAGGTTTCAGATAAACTGCAGGGTCGGATAGGAGGGAGATAGGAGGTAAATATTAAGAATATTTTGATGCCTCATATTTGTTATCCAATAAGACAGTCTACTTATTTACTATATATAAATATCATATCATTTCTTGTTTAGGTTATAAAAATATTTAAATATAATGTTAATGGAATCGAATCGAACTAAAACATTTGAGTAATTCGACTTGTGTAATTTTATCTTTGGTTTTGGCCTCTCGATAACTTTCTCGGAACTAACAATACTTTTTTAAAATAGTACAATCGTTTTTATTTAAACTATGTTCGGATAATCTAACTTATTTTTAGTATACATATAATTGAGGATTATTTATGTATTATGATTATTTCTATTTGTTAAGTACTATTAATGTGTTTGTACCTAAACACTCAGTGTGGTCGCACCCTTAGACATCTGGGGCTTACTTATGTAAGAACTCTAACAATTCTCATTTAAAATAGACTTCTATAATTATATATATGTACATATTGTATATAAATAGAGATCTATAAATATAATTTTATGTACGGACCATTTCACAGTTGCAATTGCAAATCGTACAATTTTAGTTGTATCTGCAACTCAAATGTTTCATTTCACAGAAAATTGCAAAACCCATCGATTTTAATGCGTAAACAATTGAGTATTGTTAGTACCAGTGTTACATAATTATGCCCCTGGGTTGATATGACCTCGCTTGTAAGGTAAGACATCACGCCAAAGGAGAGAGAGCATAATAATGTCTTATTTTGCACAATCCACTAAATTATAGGCAAATGTGAATATAAAAGGTTCAGAAGAATTATATGGACTGATAATTGTACATAATGTGTCAAATGACGAACTTGAGAAAGAACAAAATGTCTCATTATTTATTAAATTTTATTATTTTTCATAGGATCTTGTTAGAGTGAGCGAATGTTGTTGTCGATTTTGCTGGTTAATTAATTTTAATATAACATTTGAGTATTGTTCATTATTGCTTAGACGTGTTTCAATGGATGCGTTGGCCAACAGTAAAAAATATTTGTGATAACAATAATAGTCACAACATTATGTAATTTTCAAAATAGTATTCCATGGTCATATAAATATTTTTACACATCTTGTGAGATGAATATGCATTCTAAACGCAATGCGAATTAAGAATTAATTAACAAAAAATATCGATATATATTATAGATTTTTTAACTTTTGTATACCGAAAGAAAGTCTATAGGTGAGAGATTTTGTGATATCGGTATTTTATTAATTTTTTGTGCGTATCGACTATACCTCATTAACGATTACATACAGTGCAATAAAATATCAGTGGGGTTCTATTCTATGAACAAATTATGTAACAGATTCGTCTAAATGTACATAGTAGTTCATATAATATTGCAATAAACTAGCAACTTAAAAATTAATTTTAGAACATGACATTTCAGAATCGACCCCAGTGCTACACTATTAGTTATATCGTGTTATGTAAATATCAGATTGCAGAGTATATGAATATTATAGCCTTTCTTATATATGTAAAATACACGCAAGAAAATATTAAGTTCACAAATTGCGTAGAGATATTTTTCTTACCTTTCAGAAAGGTAGTTAAAACAGCTAGGTATGTCTTCGATATTTGATTTTATATCGATATTAAAAAATATCGATTAATCGACAAGTCTAAACTCATGCATTGAAACACTCGTATGTCATTGGTTAGGCGGCATCGGCGCAGTACTGATGTTGCGCCAAAATTCACTTGGTTTCAATATCTGTCCACATTTTTTATTTTTAATAATCCCTTTGAAAACAGTTAGATGTGGCCTTAATAATAGGGGTACATTTACTGTTGTTAATATGTAAATAAAAGTTGAATTATTGTAAATAATAAAATTATAAAATATATGTTTTTTGCTATACAACGTTTATTATTTCATACGCACCAAACAGATGTTAATACATCAAATGAACCTTTTTATAAATTGCGTTGCATATTTTATGCTTAAGCAGTTTTGTTATTTAATTTTTTGTTACAAATTGAAATTCTAGAGCCAGTTTTGAGGTGCAAAGGCCATTGACAGTAATGAGAAGTAGTGTCCTAATTACTAGCAAAATTCTGTTAGCGCAGGCATTTGCATACCATTCAATAAATTTTGGGGTAGGTCAGAGGTGTTACAAAGAAGGTAGGTTAGAATTTGTAAATTGTTTCGCGTACTTACTTTATTAAGGTTTAATTATACAGCAATATTTTCTACATAATGCCTATTGCATCTTCATGAAGCTCAGAATATATACGAAATCAGCTAGTTGCAAGAGTATTCACTGCATATAGATATCTCGCCACCAGAGGGCTGCGAGTAGTGTGGCGGGTCCGCGGCGAGGTTGTTCTTCCTGTAGAACGTATCCCGTAGGATAGCGCACCGACCTCTGTTTACGTCACGAGCCCGCTGTCTCGACTGCTTTTGTTGCCACCCATAGTCCCAGTTTGATGTGATACGGAAGTAATATCTGTTTACAATAATAATACAACTGGACACATCATACAAAGTTATCTAGTCCCAAAGTAAACAGAGATTGTAATTATGGGCATTAGACAGCTGATATAAATACTTAGATGTTTTGTAAACATAGGCAATACCGAGACCGATACAGACAATTATACTCATAATAACAAATGTTTGTAGGTACTGTGCGAGCAATCGAACCTGTGACCATCGCAAGTAAAGCGGCATGCTAAACCGTTCGACCACGGAGGCCGTCAATAGCTATTTAGTTTTGTTAAATTATTCACTACCGCTGTTTGTCCGTCCCTATGTATACTTAAATCTTTAAAACGGCGACAGATTTTGAAACGGTTTCTTTAATTAATAGAGTGATTCTATAGGACCGTTTATAAATATAATACATGTACACCCGGGTGAAGCCGGGGCGAGTAGCTAGTGATAATATAATCCGCAACATGTTACCATTCCGCTCGTTATAGTGGATATGCCATTACTATGCCAATTACATAAAAAGTCAATAAATGACTATGTCGTATTCTGCCGTCTCCACATTTACCATCAAACTAGACGTATCTTTAGTTTATGTATAAAATAAGTGGTAGAAATTAATAATAAATAGTTTAACTAACTTATCTTCTGGAGCTTTCTTATTTCTTGCTTTCAAATATTTCTCAGTGGCTCCTTTCTCTGTGCCTTCATAGAGTAAATTCAGCATATCAAGCTCAATAGGTTTCATTAAACTATCGTCTTTTGATTGTACAAATTCTCGTAAAGGCACGATCATTGGTTTTTCAAGCGGCTCATCCAGTTTCTAAATAGGCGTAAAAATATAATACGAGTAAATATCTATATTAAGGGCATTGTTCTGTTATACGTACGTACGAACTTATTGTTTTGCGCGCACATTTGTCAGACTTTAGCTTTTGATTCATGGTGAATTTACCACGATGGACTAACTGACCTGACCTGAAGCTTATCCTCCACTGGAACTTCGTAAATAAGTCTTAAACAGTTAGCGCAGGCGGGTGGAACAATCCATTATCATATCTACATAAGATGGTTACCACTTATGATCGGACCGTCTGTTTGTTTGTAATTCTAGTTACATAAAAAAATTGATATTCCGAGATCACACATTGGATAAGTGTATAAGTATGGGTCATTGGATAAACCTGACATTCCTCTATTGTTAAATAAAGTATTTATTCTTATAAGTTCTTCGGCGAGCGCTATAGACACGTCTACGTCTCTAGCTTGTTTCTCTTTTGCATGGTGCAGAACTGTGAGCAGATTTTTCTGGTACCAATTCCGGATACGTCTATTTGATTTCTGCTCAGCATCTGCATAAAATGCATGTGTAGCCATTGTAGTTCAAATACTGGTATTTTGGCTATGTCTACAGGTAACAAGCGGGTCTATACAGGTAATAACAGGTAGAAAGCGCTAATTCATGATATTAATTGAAATTATTTAGAATGTTTACCGATAATTTTGACAAATTAAACAGCGTCGTATTGACTTCTTTGTCTAGAATGCTTATCTAACGTCTTTGTCAGCATTGTTTTTAATTCAGTAAAGCACAAAAGAAAAGTCTATACCCACAGTTGTCGAGTGTTTAATTTTTTTTATTCGTGATGACGTTGATGTAGTAAGTTTCTGCCTACGAATAATATTTATATACGTTATATGTACTTTTATAAGTGTCATATTTCATATATATGACACTTATAAAAGTTACGTGACTATTACCGAAATTAATTATAATATTTTAAACTTGACAATTCAATCAGAGCAGATAGATATGAATGATTTGTTGCTCAGCTTGTGACTAGATAGTCACATGCTAAGCAGAGCTTGTTATAAATACTGATTTATATTTATTATATGTGGATAGCGTGCAGTTTAAAGTTAATAACACATTTACGTGCATAAATAAAATTTACTTTAAAACAGATATCATACACATTTCATCACTGCAACGATCTGTGGAATGTTACATATTTACACTTAAGTACTATTATTGTTTTATTGTCTATGTTTCAGAAATTTAATTTTGACTTTGTGAACGTCCTGATCTTCGGCCCATAACCGGACTGCCTCCCATCTGGCGAATAAGTCCCCGTAGGCCTTTGGCTTCCCGCATCCCGGTTTCCAGCTGTTCAGATGGAATTGCACAGAAGTCATCCACTAGAGGCAGGGGCCCGCTGAGTCGCTCTGAATACTGAGCGAGCCGTGATTGATGTCCGATTGGAGAGGTCTTATCTGTTGACTGTTGTTGCTGCACCTAAGGAAATAAAAATTGTATGTTGTTGGTACACAAATAAGTAATAAAATATGTTGGGAAACTTTGTAACATGAAATTAATCTTAGAGAGCTCTAAAAAGTGTCTATCTTATGGGGTTCAAATATGGTCAGAGAAGTGGTAGCATGTAAATTACTAAATAAGGAAGCAATGTTAGGAAATATATGTATTTATATCTGTTTGCTAACAAGCCTCCTCATGTCTGTCACCAGTGGTGTCTATTATTAGCAGTTCTTGCCCAAGTACTCTACCTGCCACCACTTTGATTTGATATCATCTAACATACCACACATTAACATACTATCAAATATAAATTCTTAATTATGCAGCATATAATGTGAACAATGTATTCATATGTACTACCCATACACGCTAGTGTTTACGTTAGACATATTTATATGTTCTGCATTAATAGTTTAAGTGAAAGGTATTTATTAATATAGGACACTGTCACCTACTTATGCCGGTCATAATTTTTTACCACTATCACTACAATTCAATATGGCTAAGAACTTCAGTTGATAGAAATAACTGATATGGAACAGGAGTTGCACATATTCAATGAATTTTTTATCAGATTTTATTAAAATTTTAAAGACATTTCAATTTTTTTATTTTTTATATATTCCTTGTTTCTCACACAAAATCATATTAACCCAGGGGATATATAGTTATTGTTCCTACCATGCCTTTCAATGTAGTTATTTCATCTTGCAATCTCTTTACTTCAGCAGCATTACTCTCATAGCTAGTTAGTGTGGGTTGAGGCATGCACTGGAACACTGTAGCCAGTAAGTTGTGAAGTGACACCCACACATTATCTTGCCAAGATCTGGTGAAGTACAGACTGAAGGAAATATGGTCTTCTGGTTTCTGAATGTAGGGCAACACTGTGGAATGATCACTTAATTATAACAATATATCTAAATAAATGACTGAATAATTACAAAAAATTACAGACTGTAGGAGGGAGGCCTATGTCCAGCAGTGGACGTCTGCTGGGCTGCGATGATGATGATGATGATGACAGACAGTAAATACATTCTACTGTATAGCTATATATTAATACATAGATAAAACATAAATAAAAAATATTTTATTATTTGTTATTAACACATGATATGGAAAGACAAAAATTGAAAGATCTTATAGTGTTAGCTCGAGAAAATAACAGTGAAATAAATATGTGCTATTAATGGTACAATATGAAGGGTTAATTTTTCGACTATAACAATATTAAACAACAGGATTATATAGGAATAATTGTAATAATTTGGTGGCCTTGTAAATGTTTTTAATAAATTATGTTTATTGAAAATGATGATGATCAATATTTAAAAACATTACACCATTGATTAAAAATTCTAACAATCTATAGATATAAAAGACCAATTAATAATAAAATGAAGTTACTTACTAAACCAATCTCTCCATTCATTTTGACCTTGTAATTCTGGAAGCATTTTAGAGAGAAATTCTGCAACCTTTTCATTGCGCACCCCACCAGTGCTTTGAGCAGCTGTGATCAAGTACAACTTGTATAGACTATATTCAATTTTTCGTACAGCTGCAAAACAAAGGAGTACCCACTTACAATCATAAAAAAAATGTACTATTTCTTCTCTCAAATGATACTAGCATAAAAAAGTACTTTCTCTTTATACTATAGCGACTTTGAACTTTTTTATATTATTATTATTAAACTAAAAACAGTCTTTGTTGCAAATAATATTTGTACAATAGTCATAATGAAGGTAAAAATAGAATATTTTGCTTATATGACAAGTAATACTGAACTAACCTGGTTGAACATGAATTTCAAGTTTAGAGAAAACTAAGCCATTCAAGTGAGACCAATATTCTTTTAGTCCATTTAAATCAGACACATTAATGTAGTGTGCAATTTGTTCAACTATTTTGTCTACTCTAAAACCTTTATCTTTATCTACTTTTAAATCACTATCGAATGCCTTCACTGTTGCTGTAAATCCTCTAAATAAAAGATATTCCCGCACTAATTCGTCTACAAATTGTATATGAGCCATAATTAGATAAAGTATATAAAAAAATAATTAAATATTTATTTGTATTTGGTATACGAATTGTTGACAAATTTTAGATTTCTTTTTAAATTCCAATTTGATGGTTTCGAATACAGATGCTTTTGAGTTCTTTGAAGAACATAAAAGTCCAGTTATCACAATGAACTACAGAGTAATTCTTATATCTAGGAATCACTGAATATTGTCAACCCAAGTGTATCTACTCCCATCGTTGCCAACATAACAAAAATAATTATCAAGTATCAAACAAAATGTCAATCGCCTTCAATCAGCTGTCGATTTTTTATTAAAGATATTTTATTTCATTTGTTATTTATGAATAAAATGAACGTTGATAAATGAAAAGTGGTGTGTTTCGCGTCGTGGGTTCAATAAATCGGGCACGGTGGTGTTAGTATTGGGTAGCGGTTTGTGTGGCGGGCGATGGCGCTGGGCTGGGACTGCTGGGAGTGAAGGTGGCGGGCAGTGGGAGGCTCAGGCATGCGGCGGCATGGCGGGAGAGGCTGCGGGCACGTCGCGCGGCCTCCGCGTCTACAAGATCGTGGTGCTGGGCGACGGCGGAGTCGGAAAGTCCGCAGTCACTCTGCAGTTTGTCAGTCACAGCTTCCTGGATTACCATGACCCTACTATAGGCAAGGCCTGCTTTGCTTATATTTGCTTGTTATTTATAACTTTCATTTCTATTTGAATATAATAGAGCAACAGGACAGTTATTATGTATATAAAATTAGCATAATAATGCCATATATTGATAATTAATTAATGGTAAACAAATATTGTTATTTTGAATTAGAAACTTACTTTTTTTAAGTAGACTATTGACTCCTATGTTACTAGACTGTTATATTAGTAAATAACATCTACATTTCTCAAAGATGTTGAATATGAAATAATCAACATCTCTGTTTTTACTAGAGCTGTTGCAATTGATATGTACCAAGTACATGGTAACTAGTGATTGCAGTTTCTTATAATGTGCTATAGTTACATAAGGATTACAGTTACTTAGTTACAGTAGCTACCTTATATTAACAAGGAGAAGCATGGTTATAGTAGTTACTAACTTATTGTGGTTATATTTGCACTAAAATCTGAGATAAAATTAAAATAATTTACAAATATTTTTTTACCAATTATGTAAATAAAAAAATCTATTAAATAAGAATATATATATAGTTTTAGTCTAAAAACATGACATCAAGTATGGGTTAAAATAAGAATTAATGTCAGATGTCTCTCAACTATATCTAAGTAACTATTAATATAATGACCTTTTTTTTAAATTATGCATAAATATATATTAAGTTGGTAGAGAAACCATTACATACACTACCATGTATTTAACACACACGCACACACACATATAAACTCTTTTGTTTAATTGGTATTGCCGGTTCAAAGATCTTTTTGTATTTTTTATTATGGTTTAATTTCAACCATTCCCTGATCACTAGTTTATATAAATATACAATAAACTTATTTTGTTAAAGTTTAAACATGTTGTTATGTGTTTTCAGAGGACTCATACCAGCAGCAGGCTGTGATTGATGGAGAGCCGGCCCTATTGGATATACTGGATACAGCTGGTCAAGTTAGTTTATTGTCATATTTTATTCACTATCTGTACTATATTCATAATACTTGTTACCTACTTTTCTATTTCAATCTATTGCAAATATTATGTTAATATGTATTAATTTTTCATGATGTTTCTACAGCAAGTTAATAGTTTGTCAAAAGCTTTCTTGTTCCAATAATCACTAGAAGTATTTATAATTTCTGTCTGTATCTATACCTGATTGAAAGTAGTAGTCTGTAGACACTGATAGTGCTACAAGTGTTTACCAACATGGACATTAGAAAATAATATGTGATATTCCTTGCACTTTCAATTTATTGTGATTCACGTTGACTTATGGTGTTTTGTACCTCTATACCTATTAATTCACTGCAATATGCCTTTCAAACCGGAATACAACTTACTAAGCAAAATGATAGTGGTAATAAATTATGAAATAATATTTATTTGAATAATATGTTGTTTATCTGTTGGAAATATTACAAACAAGTTAAACCATCAGAACTAGAGTGATGCGCTAAACCATACCAACGGGGGCACCTCATTGTTCCCGTGATACAATCTATTTTTATGTCAAATTGTATTAAGATCATTCAGCAGTAGTGAAAAGGTAACAAATATCTGCATGGAATGTACTACGAATTTATATTATTAGTATACAAATCTTTGCGAAAATTCTCATAGGATATAGACATGACTATATTCCAGTATCTTTTTTTATTTGTACACTCTTGACAGAGGGATCAGGGCTTTTATGATGGTATCAGTGGATTCTCTTGGTTGTCCTCTTTGGTAATAAAACTCGCAATTTGTCTCCATCTGGTACGGTTTTTGGCTGTACGAGAACATTATACAATGATGTTTAGCTGTATGTATATTTAAAATTAATGTTATGCTATCAGGTGGAGTTCACGGCGATGAGGGAACAATACATGCGTTGCGGCGAAGGATTCGTGCTCTGTTACTCAGTAACAGACCGGCGGTCGTTCCGCGCCGCGGCCGAATATCGTCGTCTGCTCGCACAGGCGAGACCTTCCGAGCGATTGCCGCTAGTCCTCGTGGGGAACAAGCTCGATCTCGCGCCACGGTTCAGACAAGTGAGTTGAGGATTGTTGGGGAAAATTATAATAATAATAATTGTAAAAATATTACAATATTTTTGTTAAATATCAAATAAGTAAGAAATTGTTATAATGTATTAATGTATGTAATTTTTAGGTTTACAGCACTACCTCCTAATATCACGGTGGCTTAATTGCTCATGTATATATCTGTAATGCAAATAAATTACTTACTTACTTACTTATTCTTACTTGCTCGCAAGAAGTAAGTTTGTAAGAGTATTGTTTTTTCTTAATTAACTTCTTAATTTATACTGGTGAAAGAATTTGCAAAATTAATTAACCATTTTTTAGTTTAATATATATGAACTTATATTTAAATTTCAATGTAGAATTTTGCATTGGTTTCTCAAAGTCGAATTATGATGTTTAATTAAAATTATTGGGAGGGTAGTAGATTACTTAATTATAATCAGAAATATTCTATCTTTTAGAATGTATGGTAATACTATTTTTACTTATTAGGTAAGCACAGAGGAAGGAAAAGCTCTCGCGACGCAGCTTGGATGCCCGTTTTTCGAGACGTCAGCAGCGCTACGGCATTTTGTCGATGACGCCTTTCATGCACTCGTCAGAGAGATACGTCGGTTAGAAAGACAGAGACAGGTATATTATTATAACTTCAATTATATAAAATGGAATTAAATTGACAGATTAAATTATTTATGGCCATGTACAGCATTTTCTCTATGAAGATGTTTTAAAACAACGTCAATTTGATTTTGACTATGAACTGTTGAGTGTGTTTGTTCTAGTACATAGACTAAAATTGAATCTACTACTGTGTATTTAGTGTCATTTTAGATATGAGGTCTCGTTTATCTTATTATTTAACTTATAGGGAAAATTCACTTTATTGGTAGAAATTTAGGTGCTGAATACTGTCGTGATTGAATACTACAAGATATAACTTGTATGGACCAACCTAAATATTTTCATAATATACATAGAAAACAGCCAGTAAGATACACAGGCATATACCAATACAAACGATCGACTCTTAAATTCAAATGCTTGTATCGTGTGAGAAATCGAATCCGCGATCATCGCACCAAGACCGTGAAGGAATGTAGCGTGAATTGAGAGTCGAGACATACTGACAACTCTGATTTTACTCTATACGTGTAATAAGTATAATACAAACGATCCCGTTCTATATGATGCCTATCGCTACTTTTTTACCATGGCACCGCTCGCCATTGACAGGGAATTCATTCATACACGTTAGAAACTAAGTGGTCTCTGATAGTGCGCTTTCAGAGGAGCTTCCTTCCGCGTACACTTAGATTATGGAACTACCTGCCGAAGTTTTCTCGTGAGACTAAAGAATGGAAGGACGAATTCAAGGATGTATTAAGGTTGTGTGCGCGCAAGTGACATCCTGGTCTCTCAGGCGGCCATATGCTGTGGTAACTGTTTACTACCAGATGGGTCGTATGCCTGTTTCCAACCATCATAGTATAAAAAAGAACCCGTACACATAAATAAATAGATTTTTTTAATCATAGTCGTCGCTAATGGGAGCGGGTACGTCTGGCGGCGGTGGCGGTGGACGGCGACGCTGGCGACGCTTACGAAGCATCTTCGCGCTTGTGTTCCGGCGCCGGAGAAGGCACCACACTTCACCATAGCCCACACACCCAGCGCAGTAACGCTTCACAATGTTCACACGTGGAATCGTCGAGTAAGTCCAATGTTGCCAACATGACAATGTATCTATTTTTATATTTTGACACGTTTAGAGAATAGGAAGTAAACTATAGAGCTATTTTTATTTTTTAAATTAAAATCTACCTGATTATTTACTGTAACAGAGAAGAAGGACATTATATTTAGAATGTTTTCGAGATTTTTAATGTCTATAATTTTTATTAGTAAATAGTTATGTTAATTTATAAAAAATATTGACGAGATTAACCACAAGTACCTATAACTAATATATGGACCTTATTGTCTAAGTATTAAGTATGAATTGGCGAAATATAGTGTGAATTACTTGTATTATATGTGAAGCTTTGCTGCGCCATCGAATGTGAGTGTAAGTACGTAATACGTTGTGTCTAGGGTAGCCAACTTTTTAATGCAATTTATGTGTCTAGTATTATGAAAGAGACAAAGTATTTTAGGGAAAAGAAATGTTTATTTACATTTATTTTTAATATTTTGTTCCACTTGTTCTTTGAGACCGACATGATTACATGAAATAGATTTCTAGTAAACGTCACTCGATGGTAACGCGAGCAGTACTGACTGTCTCGTTAAAGGTCCTAAAAAAATTATATTTTTAAAAACTTTATAGTTATGAGAACGTGTGTTTTATGTATCTATAGAGCATTAAATATTATTACTGATAACTGCAGTTGGCAACCCTAGTTGTATGTAGATAGGTGCGTCCTACCTTCCTCTACCTCAAGTTGATGCTGTTAAATTGTATTTTATACTTGAGTTATAAGAAATATGCAATATGGAAATGTTTGTCTGTAAATATATTAGTCAAAATCCGCATTTCCATACGTTTCGACTATGAAATCTTGGTGTCTTGGTCCTCTACATAAACTTTAAAAAGTAATAATAAGGTACTAACTAAGAAATTTAAAATCAAATAGAGTTGCAACATAATCATCTTTTTATTTGATTTGTGTATGATTAATACAGATTACTTATGAGCCAATAGAAAGATAAGTTCTATAAATATATCTTTTATATTGAGTACTCTACGTATTTAAAAGTCAAATAGTTCTAATTTTGAGTTATAATTGCAAAATCCATTTGGTTTTAAGTTACTTATTTTATTGTATTCATAATTAGAACCATTGTCTGTTTTTCGCCAATCTAATCTAGGCCTATATCATGTTTCTATGTATTTGATATCAGACTGATATTTTTTGTATTTATTATACTATTAGCTTAGCTACAACTTCAATTGTCTATACTTCCAGAATATCTTCTTAGAATATCTTCAGAGATTCCTATAATTTATACAACAGTTGATTGTTTGCATTCTTATTATAAATTAATATTTCAAATGTAGATGGTTACGAATTCTATTTGAAACAATTTCGAGAGTTATTGGAGATAAAACTTGTAATGTCTTCAATTATTATAAATGCAATATTTATAGTATTCTATGTAGATAAAAATATTATTTAAATGATCTATCTGAATTTGTTTTGTAACAAAATCTCTTGATATTTCTCGGTATTTGCAGATGCTTCGTTTTGAATATAGTATTATACGCGCGTGTGTCAATCCATTGATTTGTATAAATATACACATCGCTCGTTCCATAGAGAAGGGGTGTATCTATTAGTATATACCTTTTCACTACCGCAGACAGGAGATAGAACGAGACAGCGATATGCTGTCTTATTCATTCTCATGCATGCCTTAGAGAATTACTGTTATATTTCTGTTCCAATTGTTTGAAAGGACCGATTTGTCTATGACATTTAGTTCCAATAGTTTCGAATAATAATGTACTAACAATGTACGTATTGTAGGTAGCAAGAACCTAAACTATTTAGAAATGTATTCCTATAGTGTTCCTATAGTTTTCATGTATACAGCTATATTTAAGTTGTTCTGTAATTCCAAATGAAGCCTAATTGTCTATGATGGTGTGTATCTGGCCTCATTTTATGGCTTAGAAGCATGTCTTCCGCGATATGGAACCCGTGAGAGCAATAAGTAAATATAATTATAAATTATTTAAACATATGCTATACGTTGAACCATTGGTTATTGTTTACTTTAGAGTTTAAATATTTAGATTGTACACGATTATATATGGTAGATATAGTATGTTCTGTAGCTGAGTCGCTATTCATGTAACACCTTCCTTATGTAGCTTGAAGTTGAGGCAACATATTATATCTGAAAATAAAAAGCTATAAATAGCCCAAATAGGACTTAACGTCGACCACATTAAGTTGTATTTGGGTTATTTTTCTGCGCCTTTAGTTTTAAGACTGGATTTTTTTAGCAATGTCTTGTGTTATATCATATTCTCACACAACGTCATGTGTGGAATTGGTTATTATTAGCTTTATGAGTGTATTTATTGACTTCTTTCAAAATAATAACGTTCAAATTTGCAGTTTATATTTGTAAAGCTATTTTAATATTCAATATGTTGAATTCATTTGTGCTCTCTTCAGCATGCGGGCATGCTGTTCTCTATAATGTATATGCAGTCAATCCGAGGCTTGCTCACGAGAGCTTGACTTTTACAGCGTATAGAGTATATATTAGATTAAATTCCATATAGTTGTATATACGAAAAGCCATACTTTAGTTACAACCAAAGTATATTTTCAGTTAAGTTACCTATATATGAGTTTGTGTAATTTAATTGAATATAGCCAACCTCGGAGTACAATGTAATCTAAGTGAGATCTATCGAGCTCTTCTCTTAATCTGTGTGACAGAGACAGCAATAAGTATATAAATGATAAAATATATTTATATGTTAATTAGTAAGTTGGTACATGTAAACGAGTATCGTAAATGTCGTGTGACTGGCGTGTGTATGGATGTTGTATTGTAATAATAGGTCGATACGCACAAATTTTAGTGTAGTTAACGCAGTGTAAGGTTTGTGTTCGGTTCCGTTGCGGGAGGACGATTAGTTGGCGCTTAACTCGGAAGAAACTGACATTTGCTTGTGCAATTTTATACTATTATAAATGTGAATAATTATTAAAGTTATTGAAAGTCTATTCACAATGCGATGTACAGGTTTAATAGTAAACGGTGTATTAAGCCAAAAGTAGAATACTGAACAAAACTGAAGCTTTTTCACTAAAAAAACAAGTACAAATCTGAAAATACGTTTTGAAATTCATCACGTGACTGTAGTATGTTTAAAACATTTATTTCAAATTTCTACTCCATTTTTATTTTTAGAAATAGGTTCCTTCATTGAGGGCCTTGTTACCCTGTATTTATTAGCATTTTTATGTACTGATTGTTTTCCCATAGCTTTGTACTGTAATGCATATTATCTATTTCAAATTTACGTAATTGATGAATTCGTAATGTATTACAATACTGTAATTAAAAAATAAATCATGATTAGTATTGAATCGATCAATAGTAACGACAGTAATGAAGTAACATCAGTTCTAATACAATATATGCGTATATCTGTTGATATTACATTGTTAACAATAGTTCAAGTGTGATTTAAACTTAGTACTATATTAATAAAGTTGGTTATAGCTTTGTAAAGTATGAAATTGCTCGAGCAACGTTATATTGTGCTGACCAACACATGTATGTGAATACAGTGAATAGAGTCATGGTTCAACGAACACGATACAAGTATATTTAAGACATATTATATGACAACTCTTGACAATTCAAAGAAACTTGCTGGCCAATTATTCGTTCTCGTCGCAACAAATTAATCGCTGTGTAAGCGTGAAGCATGATTTAGATGCTTTAAAAATATTTACGTTCGACGCGATTCGTTCCATAAATTTACAGACATGTTAGTGATGATATACCTAGTTTTACAAGTAATATTGATGATCAATAAATGTATGTAATCGATGCAATGTAGCATCGATGCTTGCACAAGTTAAACGCATTTGCAGCATGGAGCGCTGAATCTAGCTATAAATGTACTCAAAGAAGTGATTATTTATGGCTTGTCCTAATTCAAAAACATTGACCAACAGTACGGTTTGTAAAATAGTATGTTATTAGTTTAAATCAGGTGAGGCATAGGCTTGACTACGTAGTTATAACAAAGGGACTATTGTATAAATAAGCGAATGTTGAAATTTTTTAATAAAATAATGTAACTGCGCTTTAGCTCTGAGAGTAACTCTGAATCATGCTTTATGTTTTACCAATCAGCGCAATAAGACAGTGTCAAACTAGGGTATTAATCATTTAAAGTATTCTTAAGCAAACTGAGCTTTGCCGCGAGCGGCGTGTAACGCCTACTTCGCCCTGATCAGGGCAACTATCTAATATAGACCTTAATTTGTACGCCATTAAGTATATAATAGGACGGTACAGTTTAAGTTTGATGCAAAGGAAATATTGACACTACTGTTCAATACACTGAGTTAAATGATGCTAACCGATTATACTATAAATTGTGTCACCATATTCTACAACTATAAGCGATTGTAAAGTGAATATTATTATCAATAAAAGTTTTTTGACCTTGAAACGTCAACACATACCTAAAAATGTCTATTGTATCTTATTGTAATAAGGTTCAGATTGATTGGAAATGAACATTTATTAATATGGTGACATTTTAATTATTCAAAAATATCGCGAATGGCAGTAATAAAATTAACCGTAACATTGTGTCTGGATGGGTGAGCGCTGCAATATTTTAGCTATTGTGTCGTTTTGTCATTTCTTTCCGTATTTTATTTTTAATTTGAGAAAATAGAATGAAACACTGTAATCAATAAAATGGATTTTGTATTAGATTCTAGTATTGTTAAGTTGACATTGAGTATTTAATAAAAAATAATTCAGCACTTTCCCATCATTATATGTGTACACTAAACAAATTGCAGATAAAATTTGTATATTATATGATATTGAACAATAATGTTTATATTTAATTCATATTTTATACAATAGAGGGCGATAATCGGTGTCATTATATATTACTAACTTTTTCTATATTGTAACTACTTCTGCACTATGTAAAATTTTATGAATAACATTTTCTATTCGATTTCAAAAATGTAGTCGTCCTTATAAAATTTTGTT